GGCAGGGTTGACTTTTTGATATAGTCTTGCAGCATCAATTGTTCTGCTTTCTGCCTTTGTCACTCCTTGTACATCTTAATGATCTGTTCCTTCCACTCATTGTATTCCACTGATATCAGGGCCTTGATGCTGATAGCTGAGATCATCATGACATATGAGGAGAGGACTCCTCTCTTGAGGGCCTCAACTATTCATCCATCATTTGCTGTATCATCTCAGATGCCAGTGAGCTTTGCAAGTCATTCCAGCTCATCAAAGTAGTCTGTGGCCACTTTGTCTCTCATCTTGTATTCTTTGATCTTCTGCTTGTGTACTTCTTGTACTGCTGGATCAATGAATTTATCATGGAGCATTTGCTTAAAGATCAGCCATGAGAGGTACCAGTAATTCTCCTGGGTCAATGATCAGAAATTTGGAGAGATAAAAATCCATCAGATCTTTGCTTTCTCTTTTAAGTATGAGGCAGCAAAGATGACCTTGTTCATATTAGTTCTCAGGTATCCAATATAGACTTCAAAATACTGCTCACAATCAACCAGGAATCAATTGATGTCATCAGATGCCCTCTTGAAGAGGTGGAGTTTGCAAAGCAAGTTGGGTTTGCATTGTAAGATAGCAGCATTCTTGGGAAGCACCCCTATTGGATTGGGCCATTCTGAGAAGAGAGTGCATCACCATTCCTGCAGAGGCCCCAGAAAGGAATGAAGAGAGTTGTCATCTGCTACAAAACTCCCCTGAGAGGCAGCTTCCTTTCAGATGATGACTCCATCTCATGTGAATCTCAGTCTGATAGCTTCAGGGTCATCTCTGACTGGTTTCTTTCCTGTCCCACTTCTGGTGGCTTCATCAGGTGAGAGCTGGGCCCTAAGTATTTGGCTCATTTTGCTGGTCCAGGGGTTTCAGTATCCTTGTGGTCAAGGGGTTGCCAGTGATCAGATTCATGACAGCCAGATAGCTATTGACTGCTCCAAGGGTGTGGAGTATAAAAACATTGAAGAGGATCTGAGTGCACACAAGGTGAAAACAGATACAGCAGAGCATTATCCACTGACCACACTCACACCAACACACATACAAAACTCTTAGTTTGTAGGGGGATCATAATGTGATAAAAGTAGCAATCAACAAATATAATTGTCTTCTTTAATGAGACCACAGCATGCAAACAGTAATAGCATGCTTACAACAGTCCAAGATCTCTCTAAGTCTCAAAGCTTTTTGTTTTATCAAAACAAGAGATGGCAACAGGTGTTGCTGGGCCTCAAGGCAAAGGGTACTGCAACTCAATACAATACATCGAAACACTCCTTCAAAACTCTCAAATGGTCCCAAGCACAGCTCAGATCAACTCAAATCTCTAACATACACAATACACAACTCAAAGCTTTGTGCTCTGAGCAAAAACCAATCACAAACATGTCCACAAGTGCCAAAGAGCACAGATCTCTGTCCACAAGCTTCCAAACTGATCATAGACCCACAGGATTCAAACCTATGCAATCCAGAGACACAAAACACAATAAAACCCTGTCCAACAGACCAAAGGGTTTGAACCTCTGCCACCTGTAGTGCTGTGCATCACATATACCTCAAAAACTCAAGATGATGCCCTTCAGACACTGCTCTCTTATTCTCAGGTTAGAGCATAATCCAAAACCTCTTATCAAACTGGGCTTAAGTCCTTTGTGAGCTTTGATGCCTTGCTTAGTTCTCACAGCTCTCTCAAGGATGTTCAATAATATGTTTATTCTCTCACCCAAAGTTACAAACACAAACCCAGAGCTTAGAGTGCAAGGCTTTCTGTGCCTAATACACCACAACTGTGGGAGTCAGAAACTTGTCCTCTACTCATACAATACTGTATTTAAATACTCTACTATGATACTTACTAATACAATCCTACTATGGTATCCTCAAAGTGCAGAACTCCATGCTGGATTCCATAGGTATTATTCACACACATATTGCAGTCACCATGCTTATTCTCTTCTGGGTGATGACTGTGCCTGCTGTTCCTTCACTAGCTGACATCAGCTAGCTGGCCTCACCAGGTCTGCTTGCTTTCTTATTTCCCCAGTGACATCTCTGACAGCAGTAAACTGTTCCAGACCCTTAGGGTTATCTCTCATGCCAAGAGTCAGCCACAATGGCTATGTTCTGCTTTCCTATGTTTAGCCAGTCATTCCATCTGACTCACCAAAGGTGCCATTTCTCAGTACAATGCAGAGTCCCTTGCTGTGTTATATGCACTAAGGCACTATAAGTATGCACACTATTCATTTCTGGGATAATATTTCTCTACTTATTACTTTGTTGTCATCATTCTATTTTGCTGTTCAGCATCCAGTTAATCAGATACCTTTCCTTGGATCTCAGTTCTCTGTTCTAAAGCATGTCCCATCAGTGCATCAATGGCTGTGCATCTTTGATCAATGTGATCAGAATTGCTGATCATATTTCAATTGTAGTCTTTTTATTTTTAGCATGTCCTCTCATAATAGTATTGGCACATTTAGGGCCAAGTGCTGGGACCTCACATGCAGCATAACCCCTCTGGTATTAGTCTGTTACTAGGTCATGCACTCTGCTTATTGTTACTTCAGTTTAGCATTATGATAGCTAGGTTTCTGTGCACTCTAGTCCTATTTTCTGTTATATGCTTACTGGACTGGAATGCAGTCCATGTATTTGCAATTTTCACAATTTTACATGCTTGAACATGGAGAGGGCATATCAATAGTCAATTATTTGATTAGCTGAAAGAGTTATGGCTCTGAATCTAATCAGTGGATCAATGAACACCACATGAATGCAGAGGAGGCCATACATGACTATGAATTATTCTTCTGGATTCTGAGATATCATATAAAGGGAGATCTGGAGTTACATTTCATAGGATATAACAGATATGTTGAAACTCTTGGTAATGTCAGATAGTCCAGGTGGTAATCAAGTGATATCCCTGGCACAGTGAGATGATCACAAGTAAGTCTAATAGTGTTCTGATGATGGAAGCTATGAGTTTGAAGAACTCTCAGTCAAAGTTCAAGTCATTGGAGTTCAGGATGGGCATTCAGTTTCTCAGCACAATTAAGCTTGAGAAAGAAAAGCTAGAAGCTTCAAGCTAATTATTAGATCCAAGTATCATGTGAACAGAAACATGTGATAAACAGAAGTCTCCTCACACTTTGGGAGATCGACTGGATTCACTGATACATATTCTGATTGGTGTGTCACAAGGCCTTAGGATTAGCTTGAGTATAGAATGGTGTGAATGTAAACTTTAGCTTGAAGCTGGGGATTCTCAGTGAGAGTGAGCTTTCTTAAATACTATTTGTATCTGCACTAATTATACTGCTACCTATTATATGTTGTTGTGTCCTTTGTGCTCATTGTCCTTGAGTGTTGATACCATACATAAAAGACTGGTTGTGCATTATTGAGCACCATTGTTGCATTGAAAGACAATGACTGACTCAGCCTAGTTGTGATGACTAAGCTTCATCTCACAATCCTAAGCACTGGTCTTAAGTGCCCTTACTAAGCATAAACAGGGGTTAATCATAAGAAAGATGGAAAAATTATAACAAAAACATCTTTACTCTCATTCTCTTACTTTATCTTCAGTTAGTGTCAGACCTCAGCTGTTGTAGTGCATTCCATTTACAATTATTTAGTTGTTGCCTGACAACCAACTGCATCAGTCAAGATGTGTTTTATGTGGATATCAGTGGAGGTCAAGGTGTCAGTCATAGTCAATTAGATCAGAGGTCAGAGTAATAGTCACAGTCAGATCAGGATTAGTGGTCAGGATCAAGAGTCAGAGTCAAGATTCAGAGTAAAGGAGTGTCAAAAAGTGTATAGCAATATTGAAATGGGTTAAAAGAGGGAGAGATGACAAAGCAAAGATAGAGATTGTTATTATAAAAGTCAGATGAGCAACAACAGAGTCAGAATTCAGTCAGATTAGTCAATCAGTAGTTTAGTGGTCAATGCATCTATCAAAAGGTGGATTGACAAGATACCAAAAGCATAGTAAATAACTAATAAGTAAACTAAATATAATATATATCAGGGTCAAGTATATACTAAGTTCAATCTTCAACAGGGTTTCAGACTAGTAATTTACTAGATAAGACTCTGGCAAATTCTCTCTGAGCCTTCAGACTAAATTTTTCAAAAATCACCAGAATTCATCTGCACACTTGAACTCAGTTTGAGCCAAATTAGTCTAAATATAGCAATATTTGACTTCAAGATTGCAGCTCTCTGACTATACTATGTCCAAATTCTGGACTAAAGTTTCTATGAGTTGCTAGAATTTTTCAAAGCACAGAAATAGCATTTTTAGCTTCAAATATGCAATGAGAGTTTATAACTCACATTGTAGACACACAAAACCCTATTATTTGGATTTTGTCCAAAATTTATAGAAGAGGCAATCTAATATCATGCTAAAAGTTGATAAGTAAGCTTGAGAGAAAGAGAAAGATATAGTACAGAGTATAAATATGAGCTCTGCAGAAGCTATAAAATAACAAGTTCCTTATATTTGGCTTTACCAGCCTAGAGTCTACCCTGTGCAATACCTAGGATTCCAATACTTATAAATCAGACTCTTGCATAATGTATCCACTTTCTGGAAAAAAAGAAATGTATATTATATTTATGAGTCTGGCAACAAGCCCCATTTGAAGCTGAAAATGAGCATTGAGAGTGTTTATCAATTAAACTAGCACAGCCAAGCATCAATAAGTGTAAAAAAAAAAATGCTACTAATGTGCTAGAGTACTGTCGATAGTGGGAATTGAATCAGCGGCTCTTCAAAGTCATTGCCACAACTAAGCGATTTAACCACTAATCGATACCAACCAACATATGTGTGGAATAGATCTTGTTATCTAATCATAAATAGGCAAAGCACCAGAGCTTTGTCAATAAGGGCAAGTGAAATTTGCCTGATCACAGGAATGATATATGATTCACGTAAAATTCCGAGGTCAAACTACAAGAACGATGACGGAACGGATAGCCCACGAGGATATGTCTCGATTTTGATGCACTGTCCGAATTGATTGCAACTGGACTTCTCCATCGTTGAGCGCACTGTTCTGTTTGTAACCTAATTGATCATGTTTATCTGTATCGTATAAGCAATAGTAACATATTCAGCAAGGACGGTGGTGCTGACCTAGACCCTTTCTGAGTGTATGAATCATTTTCGTTCCCGAGCGACCAATTTCTTGATTAACGTGTCTTGGTAGGACTCGGCCTAGACCCAGAGACCCACGACAAGGGGACACGAGGATGGTGGCGCGCATTCCACCCTTCTCCGGGAAGCCGCCTGTCCAGGAAAGAGAGAAGAGAGAAGAGAGAAGAGAGAAGAGAGAAGCAGAGAATAGCTCTTTCGTTGATCGCCAGAAAAGCCATCAGGCATGCCCATCGTCGTTCGCAGAGTACGAGCATTCGGAACCTCTCACACAAACTCGGGTAGGTCGATGCATTCCATGGGAGTGACGGGCCGCAGGTCGTTCGGTGCCGTCGCTCATTCTCACGTTTACTCTTACCCTGCTGAATTTTTAAAAAAATGAGAACGAGTGGATGAATGTTTAGCGCCGGACTCACCTTTGTTCATTCAGTGGGTGTTGTTCCAGAAGATCACTGAACAACACAGCCATAAACCTACCGTCGAAACAATTAGGTGCCCACAGCCGAGAAGTAGGGCTACAACATCGATTGTTCGCTCGTCAGTGCCCTATTGACATCCCGCCACCTAGATCGTCCTCGGTAATGTGTCATCCAAATCTCAGAGCCTATAGGCATCCTCATAATGGTACTTGGCCGTGACCGCTAGTCCAGGCAATCTTGAACTTGAAGCACTCATGACATAGGTCAGAGACCAAGTGGCCACTCAAATCTTCTGGTGTGGCGATAGAAAACCTAACGTGAAGAAAGTCAGCAGGGAACGAGATACGCAAGAACGATGCGACATTACTCCATCGTTTAGGGAAAGGCCTACCGCCACTGTTGCGGTGACGGCAGTAAAGCTCATGATGGGAACACAAGCCAGTCACAGGTCAGTCCAGGTCGTCGAACTCGGTGAGCAGAGAAGGGAAAGGGCAGGCGGCTGAGGAGAAAACTACTAAAGCAAGCTCCTTTTTACATTCCAGGAGGAAGCTATGTACGGAAACTTGGGTAAAGAAACATCAAACACTGCCGGCGTATGTCGTCCTCACAGCAATGACGCATCGAGTCTGCAATCAATCAACGAAGTGATGAATTTATGGAATTTCTCACCAGACAGCATTGTACCTTAGGTTGCATCGCTTCCTGCGGATGATGTAACAATACTGCTAGCCTCGGGTGCTGGAACTCCGACTCAGCTAGAAAAGAAGTCCTAGGTTCATGTTGATTGCCGCGTCGACGGATCTTCGGAGGTATTTTTTAGTAGTTCGGCAAGTATATATAGCCCCGTTTCCATGAGAAACTGATATTAGACTGCACAAGTGGCGTCACCTGCGGCACGCTTCACGTGATCGTATCATCCACAAAAGTAGTCTCAAGAAAAGCTACTTTCCACCTTTCGATGAACTGAGAGCGCCAATAATGCTTATGTGGCTCTCCTCAATCTCCACAAGGATATTATCTACTCACGCCACCGAAGCTAAGGTCTCCAGATTTGGAGACGCCGGTAAGGAGCTGTGTAGCGAACAGCACATCAGAAAAGGCATACTTGATGTCAATTACTGGTAATAACGTCACAACTTTTGACGCACAACAATTTTCCTGCAGGATCCCCCGAGGCCTCAGAACAGCCTGACTGAGTTCGGTGGCGAGGGATTAAGCGCTCGTATATCAGGATGAAATCTCAGGACAGCTCGAAAGCGCCAAATGGGCTATTGTCTTTGCTGAAGTAAATAATCACAGCTCATACAATGGCAGCAGTCCCGCTAGCAAGATAGCCTTCGGTTCTCAATTATCAACAAAGAGCCACAGAACTTCGGAGCGGCAATCAGAAATGGATGGCCACACACACGTTCTTTTTTTCCAAGACCAGCATCCGTCGAAGTTTTCACCCTTATAAGTCACTTTTTAATAACATTTGCCGAAGCGCATGAGTCAAAGGACCATCTCACGGTATTCCCCTGGTTGCACGTCCGTTGTCAGGATACACAGCCGTGATGGATATAGACCCTGTGTGTATCTGCTGCGATAGAATTACACTCGAGATCTACGACTATTATAGAGAGACATCTCATCGTCAGTTGATAACGATCTGGCCACCACTCACTAATTTACAAGTGATCATATTTCTCACATTACTTCTCTGAATCCGTGTCAATATCATTCGTGAACTCGCCCGCCTGGATATTGTAGAGCCTCGCATATTCTCCGTTCAGCGCCAGTAGCTCATCATGTCGCCCAGACTCGTACAAACGTCCATCCTTCATGCACCTGTCAAGAGTACGACCAGCCTGAGTTTCCCATGAGACGTAGAAAGGAAAACCCACAGGATGAGATCAGCACGACGTGTCAAGGGTCCGAACCGGTGCGTAACAATGACTATTGTTTTCCCTGCTCTTTCGGCGACCAAGTTCTCAAAGAGTTGGGCTTCGCCCGCAGCGTCTAGAGCCGAACTAGCTTCATCTACCGCTACGAAGTTGACCTTTCCGGAGTGGAAGCGCATGAATGTTCTCGCACTGCGTAAAAGTGAGCTACGATAAAGACTCGGGGATATATTAGATAACTCACGCTACTATTCGCTGCTTCTCTCCGCCCGAAACTTTAACATCCTTCTCTAGCGCTTTCCATTGAGGCAGCAAAGGATGATTCTCGTTGGCATCTGAAGAATAGAAATTGCATTTTCGATAGTCGCCACTTGGCCCCTCATCATTTCTTAAGATGGTAGCGTCTCCTTCGGTCATCCCGGTCAGGATATCCTCAGCCCCACCTTTGCGGATGGCGTTCATGATCTCGTCATCGCTGCATATGTAGTCGACATCGCCCATACGGACGTTCTCCCAGAAAGAAAGCGGGAAGATTTCATGGTCCTGCATGAAGCAAGCGGTGGCCCGACGGAAATCCGCTAGCTTGTAGTCTGAGATACTATGCCCGTCAACAATAATCGTCCCAGACGTCGGTTCAATCAATCTAGTCAAGAGTTTGATTAGTGTGGATTTGCCACTTCCGTTGGTCCCGACGACGGCAACGAGTTGTCCGGATTTGATGGAGAGCGAGATGTTTTTTAGAGCAGAGGTATCATTTTTGTAAGAGAAGCACACATCTCTGCAGGGGAGATTAACGTTAATGATCTGATTTGCTCACAGTCCATCGCGTACGTACTGAAGATCGATGGACATTCCTCGTTGCATGGCGTCTTGATGGCCAAGTTTCTCCGATGTACATCTCGAAGAGGAATACTCACGGTAGCCATGAGATGTTTCGGGAGGCATATTCATCGAATCGTAGAAACGAGTTATCCACTGACATTCTTGTCGGAAGTTGTCGATGCTCGCAAGGAACCACTTCAGCGAAAATTGGAGGTTGGCCGAGTATTGTTGCAATACAGCAAGTGATGTCACAGAGAAAGTGGAAGGCACCATCATCACAGACACGGCCAAGTATATCTATGAATTAACTGCGATTAGTCTCATATCAATTGAAGGCCGTATAACTCGCCATGGGTGCTTTCCCTAGAAGGTCGGAGAGAATGTCCGAGAACGGTGTGGAACGTTGACCATATTGCTCTTCAGGGAATGATGTTGGAATGTTACCGACACGCGCAGAGGATTTAGCATATTCTATAATTTCTTCCATCAGATACGGGACGGTAGATACAGGATCAAACACCACCTCTAACGAGATAATGGGAAAGGCCTCCAGCGAGGACCTCTGAACGATACTGTTGAGCCGTCAGAGATCCCAGAGCATGCATTCGCTTGAAATCTGTATTTTCCACATGGTAAAAATATTCTACGGATCCCGATGAATAAGCAAGTGGGCCCTGATTAGAAGATTCAGATATTTACCATAGCCCCACAAGCGGTCCTGACATAGACTATCATACAGCGGTTTTAGGATGCATACCAACGCGAAAGAAAGATGACCAAATTCGCGCGCAGTTTGAGCGATGAGGATGACTTGAACACACATAGATGTTATCTGGGAGAGAAATGATATTATTGCTGAAAACGAGTCCCAGGCGCCATGGATTTCGTCATTGCCTTGAGAGCCTATTTCTGAGGATCAGTACTTTATTTATGGAACAATGGAACCTTAAAACGTACCCACGACTGTGCTATCAAGAAACCGGTATTTCTCGAGCTCGACTAGAAGAAGAAAGGTCACGTACAAAGAGTTTCTGCGAGAAATGACACATACCCTTCATGCGAATAATTTTGTAATGAGCAGCCACACGGCGGCGAAAATTGGGATAAAAATGATTGCTTCAAAAGGCATGTGTGAAATTATCATTTTCGGTAGAAAGTCGACATTACCTATACCAAGTTAGAGAGCCAGCAGCTATAATCCAAGCCAGTTGTGCGATAACGATGGTCAGGATTGATTCGCGATTGGAGAAACCTTGCGTAATTCCAGCCTCGATCTGTGGGGAAAGATATACTCAACGATAACAACACCCTAAAATAACAAGTACCCACACTCGTCAGCAATTTGCTGGACAAGTACAACATCAAGGTAGATTCGGCTTGCAGCAGTGAGCTCAGGCCGGAGAATTGTGCCACGATGTAAAGAGTCGTGAGAAAGGGATCCAAAGCATAAATTTCGGATGCCATCCTGAAGAAGACAGGTATAGCAGTGGCTACATCCCGTACATTCTTCAAGATATCAAAGGAGTCGGCTTTGAGCATGACCAAACGCCACACCCCTAGCTTATGGGAGACAAGTCGTTGGTCTGGACCATGAGAATCGGACGGCATATTTGATTTGTCATTCATGGTAGGCGCCGATGATGCTTCGAAGAAGAGCGTCCGATGAATTAAACGTGGAGGAGATGATGTTGCTTGCCTGTTGTCGAAAAACTTACGAGTGTGGGGAGGATAGACACTTGTGGGTGAACATGACGTGGGTTGTTATACGGGGCAGAAATCCATTGATAAATTTTAAGTAAAATTAAACCATGAGTGGGACATGAGGTCCGCAACAGCTCGAAGACGGGCTCAGGGCGAAAAGGGTGATCAATCTGATGATAACTTGAGCTCCACAAGATATCTGATACAACAAAGAGAATGGAGCGATCGTACAACAAGATCCAGGCAGAATATCTTTTCCACACAACATATCCTTGTTATCGGGACAGAAAAGCCTTTCAGATGTGATACATTGTTTGCTGGCAACAGTGCGACAAAGTCGTACGAGATTTAGACGCCTCGCGATTATCCACATTATCGGATTGAAGAAAGATTAACCCCCAAATGCTGAAGTAGCTTCAGTATTATGTTGTTGAACAGGCAGCGAAAAGTTACGAGTTCACTTGGATCTAACGGGGACTTGTTTCAATCGATTTCCCCTGACGGTGTGCTGGGGGTGCAATAAAGGCGAGATTCTTCAAATTCGCGGAGTTTAACTGAAACTCAGAGACGCCGGATAAAAAAAGCTGGACGTGCAGAGCAGAGGATGGCCAGTGGACTAGAAGGACAGCTGCCAAGTTCACCGTCCGGGCTGGTAACTGTCCAGTTGCCACGTGGAGATCATGATCGCCGGAGAGGTCTTTATCTATAGGGAATGACTCTGTCCTCAGTTCTTACTGGTATTGCCAGCAGGCAGATGTATCGCTTTCATCTTGCTTTCATCCAGATCTTTCGCTGAAAGTTTTCCATCGGTAAAAGATCCGGAAATGTTATGCTTTAGTGACGTTTCAAGCCTTATCGATTATCTTTTTAGCCTGCCGTCATTGCTCTCGGATTTCCCAGTACCTCCGGCTCATTGGTTAGAGCCTTGCTCTTGGACCACAGGTGCTTGAAACAGCATTCTTCATGATTTTTGCACTTACTTACTAATGCGCAATGCAATAAGGGTCATCACAGCCTGCAGTCTTCACTTTCTGGCAGGCGTCATACGGAGACAGCTGGGCCTAAATAAGCATGACATTTTTTCTCTAACGCAGTATCTCAACTTCCGGTGTTCTTGGCCATATCCGGCGAGGTTCGACAGACTCGAGCCTCGAAAAGGCCGATGTCAGTGTACTTTTCGTATTTACTTTATCGGCCTGTGTTCAGGAGCCGTGTGCTACAGTTCCTTCGCCCCATCTGGCTAAAATATCAAGTTGTATGTTTATTTGTGGTCTCTTGCGCTAGTCATAGTGCATTGCAATTAGCGCAGCAATCATAATTACTGGAGGGGCTATATTCATACATCTATCTAACTCTCCCCTGAATTCCATCTTTTCGGATCTGCATCCAGGTTTACCGTAACTGTGATGCCATTCAAACAAGGAACGACAACGAAGTAATCATACTAGATGAAAGAGCCTTCCGAATCAATTACACTGATCTACTTTTGATCAAAGGATCACTCCAAACTTGACTTGGGCGTTCACGTAATGATTGAATAAGGAACTCGCTAACGACTCCTGTAATTTCCAGTTGGCCATTGCCATATAGAACGAGGCACGCACCCTGTCAGCCTGAGAGGGAATATACATTTACTGCACAGATCACATCAACCGAATGATTTTCCTGACGAGTAGCGGTGAATCGGGATTACGGCTGGTCACGAGTCTTCTTCTGACAACGATACAAAGGCCGGAGTATCTTACCGATAAGCGCATGTGTTCCGTCGGAGTGGTAAATCTGGGGAAACGAGGAAACAGACGAATAGGCTACAGAGCCTAGATGCTCGAATTTATGAAAAACCTTCCGATGCTTGCTCCCTTGCGCATCAGCTTTCGTTGGCATTTTTCAAGATCGTCATAACAATTTACATGGTTGCTGATCGGAAGGTTGATGATACATATACGCATTGTTCTCAGTACTCTGTAGCTAGCGGGGCGATGCATGCCATGAACCGGAAATTATACTGCAACCCCAGCAATGAATGCTCAGGACCATTGGACTCACGGTAGAGCCTATCGAAAAAAGAGTCAGTCGAATCAAGACCTCGTCGCAGCACGCTAAAAAACCAACCTCCGAAATCGGTCCCACCCCAATCAGATAATAGCCACCAGCAGTGAATTCCTCAGCAGTGATAATCTGCACCTCAACCTCTGATACGCTCAATGCTCCATGCTCCCGATACAGATGGTATATCTAAAGGCCGCGTCAGTCGCGATCTGGGCGTGCCCAAAAAACAAAAAAAGAAATAAGATACACACGAAAAGTTTCCAATCAACAACATCCTTGCCACCAGCGCCACAAACTCTGCATCGATAAAAACAGCCCAACTGGTCCAGATCATCCACAGTCGCAGTACTAGGACCCAGGCCCACCATCCGGATAAAGGCGTCGAAAAGGACCCTGGGATCGTGAGGACTCGAGAGCTGCTCTGGCCTCCAACGTGGACGATGAAGAGCGTCCGACGGCGCCTGCAGGTTGCATCCATGTTTCAGCACTCCAGGATAATGAAGGATCCCACTGCAAGATGACGACCCGCATATGAAAGCATTGCGGGCTCGGCGCAGGACATCGCGCTTGGGGAAGATTTCGAAGAGCGGCGACGCGAGATGGGCATGGCCTACGAGCCGGAGAAGGTGGTCGTGAACCACCATGATTTCGCGCCACTTTTGGAACATCAGAGGGATCTGGGGAACGATGGGAGTGAAGGTGTGGAGGTCCACCTGGACGTTGGTTGGGCGGTCGATGATTTGCTCTATGAGGGAAAAGCGGAGGAATTCTTGGAGAGAGGGAAAGGCGGGGGAATACGCTTGCGGAAGAGAGGACTCGGAACGTATGCTCGTGGCCCAGATATATTCTGCGATGCTCTTCCGGGAGGCGATGGCTTGGGCGCGGTTGGCTGCCCTGGTTTCTTCCATCAACTGAATCATTTCTTCGCACATGCTCGTCCAGGTTTGCGTAGCGGTTCAACGTCAGATACGATTCAGTGAGTTGTAACATCAGCTCACCCTTCTCCGTCAACGATGACGATCGATTAACATGTGGATGTTCGTTAAATCTTTCACCAAGGCTCTGAAGCTCGTGCTCGTAACCGAGGCCATTCAATTTTTGGAAAATCCTTTTTTTAAAGAAAGGTAGAAAGATTAATGCGCGCAGTGAAATACGATGACCGACGCTTACGCAGCAGCTCGTTCCAATCTCAATTTTTCTCGTCCTCCGGCCCGGAAAGCCGCTTTGTTCTTGACCCATCGTTCGCACATCCGGACTTCCTACAGAAACAAAGTTAGGCTGTATCGTCTGAGGGTAAAGCGTGGCAGATAATTCACCGAATCCATTTCTGTGAGAGATCTTAACCTCTCTTGCTCGAACAAAACTCTCTCCTCTTCATTCAACGCATGCCAACGCCTCTCGGTTGCTATTACGTCTCTTAGCACGTAATGCGGCTGCTTTGTTTCTGTTCGAAATGTGATCTCTCCTTTTCGGTGTCTGGGCCCTAAAGCGTTCGAATTTGAGAAAAATGTTACCATGGATGAAAGACGACTTTATTTTGCCTGGCATCGTCTTCCGAGGGCACAGATAGCAAAAAGCTTCAGTCCCAGGGTATGTTCTCTCGATCTCATGCTCTGTCATGAGCCTACGACAGCGATATCAGCTCCACGTTTACTTCGTCGGGAGGGAGGAGGGAAGGGGGGGAACACGTACTCTGTCTGTTTGCAACTGGAGCATAGTCTGGTGTAGAATGTGAAATCAATAATACGTACTTGTTTAACTAGGCAGGACTGAAGACCAAAGAAAAAAAAAAGGTCAGTCACGACACAAAGGACAGTAAAGTAAAACCCTACGCGACAGTGTTTTTCAAACAAGAGGCTAATCCACGCCGGTTCAGAGACGCCAGTCATAGGCTCAGGGATAGGCGGTGATATCGCTAGACATTTTCTTGCGTTTCTCCATATGCCAGAAAGAGGTCGACGCATCAAGACGGCGCGTATTGCTTTTGAGGTGCGGGCCAGATGCAGCAAGTCTTGTGGACGCAGGAGCCTAAACATCTTTGGGGGGGGACAGTTTAGCAGTCATCTCTCCACAGAAGCAGAAGAAAAAAGATTTCCTCTCACTTCGAGCCAGATATCCTGTGGCATAGCCATGATGCCTTTGAGGCTGCCGGGACGGGCCCTCATTCTGACCATTCTACACAAAAGAGGAACAGGAGTGAGGTCAAAATGGTCAACAGAAAGACTCAGCTATATGAAGTTGGCTCTGCTTGATGTGAAGGCGAGAAAGAATGAGGAGTTCGCTCTTGCAGTAGCCACTGGCACTACTTATAACTGCTCATCACCAGTCACGTGGACGCGTAGACAAAGGCTGGCTAAAATGGCATGCATAACCACTTCAATTAGTGGTTTTCGTACCTTCCGCATCCCCAAAGAGGTTGTCTTCCTCTACACATGTCTTGTCGAACCACCACTGAGACTTGCTATGCACATCATTCAATGACATTGATTCATACGTTCATGATACGGCATTCGAATCAAACCACGCCTCTCCCTGCGTCGAAAATTACACTCTACTACTCAGAACACAACAGGAGAAATAAGCAAGAGAGAAAAAGACTGAAAGAGTAAATCATAAAAAGCAGAAAAACAACGAACAGACCGAGAAACAAGGCAGAACGTGATGCCGTTTTAGGGAGAGGGTGTAAATATATATGAAGCTCTTAGATGAGGTCGCTATTCAATTTCGAGATCAGTACAAGTAATTCCAATTTGAGGGCCAAGTTAACTCACGCGACGTTGAGAGGCATCTCGTCAATCTGGGTGTTGTAGAACTCTGTAAAGAGAAAAAGGAATCAGCCCCAACATCAGCAAGGCATGCGGGCCAACAACGAACGTTCAATATCCCGCAACATTCTGACATCTTCGGTCGTAACAAAGTTGATAGCAACACCCTTCCTTCCGAATCGTCCACCACGACCAATACGATGGATATAGTTCTCCCGGTTTGTAGGGAGATCGTAGTTGATAACGAGAGATACCTGCTGCACGTCAATACCACGAGCAAGGAGGTCGGTGGTGATCAAAACACGGGATGAACCCGAACGGAATTCCTTCATGAGAACCTCTCTCTGTTTTTGCTCCATGTCTCCGTGCTACCGATCATTCCTAAATTAGCAGCGGTGGGCCAAGATCAGGGAATGACGTACCATGGCGCTGACGGTGAACTCTCTCGAGTGCATCTTCTCAGTCAACCAGTCGACCTTCCTCCGTGTGTTGCAGAAGATGACGGCCTGGGTGATGGTGACTGTCTCATAGAGATCGCAGAGAGTGTCGAGCTTCCATTCCTCCTTCTCGACGGCGATGTAGAACTGTTTGATACCCTCGAGGGTCAACTCGTCTCTCTTGACGAGAATGCGGACGGGGTCGCGCATGAACTTTTTGGTAACCTCCAAGACGTCAGCGGGCATGGTGGCGGAGAGTAGGACGACCTGTGTGTCCTGGGGGAGAAGTTGGAAGACTACGATGGTACTCAGCATTAAGAGCCCGATGGGCGGATCGCTTGCAGGAAGAAAAGAAGAAACACACCCTCGTAAATCTGATCTTTGAACCCACGAGAAAGCATCTCATCAGCCTCGTCGAGACAGAAAATCTTGATGGTATCGGTCCTTAGTGCGCGCCTGTTGATCATGTCATAGACACGGCCGGGGGTTCCGACGACGACATGGACGCCTTCCTGAAGCTTTGCCATATCCTCGCGGACGTTGGTGCCGCCAACACAGGCATGGCACTCGATGTTCATGTAGTCGCCGAGTGCGATGACGACTTTTTGGATCTGCTGAGCGAGTTCCCGGGTAGGGGCGAGGATAAGCGCCTGGGTGCCCTTGACAGACATATCGAGCTGCTGAAGGATAGAAATAGAGAAAGTCGCAGTCTTTCCGGTACCGGACTGGGCCTGGGCAATGACATCGTGACCTTTGACGACTGGGACGATAGCTCGCTGCTGAATTGCTGAAGGGCGCTCGAAACTAAAGCAGAAAGGGAAATAGAAGGAGGAAAATGTGAGAAAAGGGCTATTGGCGCTGTCGTTGACGAGGAGGAAATCCCTACTGACCCGTACGCATATACACCACGGAGCAGCTCCGGTTTCAGATCCATGTTATCGAAGCTATCAAGCTGATCAGTACGAACAATTCCTTCCCCTGCTCGCTATTGATGCTCACTTGTCGACAACCTGGTCCCAGTTGGACTCGATCTCGTTCTCGGCGACATCTTGGAGAGTATCTTCACTGCAGAGCGATGGTCATCATTACAGCCGCTGCCCGGGAAATAACGACAACGTACGCTGACATGCTCTAATATGTTTTTATGGGTCGACCTGCACTGTAACAAAGTCGACGGTAGCGGGAGAAAGATTGATGGCGGTAAAGCAGTAGAAAGTTGCAAAGGATATAACAGCAAAAGAATTTTTGGGCTCGGATACCGGAGCTTTTCACCGTGGGAACCGTATCCTCATTTGGGAAAGGAACATGGCTTTCGGGTGGCGCGCCGGCAAATGCCTTGCGAACATTTCCTTCGCTAATGCGTGATAATAGCTCTCAGTATCTCATTGGATTCATTCAAGATGTCTTCGAAAAAGTCGACCTATCGCATATTTTTCTGTCTGCTGCAAGCCATTTTTGTGGATTCCGAACTGTGATCCGATAGGACATGTGAACGTGCTTCCCCCGTCTACCGGAGCGTCACTGAGTGTTTACTTACCGAGTTGCATTCAAGCTCATACTTGATATTTGTATGACACAAATCTCTTCCTATGCTTTCCAGACAGGTAACGAGCTTATAAGCTGAGTTGATCTCGAATCACTCATGATTGACAATCAATTCATTTTCTATCCCTCGTTGATACTGATGCTTTCATCGATTTTTACCAAGATTTCTATTGAAAAATCAGGCTCATCCCATAAAATAAGGAAGAACGCAGTACATACGCGGTACTGCAGTGGCCAAATACTGCCGGAAAGGTGGGTGCCCGCAGCGAACATCAACCGCTCTTCAATGCCTCTACAAAGCTTGAAGACAACAAGTTGACCGGAAAGCATCAAGCTCGCGAACACAGGAAATTCTGGTGGCAGTGATAACGATAGAGAACGAGCTCAGTCACGGCAGCCACATCAGAGGAAATTAGACACACGGCATAGTGAACATGAGTCAAAAAAAAAAAGACGCAATGGGCCCCTAGACATTGGGCGAAGACATTAGACCATCTCCGAATCGGAGCGCGACGGAGGTCTTTCTTATTTCAATACTTCTTCAGAATAGCACACAGCAAGATTCGCAGAACCAGACTCACGAGTCACCTAGCATTAGTAGGGCTGAAATTTCGCACGTTACTAAGGACCTGGCTTCTAGTTCATAAGGCAGAGAGAAAAACTACACGTAAAACGAAGGGTGCCGGAGCTCTCCACTGAACGAGAATAAGGTAAGCAACAGCCATGTATACCGTCCAAGTTCCTTCTTCGCGTCCAGTTAATGACATCAAGGGGACGCAAGGCTTTGTTTGGATGCTGTTTTTGTTCTAGATGTACCAGTCAATCTGAGTTATGGTTACGGCGACGATCCCACAGCACCCTTTTTTTTCAATCAGCGCTGCTGTGGGAAGAAAAATTTCAAAGTCGATCCAAAATGAGCCTGTTCCGCCTCGGATAATGGCCACGCGAAGCATAAAAATCACGCATGGAGCAGAGCTCGTTGCTCTTTTCCCATCACCGTCAACTGTATCCAAGTACTTTTTTACGAAGCACTATCGGCGCTCAGAAACCATTGTCTGTCAAATCTCTGACCTGTGTTAGTACTTCCTTGATCTCAGTCAATGATATACTGAGGACTGAGCTGGGCTCGATGATGTCCGCCTAGCCCGAGTCAACCTGAGTCAACCTGAGTCGACGTCTAAAACAAATAATCGGTCAATGTGGCGGTGGCCTCATGCTCAAAAATGATCACACCTATGCTTTATGGCTCAAAGGTATCAGCTGGGAGTAATATATTTTCCTTCGCTCCTGCACGATTATTGCTCGCGGCTTCCTCGCTGGCTTCAAACAGGTCCCTTCTTCCACGTTCAACGTCATCTCTTCTGTTAATTCCGCTCTGTTGGCCTGCAGTTATCTCCTGGTTCATACTCGCCCGATTCGCAGAACACAATACTTCATGGTGGCTTCGCTCTGTTGTCTGATGTCCAAGGCTGTGATTGTATCTAAAATGGATGTTCCCTTGTCACTTCCCCGTTTATCATGACATGACAGTAGGCGCCCAGTTTGTTCCTGTCCACCCAGATGAGTAGTATTATATAAGGAACTGCCCCATCTCTTCTATTAGCTTTCACAGACATTACCTCTCAGTCACTCTCCCTTGGTATCCCCCATGGAAAATAAATCTGGCGCGAACCCAAAGTCCTCTGATCGCTCTAACGGTCAGGACTTGGCCACTCTAAAACTGGGCGTGTGGCGCTTGGTGATGCTCAAGTCTGACTCCTTCGATATCGCGAAGAATATACGGGACGTATTCTCTGCAATACTTCTGTTCCTTAGGATGATCTCGGAGATATATGCTTTGGCTCCTCTGCTCTCGACGTTCTATGTGATGGTGGAATTATTGGGCCTGTGCTCGCTGCTGGGAACTGAATCTACCTTGACACTATACCTAACAAGCCGGTTGCTGAAGAGCGTGGGTACCTTTACTCTTTGGAATCATTCATTGACTGAAAGTCTTCTTATAGATTGAGACTGGGATCGCCGAGGGAACAGCAAATTTTGAACAGATAGCCACAATTCTTTTAATCCAATTGTGTTGGATCATTGTCGCGGCATCCTTGAGCTGGTACCAGTAAGGATTCTCCGCCTCTGCAGCTTCATGACTATCTCACGCATCCCTCCCCTAGCCACTACGTTAAAAATAGTCTACAACACCACGTGGAAGCGCACTACACGTTGATCCGCATGAAAGGTGATTATGCTTGAATTGCCTTCATAGACCTTTCATTACGCCGTTCTCTTTGTAGTCCAACTGGATAAGCACAGATTTCTGGACGCGAAAGGTAAATCTTCAACCCCCATTCAGACACCGTTAACAATTCACGGTTAATACCACTGGCAGGGAATCGGGACTACGGAAACCAGTCAGCCTGGTTCTCCTTCTCAGCAATGCTATCCTTCTTCTCTACCATCACGTCCATGTGTGCCAATTTCATCCTTATTGTTCGGACTTCTCGTGAATTGGGCCACCCTTTGTTCGCTCTGGCGTGTATCCTCAAGCCACTGTACGATAGCTCCTACACCCATATCTTATGGGGCTTCGGTAAGCACGTCGGTTTTAGAATCCTCTTCTTGCCTTTGACAATTAAACAAAGACTATTTCTACCACGTGGAGAATAAGGACTTCATTCACATGCAAGCCGTGGCTTCTCTTACTGAAGAAGACCATCGCTCGGAGGTTCTTGCCGGTGGTCTTTCTGACTATATCATTGCAGGTGAGATTTAATCGCTTTCTACCGTGTATAATGTCCATCATGATATTGTAAACGACCGTTCAGAATATGCCAAATCGTCAAACCGAGTCGGCAATCTTCCAACGGCTCGGCCCGAAAGCCAATATGGTCTACCTTCGACACCGTTCCCGGATATTCTATCTGCTCTTCTGGGAAGGGCGCCCATCGTGAGTCAAGCACTTCCGTAGCTGACAAAAGTTTCTTATCGAATTGAAGATGTATCTGGCTTTGTTCGCCATTGTTAATCCATCAGTGTTCTCTGTGACGACATTCGCCATTTTGCAGCAATATTCAGCGAACCTCCAATTGTCGTTGAAGTTTCTTCTCAATGGAATTAGGCAATTCAGACATGAGTGCCAGCAGATAACTAGCTTGTACGATTCATTGAAGATGCCCGCAGCACTATCCGACGGTTACCTCGCGTATCCACCGCGCTCAGGATCCAAATCTGAGAAAGTGCAATCGGAGGTTTCACGAGGGATGTCCTTCGATGTACGGTACGTGTGTGACCACTGGCGAGTATCTCAAGAAACTCAACCCCCACCCCCCGTTACAGAGAAGTGTGCTTTTCCTACCCCAACGGAACCTCTGCTTTGACAAACGTCTCACTCTCCATCAAGTCTGGGCAGCTCGTCGCCATAGTCGGAACCAACGGCAGTGGAAAGTCTACTCTGATGAAGCTCTTGACTAGGATGGTCGAACCGACATCAGGAACCATTCTTGTCGACGGGAATAACATGGCGGACTACAGGCTATCGGATTTTCGACAAGCAACTGCCAGCTTTATGCAAGACCACGGAATCTTCCCTCTGTCTTTCTTGGAGAACATATGTATGGGCAATGTAGATGCTGTTGGCTGCGACGACGACGAGGTCATGGACGCTGTCCGCAAGGGAGGCGCCGAAGACATTTTGACCGGTCTGGCTGAAGGACAAGATACTGTGCTTGGTGGACCTAATGACTACCGGTTTGGCGCATTCTCTATGAACGAAGATGATGATGACGACGACGACAAGAAACCAAATCCATTGCTTGCTAGATGGGAAGGACTTCCGCAGGCCGTCCTAACATCAGGTGGAGAGAAGCAAAGGATCATTGCGTGAGTATACCAAGCTGTCAGGGACGTCATTGTCCTCACCCGTTTATCTCATGCAGCGCTCGCACTTTTATGCGCTTCAACTCTGGAAAGGTCAGCTTCGTAGCTGTGGACGAAGCGAGCTCAGCGATCGATGCCGCGGGGGAGATGCAACTTTTCGATAATCTGATCAAAGAAAGGAAAGCGAAAACGTTGGTCATCGTAACCCACCGTTTCGGTCCCGTAACACGTCAGGCTGATCTCATATTGTGAGCGTTGGTTCGTCTGAAAATAGTGGAACTTTGTTCTCATATGGTATGGTTTGTAGGTGTATGAAAGACGGGACTTTATGCGAGTCTGGACGACATGACGAACTCCTTGCATTGGGTGGAGAGTACGCCAAACTATATACCATACAGGCTGGCGCCTTTACCACTGTCGACGTTGATGGAGACTCGAACGCCTGAGGTGAGAGATATGATTTCTTTTTTTTAATGCCTGTTCCTGCTACATGTAAATACTGGACTCCTGAACACCACCCCTGACAGTTTAGTTATGCACGGATTTTTAAGTTCGAAACTTGTCGTCCCCGTGGTCCATTGTCCGTATACATGAAGGAGGTGCTCGTACCAAGCTGGCTGGAGTATTTAGACTAGGCTGATGAATGGACGGGAGACGGTTCACTGTCGGCCCATGTTTCGCACTCTTTTCTTCTCTAAAACTCGGATTAAATTTGCTTTTTTACTACACGAGACTGTCATCGTGACGTTCTCTGCAGATTTCGAGACTATGTTATTGCAACTGCTAAGCTATCCTGCAAGCCTCCCCATGTCTTTGCTTGTTCGGGTGCCACCAGGCTTCACACGCCATTTTTCTCCTAGAAGGTCTCGTTCGAAGCTATCTTTTTTGTTTAACAGCAAAAGCTTGTACATATAAGTTTCCGTTTCCTAGCCAATTTCGATGTTTCCGAAGGACACAAGTTCGTACCTTGAATTGATCAGATGTTAACAGATCTAGACCGTAGGGTAATAGAGGGCAATCTAGGGATAATTGAATGGAATTGATGATAACCCTACGGCATCGAGTTCTACAATCACGTTACATATAGTTTATCATAACTGGACACGCTCATGAGTCCCAGTTGTCTGTCACGGTCTTTTCCTCCTCGAGGCTGCTTGTGGGATATGGTATCGCACTGAGCGTGGACGGCGTAATGCATTTCTGGCTTTCTCATAACCGGTACCGCTTGTTCGATTCAACCCTGGGCGATGATACATCTATAGATCTCTTCGAAGGGCTAACTTGCCTCGATCGAGGGTTCGATCGTTCTGATGACAAGTCCGCAGTATTATACAAGGACCCACTGATAAAGCCAGGAGTTAGGGATACCTTTTCGTTGCGGCAGTCAAGGTATTATTATTATATATACAAAGATCCGTGCACGGTGATCTATGTCAGGCGCTCAATATGTACCCGACAAGGATAAGTATGGAGCAGGGAGTAGTAGGCTAGGATTAATGCCACTATAGATTGCGTGATCATTCAAGGTTCGCAGAGGCTGCAGGTCCTGTCCTATCGCCTTTGCCCAAGCAGGAACGTTCGCTATGATACGGTTCATTATCACGGTGAGCAGGTGCTTCCTCTCTTCGTCTGTCACTGACAGCGGCGGGAAGCTGAAATTGGGATTCGCGGCCCACATCGGAACAGCACGAGCGGCTTCCCAGTCAACAACAGTCACTATCTTCGTTGGGTCAGTCCGGCTGACTAGAATATTACGTGGCGCAAAGTCTATGTGCTCAAGGACGATGGGCAGATCGTCAAGTTGAGAAGCAAAGTCGAAGTTCTGGACGCTAGATACGACACCGTTGACGAAACGCTGTTTCTGGTTTGCGTCGTCTGAGGGTGCCTCCAAAAAATCCAGATCACGTCGCGCAGTCGCGAGGATCCAATCCTTCGCATTCGAAAATGGGCCACATTTTTCGAGTCGCGGTGGGGAGATGGAAGTCTTTCGGTTGGACGCTAGACGTGTCATGGGTCCGATGTAAAATTCTCCGCTCTCATTCTCGTACAAACTTCCAATGGAATGGAAGGTGACGCCGATTATCTGTGCCCACACATCCGCGATGGCTACACAAACCTCTTCGCGGTGCTTGGCATCGAGGGACCTCCATACCGTAGAGAGATTATCGCCGTCTATCTATCCTTGTCTTGGTAAGCCTACCCAGATATCGGCATGTCGGAACTTACATATTCCATGATCATCCACTCACCCCCGACAGCTCCGTCGGCGTCGACGTCATGATATAAAATACCAGGGACCGGGATTTTAGTTTTCGATTTTAAAAAACGTAAGGTGGCGACCTGGTTTCAAATCAGCAAACGTTTGAATAGGTCATAGCCTAGATTGTGGCGTACCTCTGAGCGCATAGCCAGAGGGGAGGTCATTCCGCAGCCAGCATGCTTCAGAATGGACCATTGAACTCGGATGAACACCTTTTGCGCCTTGTTCATATGTGCAATATAGGTCTGAAACAGTTTCAGTGAAAGGACGCTTTTACGCCTTTGCGGTGAAGGGCGCACCATATGATTTCCGCCTTTCCGTCAACACGAGGTTAATACCAAAAACATGCTCGACGACGACTAGGTACGTACATTGTTCAAAGGGATCGAGTTTCACGCACTCGTCCGAGAGCTGTTTCTCGATACGTGATTTAAGCGCTACCTCGTCTACCGAGGATTTTGCGCTTGGGCTCGAAGGGAAGGGAGGGCTGAACGTCATGGTGGTGGTTCAAAAGATGAACTCGTGTTTTATACACCGGCGGTCGGTAGGGGCATTATTCGGTTATTGTTCTATCGCAGAACACGATGTGATGGAGCCTATTCCCCGGGGACACGATTCCCGGCCGTGAAGTTTTCAAGAATATTACGGTTATTCCTATATTGGGACCATACAACATTTACTGCCAGCGGCTCCGCATCGTCGTTTCAAGGGGTTGATTTAAAGATATATATGGTAATTTGACGGTCCTCTGTGCAGAAAGCGCCACTGGAGATGCAGGGTACAAGTACGTGGATATATATGCACCGTCGCTCCGCACTCGAGGATATACACATAAGCATTAATTGATAGGGGCTGGCTGAACTGAACCATCAAGGTTCATATACAAAAACGCATAGCATGTACAAAACATCTTCAAAACTGCCAAGAACAAGGTTAGGTATTTGTAGTACAACGAACAGCGTTATTCTTACCAAACATCGATGGCCGACGTTAAAGAGGGTTTACCCTTATCACTTCGGATTATAAGGCTTCCAAAAAGCGGTCGTTCTTCCCGGTACAGGCTAATAAAAATAAGTCATGAACCCGAAGTGTGACAAAGCACTAAAAGCTCACGCAAGTGCCTTGAGAGATGTTGTCTATTGCCAATGCATTAGCAGAAGTGACAGCGTATCGAAGCCAGAAAGACTCACGGTCCTGGAGACACTCGAAGGTGAACATTGTCGGTCTTCCGTTCACTCTGATCCAGTGAACACAGTATTCTCCCTTCACCCAGCTCGTCTTCGTCCCTGCCATATCCCAGATGTGTGTAACTTCGCCTGGAGCCATCGAGAAAAACAGTGAATGTAAGATTGCGGGAGATGATTGGGTCTGTAGTTGCGAGCAATCCGGAAGTAAAAATTTCAGGTCTTTTATATGTGGGTGGCTTTGCAGGGTGTTGCAGGGCCTGCACCAGTGCACGGGCACAGATCCGACCCTTTGGTTACCCCGAACACGTCATCCTTGTTGCACGGAATGTCAATCTGTTTTGTTAGAAACATGCCTCTCACACATTCCTAGCGACTCACATATGAAAATGTCCTATATGACTCAATCGTAATGCGTTGCTTCTCCTGGACGGCGTTGAAGGCAAAAAGGATTTCAATATACAGCTCCTTTTCGTCAAATCCTGTCCTAGGCAAGTGTCTCCGATCACACGGCTGAAACCCAGATCCTTGGACAATGGACGACTATCTCAAATCGGGCGACAATCGTCAAAATATGGGAAGAAAATTAGAGGTCGCCATAGTGACCTTCAGGAAAATTTTTTTTCTTTTGGATCGCCGAAGAGACCCCTCGAGGAGACGAGTGGTTCCTAATGAGATTTTTGATACCGTTCCAGAATCCAGACGGGCGAGCACCCCCGCAGTTGTCAATGAAATTTTAATTCGAACAAGCAGTGGACGCGTCATCGACATAGATATGTAATTGGCGACCCCGAGTTCGGAACATGGGCCCAATGGCCTGCCTCCATCGTTCCCAGAACAGAAAGAGACTTGCTAAACAAACATGATGGAAGCGCCGGGTGGTGGAGGTCAAATGTGGCGATAACGTTCACTGCTCCTGATTAAGACATATCTGTCCGAAGAAAAGGCAATTGTCCGCGATACAGCTGGCACCAAGAGCCACATCCGTATAAGCATGAGGTTGAGCAAAGAGCCTCGTGAGTGGCGCACCCATCAGCGTGAATCGAGCGGGAGAACCCGGCATCATTTGCCTGAAAGTGCAATAAGTTGAATAATACAGAGGCATATTTCAGGAAGGTGGAAAAAAAAAAAAAGAAAGCTCAGGTACGCTTCTGTCAGTGTTATACAGGCCCGAAAATAATTGATGGATACAACGGGGCGGCGATGCCGCTTTGGTTGGCCTTGCATCGGAAATGAGTTACCTGACGCACTGCGTCGAATGCTGCAAGGAACATTAAGGGGATAGATGCCGGTCCATGTGAAACCCATCATCATAATTATCTCGTTTATAGTTCCGGGTCTGCGGATTGGTGTCATGAGACAAGGTGAAGATGCAACGCCGGTATACAGAAGACAAAGAGAAAAGAGTCGTTGCGGTCGGAATATTCCGCGGAATTTCCGATCGCAATTAGTTTCTCTGGTTTGGAGAGACTAAACCATGCCTGTGGTACCACAGCTTTATTAAGGTAGTTTCCCGGTAATTTGCCTTGAACCTGAGGTGCAACGCCATGAAGTACGCAACGTTTTCTCTCCGATCTCTTCCTAACAGCTAGGACAATACCGAGATTGTTATCGGCCTCAGTCGAAGCGCATGGTGCCTTGCATCTAGTCCGCCCCAGTTACAGAGGGCAACAGATAGTGGTGGAACACGCTGCTCCGGATCGTCGTCCTAACACTGGGAATGGCGGATACTGTCTCTCGGTGGTTCATTCACGTTCGGATATTGTTACAGAAAGATGACCCTAATGAAATGCGGACTGCTGACTCCAGTAAGCTTGATGACAGCGAATGCCACACGCTTGCCACACGCGCCTGCCAACATTTAGCGCTCATGCCGCTCCCGTTGTAAGCGCGTGTTCAGAGAATACTCTCGTAAACACTTGTTTCACGTTGGGCGACTCCAGCTCGTACACCTAGACCCAAATTGGAGGAAATATGCAATGAGGGCAGTAGCGTAGCGCCTCTTTGTGGTTGTGGCTGTCGTTGCGATGGGACGAGGATTTTCAAAGGCGCGCGAGTCTATGGCGATATCGCCGCGGTGAAATTACATTGCTCTTTTGTGGAGGTGGCTGAAGCAACCGTTCCCAAACAAAGAGAGGCATGTTTCACAACCTAGAAGGAATTTCAGGTATCCATCTCTTCAACCACGTTGTGCGCAATGTTACACCTTGGTCAACTGTTAGGATACCCTGTCAGAAGATGCTGTGGTAAGACAACGAGTCTAAGCCCAAAGGAAATTGCGTACATATGCTGGTCTTGAAACGATAACTCGGGCATGGGCATAAATATCTCTTTGACCGCTGTACGCAGTGGTTCCACCGAGTAACGAACGATGTTTCTTTAGAAGATCTTCTCAAGGATATGCAACCAGCGCGGAAGTCCGCGATCGTCCAAGCCCGTCGCTGCTTCTTGTTCTTCGGTCAGCCATCGCATGATCGTTGACGAGATGGAAGGTAGACCGAAGAGAAAATATGATTTTAGAAGATGAATTTGGCAAACAATGCAGGCATTGGCACACGAGGATCCCGTCGTGGCTCCGCTGAACAATGACTCCTTCCGCGAGCCGAAAAGTCGTTCTCGGGCAATCGTTCATGCGCAGAGTTTATCAGCGACTGATTGACTGTATCATAGAAGCGTCCCTGCGCGACAAGGAGACTATCAGAATCGGAGTTTTGAGGTCGAAAAGAGACAGTATCCCATGCGACCAATAGGAACCCTCATCGCGACTGTGTCTAGTTTGTCAAGGACAGTCACATCGGGCGGTTCTCTTCTGAGACACCGAAGCTAAATTATGAGGCTCGGGCATCCGTAGCATCAGCCTCAAAGAATCCTATCTTGGTTACATCGCATGTCCGGGACAGCGGGCTGTGATATCAAGCGTGTTTCGGAGCCAGGGCAAAGGGATGATGAATATCAGTGCTAATAGACACTGCTTGCGGTCCCCGTTGGCTTAGACAGGCAGCACCGGTGAAGACAGCGGACAAAATTGTTAAGCCGTAAGGGACGGAACACCTGCGCTGCAGATCCTCTGTGGTAACTAACACTGGCATCACTTGAGGTCTGAACCGATGGCAACGTATCGTACTTACCGATAACGAAACCAGGTACTCCTTCGATATTTGCCAGCGGCACAGGAATTCAGGACAAACCTAATGCCTGCCCTTGTCCGGAGCAACATTTAGTAGCCGCGACATTTGGGCCTTGATGACGTTGTCGCCAAGGTGGGCGGGCGTGTTTTGCCAATCTGCCCTGCACGGTAGCAGATTGCGCTGAACTAAATTTTTTTGAACGGAAATTTCACTACCAAGGCCGTAGGGTGAGATACGCTATCGACGGCGGCGGTCCAGATCTAGCATCCAAGCCACGGTACCTATTTAGTCTTTAATAAAGAGCGTGTACGCTGAGGCCCCTTCAGACTTTGCCGCAGACAGTTGGTGCGCAGTCGCAGTCACGCCTTCGACCATGAGTCGGGAATATAATGACTCTCAGGCCCTCTGGCGGGACATGCCTGCAGTCGGACGGTGTTTCACCTGCTGCAACGGTCCAATGAGATGAAATGATAATCATGATATACGCCATCTGTGGTAACGTGGGCGAAAAACTGCAGCAAACTCAGATTCCTGCAGGCGACCGCCAGCCAGTTGAATCAGGCCAGAAAGCTTTACAAATACAACGATAAAGACGCACTTCAAATTCTGTGGCGTTTCGGCCAAATTTCTCTAAGTCGAGATTTTACAAGGGTCATCTCCAGTGTTTGGCCTGCAGAATCAAGGGATAGATTCATTGTAGCAGTTATGCAAAGATAAATACACACACACATTATACACAAGTTCAGATGTCGTTTTCGTGACCTTGCAGTGTTGTATGATTTCAGGAGGGTTAAAAACCAGTGCTAGCCAAAGACATTGCAAATATTTTTTGCTGGACTGAGATGGTGGTAGCTGGAACTTGCTGGCGGTCAGTGCCCCTCGAGCGACCATATCGATATGCTCTTTACGGCCGGAAACTGCCCATGAGGAACTGCACGAGGTTGTTGCAGTTGAACGCTACTTCTCACAGACAGCCGAGATGAGCAGGGAGAGAATGAGAGAGCCACCATTGTATAGAGGTAAATGCGGTCAACTGTAATACACAGATACAGGAAGAAGGAAAGAAATTCGCGTGGTGTGAATTTCAACGTTCACAGGGCGTTTGATCACGTGAATTGTATTCGCGGTTACCGGCCCGAGTCGTGATATGTTGCACGACGACCACCAACCTCTCGGCATTGCACTGTACAGAAACGCCCCGATGCCTTCGTTCAACTTATTATTCTTATAACCAGCAGAATGGCCCTCAACGTAGAGATAAGATAACATCGATGATGAGAATTCCGACTACGAGAAACAGGAATCCTGGGTTTTTGCTTGAACGATGGTGAACGTTTCGAATACCGTTCTTTCACCCCCAACGGAATACAGACCAAGACTTAGAAGAGGACCACGTATTCTGCTTCTTGGAGTCAGCCATAGGCTCCAATAGCAAACGCGATTTCTCCTGCTTCTACATGATATTGATCTCTCATATGTCCGGGAACTTTGCCTTGAAGTTATATGTTTGAAAGCCCCATCGGATACAGTGCCTTCCCTTCCTACAGAACGTGGAATAGAAGAATGCGTAAAAGTTCATGGCTCCCTCCCTCTCCTTCTGACCTTTTTACAGAGCAAAGGAGGATGACGGATCATTCAATAAGAGAAGCACGGTAAATAAATGAAGAGCTCAGACGCGTTGTCTTATGTCATCATCTTCTATTATTGTTCAATAGTTGAATCTGATTTCTGGTCGGTAGGTTCCGGGGTGCAAAGTCCTTGACTGGCATATCTCCTACTGCCAAAGTTGTCTTTTGATTTTTCAGGCCTGCGCATAGCTTGAAAAAGAGGCTTTCGAGTTATGCACATGTTCGGAAAACTCATCAAACAATGGCTCAAAATTGATGGCGACGAACTCGAGGATAAGGAATTGAAGATTATCACATCGGAGATCAACGAAATGCTCATATTCTACGATAATACGACCCAATATATGAAGGACCTATCGCTGAGGTAGGTGTGTTTGGCGGCTACCTGCAGTCTGCATCTCTTACCTATCTAGTATGGACTACCCGTCATTGACGAACGGGTTGAGGATAGACGGGAGGATTCCATAAGCGGGACATTCTTTAATTTTCGCTTTGTGAACGCCCACGAGCTGGCATGTAGAGGACTGGTGTAAGTTCATTTAAAGCCATGACTCTGTGATTTGTGCTTATAGGGATATCACAGTTCTGAAGTGTGCCGTCCAGCAATCTGGCGTAGACGACAAGTGCGAAGGGTTACTCTGATGTACGTTATATTTCAGCAGGTCCATTAAATACTGATTTTCCCCTTTACAAGAGAAAGATGCCTTACGGAGTGCCTTCAGAAATCCAGAAAACCGTCCCTGTTGCTCCGCTTAAGGCTGCTGGAATCGAAGATAGCTTTTAGTTTGGTTCCTCCACCTTGTTGCAAACCCGATGCTGTATCCCTACTGCGCGTCACGGTACCCCCGTTCCGGCCGCTTTCCTAGCTCAAATACCTGATAGCTAACAGGAGAGTCTTCCTTTCACCTCCCCAGACTCAAGGTGGACGATGATGTTTCGCAACGTCCGGTACGTGGTCTACAATTCCCTGTCCGACACATAATCAATGCCATCTTGGTGTTTAGCGACTTCCTCCGGCGCAAGTATGTCCCCTCGCGTAGTCCAAGTGTTGTTGCTATGGAAACACCTGTATTTCCACCTGAGATTTTCGAGCTAATCATCGACTGCGTCGCCTCCGAGGTGCTCCGCTCATGTGCGCTCGTTTGCAGGTCTTGGCTCCTTTGCGCACGCCGCAACATCTTCCGTATCGTTTCGCTACACGAACACAAGAACAAGGGCGCTTTCGAGGACTCAGAGGGCGTTGCACGTTTACACCTACGATGGAACCGGGTGAGAGTCGTCGACCTGGCTTCTCTAATCCAAGATATCTCTATCGCATGGCAGTTTGCTGGTACACTCGTCCCGTTGGCATCCTCATTCATCCGTCTGAGGAGGCTCAAGCTATACTCCTCGGATGCAGCATATCGGTCCCCAGGTGCACTTGAGATCCGATCCGCCTCCCAGCTGCTCCGTGCACCGCCAATATCGCACCTCGAGATATCCACATCATATTTCGAGACCTTTCGGCTTTTCCTGTCCCTTTGGGATACCTCTTATCCTTCGCTGAAACACCTGAAGATATCCCTGATATCGATACAGGACATGCACAGCAGGTTCCGGTCGGTCATAATTGACCAAGCGAACGAGATTATGAGGTCGTACGACACCGCTAATGTCAGAGAGCACACCATGCTCGAGTCATTTGAGCTCTGGGAGAATATGCCTTGCGCCAGTGCTATCGCCGTCTTCCTCCTCCACCCAAACTGCCCCATCCGTATCAGCACACTGAAGGCTCTCAAATTGCATTCCGATCCTATCACCGGTCAGGGACTGGCATCCATATTCGTTCCCGTCCTGCCATCATCCCTCACTAACCTCGCCATCTCCTGCTCGGAATCCCAGGATGATTTGTGTCTTAATTCGCAGCGTTTGCCAGGTCTGAGACGCCTTACTCTGACCGTAGTGTTGGCAGCTGAGGGTCTGCTCGGGGTCATAAACAGACTACAGTTGGAACACCTGACGCTGACGATCCGGCGGCCGTGGGAGGGACATGACTGGGAGCGCTGGCATGCGTTGGACCTGTGTCTTGCGCGGTGTTTAATACGGCAGGTGGATGTGGAGTCGATGAGAGCTGGTGACCTCAAGAGCTTGATGCCTTTGAGCGCCGAGTGCAACAACATCCGTTGGGTGACCTGTAGTTAAATGCGTACTCCCCTTTCCTGGCGTATCTTTCTGATCGGGGAATGATGATCTGATCATCGATGCTATTCGGTGTGTACCTAGCTGCAGGAACGGTGAATGTTACGTGTGTCGTCGCGGTTGAAACGAACTTTATCCAACGGACTACAGCCCGAACCTCTCCAGTTGTGGATTCGGCACCTTTGGCTTGTCTCAATCATCACCACCACTACTACGGCCGATCTGCTCATTTGACGACAATCTTTGGAAGAGAAAATAGACCGCTAGTCGATATTAATTGCACATCCTGTCTACAACTTCTCATTTCTGCAATTGGGACGCCGGCAAAGAGTAATTGAAGACGGCAAAGTGCGCCTGGTTCGTTCTCGATGCCTGTCCTATCGTCGCAGGGAGGGGGCTTCTCTCATCGACGCCACACAGCTCTGGGAGGATCACCACACAATAAAATGGACTCCTCACTGCTGAGGAATATTGGTTCTTTCTCGACAACGGCAACGATGACTATGAGATATGCACAGATTTCATGGACCGGATGCCGCTGCCCCAAAAGGAAGTACCAAAACGGTGGCCTGCGATAGACCGACACAAGAAAGGAATACCGAACCCATTTGCGAAGGATTCCTTCAGCGAGATCAGCTATTGCATAATGCAACAAGACCGCATCTGCATACTGTCGGGTTTGAACAAAGAACTCTGCGCAGTGCACCTGGTACCCCGGGATTATGCTACATGAATGCACCGTTTATTTTTCTCTACCTTCAAACTGTCTGATCCAGTGATTCCAGTACCACTACCATCAGATCTACCGGCAGTGTATTTTTTGCTCTATTGCCGATGCCCCCAAGGCCCGTCCTATCCGTCAAATTATCACTCTGGAATCCGGTCGCTCAAATCTATGAACCGTCCTTCCTTTGTTATCGCCCCGCTCAGTGACACGTACGTTGCATTCTTTTTTGTTCTGCGGTGAGGCGCGATGGTGAAAGATCATCCGCGGACTTTTAGGATGCCTGAACGTATCGAAGGATATGCGCTTTTCACTCGTTTGGCGTGGATGATGACGACTATTGCACAGGCGTTACCCTCAGAGACTTGTCAGATCAATCTCTATGCTCCCGGCTACTCTTAGTGGCGTACAACATATCGTATGAAACGACCAATCTATAGGAGTCAAGTAACAAAATTTTTCATTATATTATTTGGTATACAATCTGAGCAGAAACCATCACCATCCTCAGCAAACGCACTATCATAGTCTCTGTCGCTCCGGGGAACCTTCGACTTCCCATGTACACACGTTTCGAGTGCTCAGAGTAGGGGGACGTCTCTTGATAAGCTCCTTTGCCTGCTCAGCATCAACAGTTGTAGTCGCCTTTAGTACGACGCGAGACGATGCGAGGTCTGGAGAACGAGACAACATTTTGTCTTTTACCGTCGTTCTTCAAAAATTTATGCACCAGATCAAGATGTACCGTCATCTTCTTCAACGCCAACTCTTCGCAGCAGTCCGTCCAATGGCTCAGAGAGAGGCGGAACATCATTGTCTAGCCTCTCTTTGTTAGATGGATAACAACGGTACTGATGTACGAGAAGTTCACGACTGGTATATCGACTGGATTATCTGGAGACAGAGAGTCTCAGTTTAGCACACCAACAAATGTTGCAGCTCGTTGATGAATCTATCAATTAAAGGCGAAGAACAGTAACGAGATCTGTATCATGAAGGTAAGTAAGTAAGAGGTCTGATACAGCTAAGAATATACGCACCTCAGTCGGCACAGCGAAGGTGTAAACGACTGAGGTACGGCAATGTACGAGAGCAGCTTTTATAGGTGATCGAGATAGGTACAAAAAAGGTAACTGAGAAAGAGAGAGAATGTAAGTACGGCCTACGGATCCATCTTCAACATCAATGAGTTCCTGGGGAACTTCCTTTGAACAGAAGCCAGCCATGTTTGACTCGTGATCCTAACATGAGATATTGAATTCTTGGGAAAGAGAAAACAATTACTTACGGTGGCACTGAGAGTGTACTGAACTCTGGCAGAGAAGATAAATGATTCTGAACGTGACGGTGAATTCAACACTACTAAGCAAGTATCCAGGCAGTCTTTCGGTGGAAATATTTTTTCGTGAGTGGTAGGTAAGTAGGTAGGTAAGTGGCAATCGTCGCGTTGTGGCTAATAAATAACGTTGTGAGCAGCCGGCGTTGTGAGTAACCGGGTCCCGGGCCGGCGTCTTAAAAGTAACCACATGTTGATCTCCCAATGGCCCGTAAAAACCCCACATTTCCGTATCTTTGACGTGCTGTTGCTCGAAGAAATCTTAAATGTCAAAATTCGATATCCCCCGCTTTACCAAGGCTCTGGTTCTTCGCAAATCCGCGACGCTGCAGAGTCCGGTGTACAATGATGCAAAGATAGAGCTGAGAGAAATTCCACCTCTTAGGGCTAGCGAAGTATTGGTAAAGGTCGGGGCAGCTGCGTTTAACCACAGAGAGGCAATTCTAGCTTTTATATCGTTATGTGTAAAGTAACACTTTACACAGCTATGGATTCGTAAAGGATTGTATCCGAACATTGCATTTGGGAGCGTCTTTGGCGCTGATGGCGCAGGTAAGAGCATATTTTGCGTAGTATATACCCTTCCGATATCATTTTGTAGGTGTCGTTGTGGCATCTGGCCAACCCAAGGATTCACTTCTCAATACTCGCGTTTTCATGTCGCCCATGGTCGGTTGGGCAAAGAGTCTCGATGGGCCAGAGTCTCCGTATGTCTCCAATGGCATCTACACATTTCAGGAGCTCACGTCTTTGAACAGGAAATTTGGCGTCGTAGGAGGTGTCGTTTATCCTCCCCTCGGATACTTTGCCAACTATGTCGTCATCGACAGGTCGCTGGTGATTAAATCTGCCAGCCACCTCGACGACGTTCACATGGCTGCATGGCCCTTGGCTGGTCTCACAGCTTGGAGGTGCGCTCATCTACAGCTGGCCCTTTATTCTCTGACTGTCTGCACTAAACCGCTTAATAGGGCGATAACGACCTGCGCTGGTGTCCAATCTGACCACAATATCTTGATAACGGGCATAGGTGGTGGTGTGGCTCTTGTGGCTCTTCAGTTATGCGTCGCCAAAGGCGCACATGTCTATGTGACAAGCGGTAGCCAGGAAAAGATCAACAAAGCCATTGTTCTGGGCGCCGAAGGAGGCGCAAACTACAAAGATGGTAAATGCCATCGAACGTCAGTGAAGCTACCACCCTTCTTAACTTACCCTTCTACAGATGACTGGCCTACTCAACTTTCTCAAGCTTTGAAGAAAGTCCGGGGCAAAGACGTCTTTGACTCGGTCATTGATTCTGGTGGAGGCGACATTATGTCTCGAGTCAGCGGGTGCCTCAAACGAGGTGGGAAGGTTGTCTGCTATGGCATGTTAGACGCTTCCTCAATTACGCAGAAATGTGATTGTTTCTGACGGCTTTCTAGGACGGCTAACCCAAAGATAACGTTCACAATGAGAGAAGTGATGCGAAACCAGCATCTCATTGGTTCGCACAATTCCTTCGTACCGATCATACGCGTCTTGACAGAATTTCCACAGGAACCATGATGGGCTCGCTGCAGGACATGAGAGACGCGACCGCGTTCCTGGAGGAGCACCGTATCGTGCCCGTGGTTTCTCATGTGCTCGAAGGTCTGGAATCCGCAGAGGAGGGATTTGAGATACTGAAGAGAGGAGACCAATTCGGCAAGGTAGTTATTAGAATTGACGAGAAGAGACCAGGGAAGCTGTAACTGAATATATCAAGGAACTGTTTACCGGCATTAATCCATGTCGGATCCCGAGGTGGCATGCAGAGAAACAGAGGACAAATCCGCCCTGTTGCCGCCCCTCATATTTTTATTTTTCAGGATAAACCGATTAGAAGGAACGCTCCAAGACAATAAATGGTTATACTCTTTTTATCCGGTGGTTCTTGATCACCCACTTCCACAAGGTACGTATAAGCGCCATGCCCGACCTCCCCCAAGAGCTCTTCGACACAATTATCGACAAACTCCAGCAGGATAGAAAGTCCCTTATGGCCTGCTCCTTGGCCTCACGCATATTCCTACCTCGCACCCGATTCCACCTCTTCCGTAACGTAGTCCTCAACGAGACCTTTAGCCAAAAATTCCACAAACTAGTCGTCTCATCCCCGAACATAGCCAGGAATGTCACGGACCTCACCTTCTTCGGGGATGTGTTCAAAGAGCGGCTGGTCCTCCCCGTCGTACACTCCCTAGTCAACCTGTCAACACTGTCCCTCCAAGACATGGATTTCGACAACGTCCCGAGATATAACGCCGGAATCTTCGACGCGTTCTCCCATCTTCCCATCAAGCACATTTCCATGCTATCACTTTGCTTTCACGACTTCTCCACCGCCATAAGGACGTCGTTTCCCTTCGTCCAGAGCCTCACCATGTGGGACGTGGTAGGGCGGTCCAATCCAGAGCCCAGCCGCCAGTCCTGCCCATTACAAGTTCTGAAGATACACTTCCGCGAGATGGGCAGATCCATCCTCGACAGCATCGCCAGCGGTGGTCTGGGTGCTCTGGACCATTTGCACACCCTGTCAACTTCGGGATGCCCTCACGATGGAGACTTGAGCATCTTTCTCAAGCTCATGGGTACGCCCTCTCTGCGAACTTTGGAATTGAGAGATCTGCAATGTGGTGAGTTTTTTTCCTTGATATAATCAGTTGGGACAGGTGTTCAATTTGTATGTTTTTTTTGTAGATGACGACAGCTTCGCTGCACCGATGTCAATTTCCCTTTCTCATCTTCGGAGCATCGTCTTCCACGTCATTCAGTTCGGGTCTGATAGACCTCACAATCACGGAGTCGGCATACAGTGGCTCACAGGCTGTTTTGCCCTTGCTCCCAATCCTGATGCGTCGGCTCAAAATATCGTCATCAAATACAGCCTGTTTGTCGGTGCAGAGTATGTATCTGTATATGAGCGGAAGAAATGGGCAGCACTGAATGAAGTGCTCTCTCGTTCGCCCGTTGCCTCTCTTGTTTCCGTCCGCGTCATCATCAGACGATACCACGATCGTGCACAAACTTTTGACACGATCATGAGCAATTGTCCCTGCCTGCGTAAAATGGGCCGAGCGTTCAAGCTGGACATCGTAGAAGAGTTTAATCACATCTGATATGGCGGTATGTATTTTACTTCGTGTTTTCATACTACGAATAACGATATTTTTACAGGACATTAAATGTACAGTAGACATCATCTTCCGGTAGTTGCTAATTATCATTGCCAAAAAAAAAACCCTTACGTCTTCTACGCCTCCGACTGTACTGTCGCTGAAAATCGAATTAGTTGGCATACTCGGATAAAAGAGAATTTCTTACGTTCGCGCCTCGATGACCCTTTGCCAGGCATGAGACGGCTCTTCAAACCTTCTTTCATCTATTTACCAGTGCAGTATGGTCGGAGGCCATTGATATACCTCTCTGACAATTAGCCAACTGCCGCTTGTGAGCGCCATTGGCAAGCGCTTTTTTCTCCTCCCGGTCATAACGCCTTCGTCACATGCATGAGCATTCCGTTCGGTAATAATACCCTCCCCTTCGACGTGATCACTAAACGAGACGTCAAGAAGCGTATCTATCCTAAATACAATGCCACTCGCACTGGGCAGATATGGGAGTGAAGGCAGGAATATATCAGTAGGCAAATGCATACTGGACAGACACATCAATCTAAAGATTTTAGGAAAATGAAGATGCAACTCACGATCGATAAAAATAATACTAAATCGCCGAACGAGTTGAAAGAAATCATAGTTGAGCCAAATGCATTTGTCTGTATTGGATGTAAGTCTAGGAGCAAACAAAGACGAGGAATCGTATACCCAATTTCTTCGGTGCCATTCCTTCAATCTCTGCTCTTGCGTTTCCTTACATGGTGCAGCAAAACGCAAAACAGTCTGCCTGTAGCTATCATCGTACTGCTCATTATCCCTAGACCTATTATTCTTCTTGGGCGACTCAACGGAAGGGAAGCCTGTGTGGAAGAATACTTCATGAGGGCATCTACGAGGCTCTCCTTCTAGATTTTTGGGTCAGCTACAATGATGCGTGGCGTAGACAGTTGAATGTACCTTGGTTCCTTTCGGACCAACTCTAGTTTCTTTCACAAGCGCTCTGAGTTGATCAACAGGGAGTGTTTCGAGAATCTCGCGGAGTGTCAGAGGATGGTTCTTGTATTCATATACATAATGACTTGACCACATATGCTAGCTCTTATCCTCATGCAGAAATGGACTTTGTGTACACCTTTTTAGAAGTTTGAACCAGATTAAATGGTAGGACTCAGGAGTCCTCCCTCACAGAGAAAAAAAAAGTGATGACAATTGACATCTTACCTAGACTCCATTATGAACTGGCACCACCATCAAGAATTGACTTGTGCTGTATAGTGAGCACTTTACAGGGCTAGGCTTGGCCTGACTTTTGGGCTTGAAAACAAAACAATACATTGAGGCGCGTACACTAGCCAATTTGGGGATTGAACCCAGGACGTTTGCATTAATAAGAGGACTTTGTGCTTATATATTAGCACAACGCTCTGAGCAACTGAGCTAATCAGCTAGTTGTGACATGATTCAGGTCAAATGGAGTCATGGTGGAGAACCATTGAAATGCTGAGAAGTGGCTATGAATGAATCAACAATGTGCAAGGCACACACCACTAAAACACTAACACCAAATCACAATGTGGTTCGAGGGAGGAATAGTAATACCTGGATTCTCAGTATATAGAGAAGGTAACATTGATAGGGTGCAATAGAATGTAATTCAAGGATATATATTGCAGTTTACTTGGACAAAGTGTTGGAATTTAGGTGCTGGCAATTCAGAGAAAGGCATATTGGACTTGAAGGAAGGGTATATTTCATCATATAGAGTAAGGACAGTGGTGGTTCCAAGTCAAGTCAATAAGGTACAAAAAATGTCAAAGTATAAGGTAAACAGTAAAATATATATAAATAGAATATGGTATTAAAGCTATGAAAACCAAATCTCAACACAAAGTTGTCTGTGTCACTGAACACAACAAAATCTATCTCAAATGGTCTGCCTGGTGCAGTTTCTCAACTGATACAGTGCACCTGGTTGTGACTTGCACACAAAACTAAACTGTTCTGAACTGTTCCTGGTCTGTTCTGACTGTCTGACACAAACTTTCAGTTGCTTTCTGGAGTTCTTGCACAAAACAAAGTAACCTGGTCACCACAATACTATTCAAGTTGAGTCTACAACTCAAAGTTCTTAACACAACCCTTACTGTTCACTTGGTAGTGTTTTTTTTTTTTTTTTGGGGGGGGGGGTCAGAAACCTGCTCTTTTCTATCCATGGATCAATATTTATACTTTCTGGATGCTGGTGTCTGACTAACACCATGACCTACTGACTAATAGGCTTGCTGGCCTGGCCCAGTAGGCTAAACTTATCTCCTGTCAGATATGAACTCATACACAGCTGCTTGGCAGATATGAGTTCATTTGCAGCTAGCCTGATCAATCAACCAGACTCTGCCCAGCCCTTGCCGGCATGCCAATCATGTGGGTCCCCTGGACCTGGGAACCTCACCTGCTAAATTGCAAGGTTCACTAGTACTCTGGCTTCTACTGGATACTGAGATGATGCCCTTCAAGGGAATCATTCCCTCACCAGGTAATTACTTATTATCTCTTACTATAGCACAAAGTAACTAGCCCAGTAGAAAACAATAAATATATTCAACTTTCTACCTGGTACAGTTGCCCGGCACATCACCATAAATCGTCTTTTCTTTTGTTAGAGGAAAGATGTCAACCTGTTCCTCTTCGCGGTGGCCTATCGTTTGTCATTTCAAGACAAAGCAGGCATGGCCAATTCGTATTGCAAATGGTGTGCGTCTGTCATCGTATAGAATCCAAGAAGGCCCTGTCAGTAGTAGAAGGTTATCATAAAATCGAAGCTGATTGAGCATTGAGAAATCTCCGAGATGGGGGGTTACATAGATGGAGATAAGTCGTACAGAGCGGCGCACGTATGCTACGAACGATAATATGTTTGGATTGAGAGGATAATCGGGCAGTATTTTCGCATCGTCGAGGGATACTGTGAAATCGATCAGCTCGCTCTAGAAGCAGGTCGGGTATGTTTGATCTTATCATTCCTGTCAGATCTAGTCGTTGATTGATATCAGTCCTCGTGACTGTTCAGACTGTGGTGTTGGTAACGCTTTGTTCTTCGTACTCCTTGCTTTTGCAGTACCGACTCTGTGATTATTAAACTCGTGTAGGTACTCGAACGTCTTTGGAGATAGAAGAAGAGTGATTAGTGCGAGAGCTGATGGGGAGAAGTGCGCCCAAATATATGTACCGTAGCTACTTGTATACCAGTGGTCTGATGGGTAGCATAATGTAACTAAGACAAGTAATAATAAAAGTAGTGATAGTAAAGACAAGTTAAAAGGTGAGTAATGATGCGGATAATGTAATAGCTGCAGGCCGAGGTCCTCATGTAAGACAACGGACAATGTGCGCACGTAGTGGAACAAAATCCTCGACACTCGCTTATAGATATTCTTCCTGCTCCCTCGGGCCCCTAGACCCATACTTCAAGGCAATCTCTTGGACCCATGCCGAAATGTCTCGCCGTTAGAAAGCAGATTGTCAGACCTGCGAGTCATCATCTTGTTATAGCACCTCATGAGCTCTTTCACTGGAATCTGGACGCGTCCAATAAGATCGCTAGAGCCGAATGACATTTAGAGAGAGATAAGGAGATCAAGCACGTGAAACATACTCGGCCGAGCTGGTCAGAATCCCAAAGCAAGAGCGAGACAGCTTCCTCAGTCTTGATCTCATCATCGGTGACCAACAGACAGGCTGTCTCTTCGTAAACTAGATTAAGGTCCCCAAGGATGATACGCGGGCCGTCTTCACAAAGCGCGACACCAGAGGAAGCTCGAGGACGTTAGGCAGGGCTTTAGCCATGGGGATCGCCGAGACTTCCACAGCAGGAACGCCCATTTTTTTTTTCAATAAACTGTATACGCAGCCGGATGGTACCTGCAATACCTTCAACTTGAATCCACATTCTGTGGTGGCCTAATCAGCGCGGAAGATAACGCATGCAATGGTCACGCTTACGGGACTGGGACATGCAACCAATCATATACACCGAGGAAGAACCCAACCAGTAGATGTATGTTTTTTGAGCGTAACTTGGAGCCCGGAAGTGTTGGTACGCGAAAGCAACCTCGTAGTTGACGTAATCGCCCGACTGATCAGCATCCAGACCTTTTGCTTTGTCGGGCCTCTGTTTGCTCCAAAAGCTGGTTCGTGCCTTGGTCATCCGTTGGTCGACCTGTTAAAGCGCGCGCATAGAAACGATGCGAAAAGGGGTTGTCGTCCTGGCCGATATCACTAATACGGACAGCATCAACAAAATCAAACCACGAGGAGACTGTTGCATCACATCTTCGACTCATGTCCGCAATGGAAATAAATTGCATATAAAATCAGAAATAGCTCATGCGAAGGTACAATCTACCGACCATGTCCCGGTTAATGAGACCCCCAGATCGTTCGGACAAATGCATTGAGCCATTCTGCAGACTCTGGCGTCGAGGGCGCGCGCGTATGTCCTGCCACGTGCACAGTGCACGGTGCATTTCGACCCGATCGCGTTCCACTTCCTTTTCCAACTTCTGCTGTACGATGCTGACGGCGCAAACCCAATGGCAGCCATGAAGGTGCTACGAACGCCAAAATAGAGCCCATGGCCAGGTGAATGTTGTGTAACCATCGACCTTCGGGGACGCCAAGAAAGAACGAGATGAAGGTGAAAAGCTGCCGTTAGCCCTGGTTGGAGGTAGTCGAACATGGCCAGAAGCGGGGAAAGCGACGCTGCGGGTGAAGGCAGATATGGGTGCAAAGAAAAATTTCCTGGACGAGCGGCATTGAGAGCTGTCTGTGTAGGCGAGACTGAGCCAACCACAGGAGCCATTTCCGCAGTTCCGGTGCGTCCATCTGGATGAGGAAAATCTGGTGATGCATCGAGTCCACTGTACAGAGCAAAGAAGGGGGGGGAAGATAAACCTTTGAAATCAGCATCTTTAATGGTGACATCCAAGCCTGTCGTTGGGTCCTTCACAATCCTCTCCTTCTGCCCTTCCTATTTCTTGACTTTATCCGTTGGCTCTTTCTTGGGTCCAGCCATCCAGTTCATCGTCTCCGTCTTTTCGTTGGCTGGCTCGTCGCTGGCGGAAGTCTGGTCCGTCTTCGACGTCAGACTAGTTGGTGGTGAAACTGGCGAGTGGTGCTCATCCTCCTCATCACGAGTTCATTTTTCGTCGCTGTATGCTTGAATCGTAGGCACAGAGTGACGTTCGCTGTTCCGTTCTTTGAGCAAAGGCGTGCGACGCGACGCGATTGAGACTCACCTATGTCGTGGACCGTGCACGGTATTGGTTTAACATATGCGTTGCTCCGCCGTCGCCTTTATATCTTGACAGGATCCCACTGAAGTCCTGTTGACGTAGATGGATTTCTGCATCGCGATCGTCATTACACCACGTGCACGCGAAAATATTTGGTCTGGATATTTTCCTGTCACCGCGAAGAATCAACTTGGTCGTCGCCGAATGTCCATGTCAGTACCAGTACCAGTGCCAGTGGCCATCGTTGTTGTTGTTGGTCTTGGGGTTAGGGTTGCGGGCCGCTCAGAGCTTCCCAGGATCTTGACGTCGAGGCATCCATTGAACGACTTATCTTCATACGGATCGTTGAGTCTGGTTTACGAAGTGCGCTGCTGCCATCATCAATATTTTGTACGATCTCGTTGCTTCCCTTTCTACTTCTCCTCCCTGGTCTGTTATTCGTATCAGGGTCGCCAAGGTCTAGTAAAAATCGAGCAAAAAACGCATACTCCCCCAACACGCTCCGCAAACGGATAATGACATTTTGGCGGAGTCCGAGAAGAAGAAATAGGTCATCGTGGACAGGATGTCTGGTGGATATAGGTTCATAGACATCTTTCGTCTCTTTGCAATGCGGTCTTGGAACGAGAAGGAAGCCATGGTGAGGGAGACGTTCCAGCCTTGGACTCTTCTGCGCGATCAGCTGACACCGTGACTACACAATCAGAGGTCTCTGACTACTCAGCCTATATGCTTGTAGCATACGACTCGGGTTGCCATGCTGAGACTCTAACAGATGTGTGGGGCCTCGACCTCGCGAACGAAAATGAGACAATGAGGTAGTCGACAGACATCTTCCAGGCATATGAATTTGTCTTGGGCCCGGCTGGGTGTCGCTGCAACATCTTATAGAGATGTCAGAAAACAGCAGGGTAGGTAGGTGGGCAGACAACGCACTATGACACCCAAGGCTCGCCATTTATATGTCTTGAACGTTGAATACAAGATTCGTTGCTGGCATGACTTGTAGTGAAAATGCAGATGAATTTTCGTAAAAAAAAAAATACAGATGGTGAGTGGTCCAAAGGTAGTAATCATGATTTCTTGTCCGGCGGTTCGGGGGGTGGTACGCCCCACTCTGGGAGACCCTTCGGCCGCGGTACTCTCTTTTGTTCCCAGTCATCCTCGACCTCTGCATTCAGACGCTATGATACGGTAATCAGACACGCACGCACGCATACACCACGAATCCGACGGCCGCTCACATAGTACTCCTCCCGAATATCAAACTTTTTCCTGTTCTTCGACAATCCCAGCTCTTGTTCCTTCGAAACCTGAGAAATGATGATATAATACACCTATGGTGGGTAAGAGCAAAGTACTCGCCGCCTTGACTTTCTGGTCATGTAGGTCGTATCGTATTTGCGTAAAGGGGGTTATTGCAAAAGAGGCCCCGACCATGATTATAACGAAGGGAATGCCAAAGATGAGAGGATTCTTAGAAAATGTCTTGTTGGCGACGGCCTGCCATTTGGGCTGACTCAGTGGCTTCGATTCGAAGACCGGCATGTGGTCGTCGTCGTTGTCAAAGGTATGCGCGGAATCGTCGGCCGACGAGAACGTAGAGAGAATGTGATGGGAGACATGTGCCCGACCGGATCAGGCATTTCGGCAAGTGCTGAAGAGAATTACTAAAATTACTTGTGCCGGAATCTAACTCTTGCTGCATTAATTTTGTGGTACTCGAACTGCAAGACTTGGAACTGAGAAATAGAATGAAACTAGGAAGTTTTCTCTCTGGTGTATGCAGGCATATACAATGGGAAGAAAACACCGACGAAATTCCGTGCCGTCGCCGGCAACAGGCACTGGTGGTGATTCAGAACGTGAACTCAATAGTTGGCTAGTTAGAACTTGATAATTATCAACCTTATACATGTAATGTGTAGTTATGTAGCCTGAGCCGCTAATGTTTTCCTGAGATTTGTACAAATCAGTCTATGGTTAGGCTATGACTATGATGGGTGAACAAGGGAGGCAGTTGTTCAAAGTCAATGCTTAGATGTCTTGAGCCTATCTCTCGCCTTGTTTTGTCTTCATGCTGTCCCGAATTTCCCTGGAGACGTTTCTCCCAGTCGACTGAATCTTCTGTGGCCGAGTAAAATTTCGGCTGATCTCGGCTAATCAATTTCATCTTCTCCTTTTCTGTTCTTATATATATCCCATACTTTCATCGCTCTATCCTTATTCTGATATTATTCCCGTGGATAATATCTACCGTCGACTAGCTCTCGTTCCAGTAATACAGCTATGGGCGGTGAGTTGGTCAGTGCCGATGCGTACTGATGTCGCTGAATGAGGTTCTGCAGTTACGGTCGTCTTAGGAACGCAATGGGGCGACGAGGGTAAAGGCAAGCTCGTCGACATCCTCGCTGCCGACGCCGATATCTGTGCGCGAAGTGCTGGGGGGAACAACGCTGGGCATACTATCGTAGCCCCTATAGGACCAGAGAGGGTTCCGACGACCTTTGCATTCCATCTGCTACCCAGTGGCAAGTCATTTCCGGATATGCATAAAACACCAATTTGACGGAGATTCCTCCCAGGCTTGGTCAATCCCAAGTGCATAGGCCTCATTGGCTCCGGCGTAGTTGTTCATGTCCCTTCCTTCTTTGCTGAGCTCGACGCTCTCGAATCGCAAGGTAGCTGTTGTTCGTTTCTCGTTACAGCAACCTTACACGCTCTATGTCTAGGACTCAACTGCAGCAATCGTCTCTTCGTCTCGGATCGTGCCCATCTTGTATTTGATTTCCATCAGATCGTCGACGGCTTGAAGGAGGTCGAGCTCGGGAATTCGAGGTGAGAGTGTTTCCTCTTAGATCCTCACCGTGCTCAACGGCAGCTCGTTTAGCATCGGGACGACGAAGAAAGGGATAGGCCCGGCCTACTCTGGAAAAGCATCTCGGTCCGGTCTTCGAGTACACCATCTCTTTGACCAAGAAACGTTTGCTCAAAAGTTCAGGAAGCTTGTTGAAGGTCGCTTTAAGCGTTACGGGCATTTCGAATATGATACGGAAGGCGAAATCGAGCGGTACAAGGTATGTATACTATAACCGCTTTGTATCGCCCACCACTGATAACCATCTATCAATACAGGAACTCGCCGCCCGACTGAAGCCCTTCGTCGTTGACAGCGTTGTCTACCTTCACCAAGCCATTGCTTCGGGAAAGAGGGTCCTCGTTGAAGGCGCAAATGCTCTGATGCTTGATCTGGACTATGGAACATACCCGTTCGTCACCTCGTCCAACACAACCATCGGGGGTGTATGCACTGGCCTCGGACTCCCTCCCAAACTGATTGGGCATACCATCGGTGTCACCAAGGCATACACGACCCGCGTAGGTGGCGGACCCTTTCCAACAGAACAACTCAATGTGAGTCGCGCTTTTTGGGGATCTTTTCATGTCGCTCATGCGGGATCAGGATGTCGGTGTGCACCTCCAAGAAGTCGGTTGTGAATACGGTGTCACCACTGGCCGTAGGCGCCGCTGCGGATGGCTTGATCTTGTCGTGATGAAGCACTCGTGTTTGATCAACGGATACGATCGCCTCAACTTGACTAAGCTCGACATCCTTGACGATCTACCCGAGATCAAGGTTGCGGTGAAATATGCTGTCGACGGCAAAGCTCTGGAAGGCTTCCCAGGTAGGTGCACGACGATCGGGGAATTGTTATTGGGCGGCTGACCTTGCCTGTTAACAGCGGACTTGGAGCTCCTCGCCGATGTCGAGGTGGTGTATGTCACGTTTCCTGGCTGGAAGACGCCGATTACATCTGCGACGTCATATGAGTCTCTGCCTGAGAACTGCAAGAAGTATGTCGAGTTTATCGAGTCTTTCTTGAATGTGCCGATAGAGTGGATTGGTGTGGGTCCCGGAAGAGAGAGCATGATACAGAAAGTAATACAGTAGATGTCCAACGTGTGTGTGTGTAGAAGGTAAAGATAAGAAGATATTGCTACATCCCGTCAAATCGAGACTACCGTCGTAATTAGAGAATAAATACTGCCTTCATAGCTGGAAAGCATCATAATCCACTTGATCAACAACCTCCACTGTGAAGAGTGATCCTCGACTCTGAAGATACGTGCAACTATCCTCAATCACTCTCTTCGGATGAAAAATGGTTCCTTCAGGATGACCAGAGATACCGTTAACGACCACGCGAAACAGCTCCAACGCAGACATGCGTGGATGTGATAACAAGCTATCCAATGCCGCCCACGCCATTATATCTGCCTCGGTGAGATGATCTCCATGTCTCTGATACACCGTATAAATAACGGTAATGTGTCGGATGGACGATATTCGCCCGGGATCCGACGACAGGCAGGAAACGAGCCAACGTAGTAGAGAAACGTGGGTGTAAGGTTGCAAGCATATCATATTCATCACGATCGTATGAAGATGCAAGAGCGGGACGGGATCAGGCAGAGTGTGTCCTACATAATCAAAAAAAAAAAAAACTGTCAATATCGATAAAGCAGGACGAATAAAGAGGAGGAGCATACCATATTGGAGGTTACGAAGACGCAAAACGCGAAGCGAGGGGAGCGACAGCAGCTTTTGAAAGTGAGGAACGGCGTCATCCTCGGGACAGCCGATGGTAAAGAGGGTATGGAGCTCCGTCAGAGCTCCCAACGCCCCCCCTGCCATGGCTTTGAGTATCCCATGATCGACATCGTCTAGCTTGATCTTCAATGTCTCCATCGTGCAGGACCTCTCAGGGACTGCTGCAAATTCCGCATCGGCGGTCGCAAGGGCATGAACCTCGGACATCTCCAAGTTCCGCATCTCGGGAAAACATCGATTCATCAACGTACAGAAAATCGAGACGTCGAGAAACGTCGTAAAGGACAGGACGACAGATCTGATGGGGATCTTCGACAGTGCGTCTGCAACTTTGGGGAGACTGGACACTTGAGAGTGGCGGAGCTCGATTATTCTCAGATTGGTTAAGGACTTCAAGATCGCCATCGCGTAGCGATCCTCGGAGAAGGCGATGTTGAAGATGGTGAGGTCCTTGACATAGCCTGGGATGTGAGGCGATGAGCGGGTCAACCGGTGGAATTTGGCGCTGAGCGTCCCCCCCGCGAGATCGATGTGTCGAAAAAGATGCAGACGTGTCTGGAAAGAGAACGAACGGCTGACAAGCGAGCAGGACGTCAGAGACAGGTGATCATCTTGCAATTCGTCGATGATCGTATTGATAAGCTCTTGTGGGGCGGGGAATTGGGACATGACTGGATTTTTTTTTCCTTTCAGATTTATATAGAATGTATAACGTGTGAGGATGATATGTACCTAGATTCTTTTGTGCGCGAGGTTGCTCTTGGTCATGGGCCTGGGTGGAGGCAAGTCGCGATGATCGCCGGGCCGAAGCGACGACGCGTTGGCCACGTGCTGCTTTATACGTAAACGAAATTTAACGTCAGAATTAATAAGGGAATTCAAAGCTGCTGATTTCCCCCTCTGATTTTACGGTTAAAATGATATTCCTTTGGCTGATATTTACGTCATGCGCTCAGAGACTTAAATTTGACCAAGCTCGAGCAGATGCCGCCTGCACCCGGTGAAGATTAGCAGCCAAATTGGAACTCCGCGTGCGTGCGAGCGATGTCGGTGCATTCGCCGAACTGAACAAAAATCACAGCGAAATTCATTTTACACATCAAACATTGAACCCTTATTGAACAAATTTTGATGCCTATTTATTGTTTCGAATAGCCAGAAGTTGGCCCCAGTGAATTTTCTTGGCATTGGGACCTCCGCCGCCTCCTTGTGTTCAATAAATCTAGTCGGCTACATCTACCGTCGGATTATTCTTATGTTGCACATTTATCATTGTTTTGACCATGTAGTTACTCAAGGCTACCTCCTTGTATGCGCTCCTACCTTGACTAGCATTAAGTAAGCCTCGGCACAATCCGCCGCGATCGCAGGCATGCCTTTTTGCTCTCGAACCTCATTCTCTTACACTCATCGTCGTTACTCCCGTGGTTGGCCCCTAACATCCGGGAGTTAAATACTCTCTAATAATTCCACCGATAATTTGTGCAAAAAAAAAACACTACGAGAAATACGTGCCGTGTTTTCATCCATATTTTTTACCTGTAATTTTGTCCGTATTTGGTCAAAAAACAGATGAAGTCACGCCCGAATGCAGGCTGTTAGACTTATGCCCCGTCTTCGCATCGCGGTGATACAATTTGCACCCAAGGTCCGTATAATTCTCTACGGTATGCTACCTGACACACACACCCTCAGCTAGGCCAAGTGGCCGCCAATATTGCGACGGTTAATAAGCTATGTCGCGATATCAAACCTTACTCCATCGACCTTTTGTGTCTACCGGAGATGAGCTTCACTGGATACGTCTTTCCTAATGCGCTTGCTATCTCTCCATTCCTGGAACATCCCCTCACTGGGCCCACGTCGATGTGGTGTGCAGAAATAGCACGTAGGCTGGGATGCTACGTTATCGCTGGGTATCCTGAGCTGCTAGCTGAAGATGAATCGCGTTCGGTAGTAGACGATGAAGGAGCTGAAAGTGTCGGTGCGAACAGCGCGACGGTGTATGGACCCAATGGGGTCCATGTCGTGGGGTATCGCAAGACCAACCTCTTTATAACTGACCGAACATGGGCGAAACCCGGTACAGGGTTCGCAACGTTCCCGCTAACATTTCCCTACACTCCTCCTGATTCCGAGGTACCTGCTGTACCCTCTACTACCCTCACGGTGTCTTTAGGAATATGCATGGACTTGAATCCCCATCCTCCCAATTTAGGGGATGAATACGAGATGGCATCGTATTGCCAATCCACCCACTCGGATGTTCTTATACTTCTTAATGCCTGGCTGGATACCTCGATGGAGGGCAATCCGGCATCGGAGGGTATCGAAGTCGATGAGGAGGGCGAGCGTGATGCTATGGAGCCGGACTGGCAGACGGTTCGCTTCTGGACGGGGCGGCTGCGGCCGCTATGGGACGCTTCTGCCTCCACCGCATCTGACTCGCATTTACGGACTACGTGCGTGGTAGTGTGCAACCGGACTGGTCTAGAAAATGGTATAGCCTTCTTTACATGTAGTCCCGATTTATTCATATTTCATCTCTCCCTCCGATAGACCGACTTTTCGCAGGTTCATCTGCTCTCTTTCGGATGAAACCGGGATTTCCTGTGAGGCCACATCTACTCGATGTCATGGGATGTAGGGAAGAAGGTGTGAGATTTTGGGACGTGGAGATTGGATCAGCATAATAGGAGTAACTGGATAGTTGCATGACAATAATGACACCATGATTTCATCTTGTGTTCATGTGGGTGCTTTCTTCTTTGCATTCAAGATGCCTCTCCGGGTAATCTACTTGCATTTCGTCAACCTCCGACTGTTGATGGCCGGGGCACGCGTGAGAAGTAACAAGATTTTAGTTGAAGTTCGAGGTCCGATTTTGTTTCGTTGCCTTCTCGCTATAAAATTACTGCCACAATAAGTAATAGGGCACGAGCTTCATCGAACGGTCTTTTTCCTTCCGGTATATCATCCGTATGTTCAATCTGGTTAGTGTTTACTGGACCATGTGAACTAAGAAATCAGATGGGAAAATCGAAAAGGCAAGCCGCTGGAAGAAGGGGGGCAGTATTCACCTGCTAAATATAAAGTGCAGAGCCTTGTGACTAAAAGTAACTTTGGTTTTAAGCAAGTCACACAGAAGTAAAGAATATACCTCGTTCTAAGTATATCAAGAAGTGTACAAAGGAGTAGTCTCTTGCCACTGTGTTCAGTCGAAGAATCATACCACAGCTTTGGTAATGACGCGCCATTACCCTAGCTCTTCGAAAGATAAAAAGTTGCTGTAGAGCTTTATGGCTAAAATAAAGCAGATAAGATCAATTCCCAACATGCGGAACCAAGTCCAAACTCGGCATGTACGGCTGCTCGATTGGTAATAGTTGCACACAAAGAAATGACAGCTTTCCCTTAAATAAAATAAGTCAACTAAACTTCACCCGCCAAAAAGCATGTCGATGAAAGAGGTACATTCAAAGAGTGTTAGATGAAAGTACTGTCGATGGAGGGAAGTGGAAGAAGTTGAATTTGGGCAAGGATAGCAACGATTAATTGGACGATCGTAATTTCGGTGCTTTCCATGTAACAGTAGTGGTCTCATGCAGATCAGCTCTGAGGTTCAGAACAGGATTTGTCTGCATTCCGAATCCACTGACACGAAATCGGATCTACGGTCCGAGAAGTTAATCCTAACCCTATTACTACCCTCATTATGAGTCGGCAACTCCGTCCTCGAAAAGCGCGCCCGAGCTACAGCGCTCTTGCTGGTCTCGACGATACAGATGGAAACGGTGCTGGGCCATCCATTGTCGACCTTGACGATGCTTCAAGTGGCAGCGACTTTGCACCAGGAAACGACACCAAAGATGCCAAAGAGGACGAAACAGATGACCTCGACGAAGAGGATGAGGACGACATGGACGTCGACCTCGCAGAACCAGAGCCAGTTAAGCCAAAGGCGAAAACGAAAACAAAATCTGGGGATTTCGTCGTTAAGCCCCAAAATGTTCTTCGCGCGGCTGGTGGGTCCAGACGGCAGATGTACGTCCTTCCGACGCCCAGCGTGAATCACCGACACCGAGCAGTTCCGTTGTATGCTCATGATGGAAAAGTTGAACGTCTAGTGACTCGCCCAAATCCCTTCGTGGAGACGCAAACGACGTTGACCAATAATTTTACCCAAAACGCCAGGATCACTGACCATGTCAGTAAGGCTTGGGGCTACAACGTCGGTGCTGGACCGCTGTGGGAGCTTGTTGAGGACAGAGGGTGGTTCAAAGAGGGCGCTGCTGATGCTGAGGTCGAAGCCTACAGACGACCAATTGTGCATCGCAACGTGAAGGTGAAGAGTGACCTGCAGATCCTAAGCAAAGAGTACGTTGCTTCACACCTTTGCTTTGGTCGTGAACATAACCTTCGGTAGGGAAGCATCTCCGTACCTTCCTTCTGATACTACAATGACCGAAGACGGCGCCTTAAAGCCTCCTCCCCCCATTCCTTGTTTCTTTGGCCCGTTTGATTCTCAAACTCGCGTCGAAATGGCTCTGTACGAGACGCAAAAAATCGGCAGGTCATTTCATGGACTATCTTCTAAGATACTCTAACATATTCGTGTAGCCGAATTCATCCCCGAAAGTAAATCCTACGTGTTCAATCCCGGGGCGCCTGCGTGGGGTCTTGATTGGTGCCCAATCCATCTAGATGACCGACGAGGTTAGAGCAAATGCTGAATTTTCCCTTGGTTTATCTCGAACCAGACGTAGGCCGTCAATACAAACAGTATCTGGCTGTTGCTCCTTTTCCTACAAGTGATCATTCGCCTGAAATTGGTGTTCGCGAACCTCGTCCATCATATGCCTGCATCCAAATTTGGTGTTTGGATCTCGAAGGATTGAGCTGCGAGCTCGTCGTCTGCATTGACTCTGGACCAGCGTACGAGTTGAGGTGGTGTCCTCTTCCATCGCATGACGCTGTACGTGGCTTAATTTTTCCCTTGAGCCACCTTTGACAGATCCTCAGATATCTGGCAGCGACTCGAAACCGAAAAAACTGGGATTGCTTGCCGGGACATTCGAGGACGGATCTTTCTCGGTGTTTGCAATACCGGATCCAGGCGACTTTGAGCGCAATGGTTCAGATCCTGTTTTCGGTATATCAATTTCTTCTCCTCCGCTCTCGCTGATATGTTATATCTGTAGTTCGCATTTCTCAGCCTGTGTTACGTATTGAATTGGCTGAGACTGCTTGCTGGTCCTTTGATTGGGCCAACAGTGAAGTCGTCGCTATCGGAACGGCAAATGGTGAGATTTGCATCGTCTCCGAGCCGATGTGACCACTGACTTACCTGCACAAAGGTATCATAGCCGTATACAATATCGGGGCTGCTCTCAAATCTATGGATGGCCCTAGTACGGTTTTCTGATAATATACTAATGGTCTTCCTAATGATACCGTATCCAGATAGCGCTCCCATCACCGGCCTCCTTCCTACGCACTACATTTCCGTCCACCAATCTGCGATCCGCGCATTGGCGTGGATACGGGCACCACCGTGTGCACCTTCGGGCGCGCCATGCACTGATCAAGACCCCACCGTCATCGCCAGCGGTGGATATGATGGAATGGAATGTATGACGGATACACGCGATGGTCGAGGATCGGTGATGAATCGCACAAGAGGTAAACTGTGCCAGCTCTTCTGTTCATGTTTATCTGATTGAATGCTAGATGTCATTAACACGATGGCGTTCTCACCTTTTGCTGGAGGTCCGATTACGATTGACCATGAGAACATTGTGAAAGCGTACTCTGCGTCACCTAGTATGCTTGGGAGGGGACATACACTGATGGAACCTCAAGGACCTGTTTGGGTTCGTCCCATACCGTTCTGTAGGCTCGCTTATGACTCACGCTCCTCGTATCAGTGCTTGAGTGCATCGGACTATCATCCACAACTGGCCGTGGCTTCGGCTGATGGAGCATGTTCAACAACGAATATGTTAAGGTCCACGCGGAGAGGTGGCACGGTCGTACGTCATCCTGCAGCCTCTCTGGTCGCTGACAATTTATTTCCCGCAGCCCTTCTTCGTTCACAGGATATACCAGCTGGACTATAGTCGGAAATCAAAAGAGTACCGCATGCTGGAGCGCTTCCTTCCGCAAGAGACCGTCGATAGGACAAAGAATCCGGGCAGCACGAGTATGGGATCGTGGCCTCGGCAGGTCGGTATTCATCGTGTCGTATGGAATGAAGGGAACGGGCTGGCATCAGCGGGGATGCTGGCTTCTGCGACAGGCTCGGGGCTTTGTAGAATTGATTTCTTGGAAGGGAGGTGGATGAAGGGTAAGATACCTTATAATGGTATTGAGAATATCAGGGGAGAGGATGAGGAGAGGATGGAGGGTGATGGGGATTCAGATGATTCTTCGTGATTGCTCTTTACTTCTGAGTCTGTTTAGATATTTTTTGGCAATTTATTTTGCTTTGAGACTTACTAAGCAAACACCACCACATACTGCCGGCTCCGACTTTCAGAATCAAATGAAATACATGCTCATCGAACTTCTTTTTGTTCTCCCACTACCTCTCGAATAATTTCTGAAATGTCTTCAACTGTCACGACGCACGTTCATACTGCCTCAGGAGGAGCAAAAGCTCGCAGGCGCCAGCGAGGCCGTGGAGGAAACATCAGAGGGAAATCGCAAAATGCAGATACGAACGGCGACAGTGAACCTGGACCTGCGGTAGTGAAGCAAATGGGCGAAGAAACAGCACCCGAGCACGGAAAGTCAAACGAGTTTTCAATGCGAGAAGAGATTGGCGATGATGCTGTATGCTGGATTTGTGCAGAACCGGTCAAGTATTATTCGGTATCGCAGTGCAATCATCGCACCTGCCATGTCTGCGCCTTGCGCCTTAGAGCGCTTTATAAAAAGAATGACTGTACTTTTTGCAAGGTACGATTTTCTACACGTTTCCTGGCTGTCTACATATCTCGCATCGACTCTAGGAGCCTCAGTCGTCAGTCATCTTCACAACATCTGAAGATGCGCCGTTCTTGTCCTTTACGGATGAATCTACCCCTTATGCGGACACCCCACTATCAATATTATTCGAGACGGAGGAAATGATGCAGGAGTCGCTCATTCTTCTTCGCTCTAATTGCCCAGAGGGGGACTGCGACTTTATTGCAAAGGGATGGGCGGATCTTAAGCTGCATGTCCGTGCGACGCATAATAAATTGATGTGGTATGTCCTTTCTTGACGGTTACGATGGCTGCCTTTTCATACTTCACTTCAGCGATCTTTGTTTACGATCCAAAAAGGTCTTTGCCCACGAGCATGCTTTATACACCTACCCACAACTGGCAGCGCACCTTCCGTCGATGAATTGTCGAGCTAAGGCCCCACCTAATCAAATTGAAGGCGGCGTACATCCATTGTGTCAGTTTTGCCGCGAATGTTTCTTTGATGATGATGAACTGTTCCCGCATATGCGAGAGCGACACGAAGAATGCTTCATATGTAAGAGAAATGGCATCAGAGACCAATAGTGAGACCCCATTCTTTTTTTTCCCCAAGCAGTGGGTTTACTTTCTTTTTTGTAGCTTCCAGAACTACGAGACTCTGGTCAGTAATCTATTTACTCCTGGTAAGCGGCTATTTCAGGTCAGACAAGAACCTGGGAAAGTGGGCGGATAACTGATGAAATTCTGATCAAGGCTTTCGACCACCGAAATTCCTTTTCTGTGGTCAAAAGCCTGGGTCAAAATGTCACCTGTGTTCCAACCAATTCTTTCCCTTGCATTTTGACCGACACGAATTAGTCGTCTGCCAGGAGTGTGGCCGTTTACATCGTTGTCAATGCGCCGCTAACCGGTTCTACAGGAGAGTCATTTTAATAATGCTCATCATCCCTGCATGCAGAGCGCCTGTCTAGCTCAGAAATTCGTCGTGTTTAACACGCCTCTTGATCTTAAGGCTCATATGGTTGAGGAGCATGGTGCTGATATGAGTTCTCGGGACAAGAAGGACGCCCGGCGGGTACCTGCTGAGTTTGAGTTTGAGGATACACCTGGTAGAAGAGGTGGAGGCCGGAGAGACCGAGAACATGAAAGGGACTCTTCCGTGCCTGGTCCGTCCAGGCCACCAGGTGGAGGGAGAAGACGAGAAGGATTCGGTGCGAGCTTGACGAGTGGAAATGGGAGCAACACGTCACTTCCTACACCACCGGTGGTAAGCCGACGCTCTTCTCCGTCTCCTAATCGTGAGCCTGTCGATCCTGCTGTCTTAGAGTATGCGATTTTGCTTCGTTTTCCGTGCATTTCTCATTTTGGACATCTCAGGAAACACACGGCGTTTCTCTCTCGTCTGCAAAGTTTTGCACCCAATCCTACCACAGCTATACCAGCTGTGAAGGCCGCGATCCGAGGGTACCGTGCATCAGAGTCGAGCGCCAAAGATTTGATTTCAACGATATGGACTGTGTTGGACTGCCACCTTGAGTACACCGCGAGCATCGTCAACGGATTCGTTGACCTTCTGGAAGAAGATGAGAAAAAGCAAGACGTTCTGAGGTCATGGAAGGGCTTCGAGATTGAAGTGATCGATCTTGTTCATTTTTTCTTGATGTCTTCCTAATTAAATGATTGTAGCAACGTCGTCAATTTCCGGACCTTGTTCCTTCCTCGGTGGGCAATGAATACGCCGGGATTACATCTGGCCGTGTATTGAATGCCAAACACTCGACTGGCTCGCGTTCTTCCCAGCAGTCGTCGCGGCAAGTGCTCGATCGTGTGGCCCGGACAGCCTTGTCTTCAACCGCTGTGTCGGCCCCGGCGGCTGTTGCAAAATTCCCTCCTCTATCGTCACAATCGGTCTCATCCTCTTCTTCCGCGTTCCGTCAGACTCAGCACAAGACCCCGTGGTCTCCTAGCAGTGCGCCAGGCTCCCGCGGGCCCACGCTCATATCCAGACCTCCTCCTGGTTTATCATCAACCAAAGCATCCCGACCTCCGCCTCCTGAACTGAACGAAGCAACGTTCCCTGGGTTGCCAAGCGCGGCTCCGAGGGCCATACCACCTATGGGCGGCAACACGTCATTGAGAAACATCTTGGGTGCCTCAACACCACCACCTCAGACCGTCTGGAATGCCACCTCGAGTTCTAGTGTTCTTGATCCCACCCCCGAGGGATCAGCACCAAAGGGGAAGAAAAATAAGGGAAAGCAGAAGCAAGCTCTGTTCACCCTGGGTACATTCCCTACGCGATTATCCTTCTCTTAGATCATTAGACCCCGAGTATATGTTGGTGTGAACTTGTACATCTGTCTGGCTGCGATGATAGACAATCCCGATGCTTGTACCTTTCAATGATACTTACGTGTCCCGAATTTTTGGACCCGCATCGGAAGGTGCTTACGCAAATTCATATCAAAATCAGAAGCCTTGACTCGAAGGCAGAAACTTTAATAGATCTGGAGATGGTGGTGATTGGTCGCGGTACTCTTTCTTTTGACGACTCTGCTCAATGGCCAGCACGTGCAATCCCGTTACCCTATTGCAAGGCTCTGTAGACGAAAAGACCATAGATGAAGCTCATGCAGGAGGAGGCAAATCTTTCGTAGGACAGCAAGGAGACAAAAACAACGAAGACGCCGATGTACAGGCGGCCTTTGCGGCAGATTACCCTGACGGCGGATGGAGGGCGTGGCTGGTTGTGGTCGGGGTAGGCGCATTTGTTTTTGTTGGTATACCTTTACTTTAAAGGGCTGATCGTAAAAATCCCTAGGCAATGTGCAGCTTATTTTCTACGTGAGCTTTTGGGATGTCATCGTGCGGGCGCTTTTTTTCATTCCAATAACAAGTTTCGGTTATGTAAATACATGGGGTGTGAGTGATTCTTCTGAACTTGGATTCATCGTAGAATCTATGTCTCTTGCAGGTGTTTCAAGCGTACTACGAGGAGAGCCTTTTGTCGCAGTCTAGTGCCTCTGCAATGTATGCACTAGTTCCCTCCAATTCGCCACGCTAATAATAACATGAATTCAGCGCGTGGATAGGATCCATACAGGTATTCTTTTTATCTACCTGGCGAATAGAGAAATTAAACTCGTCGGCATGCCAGTATTCTCTCGTATTCTTGCCTGGTTTAGTCACCGGTCGAATGTTCGATATTGGGTATTTCAAGATACCATATCTTCTCTCTAGTATTCTTCTTGTGGCGGCAACATTTCTCGTAGGTGAATGCACCAAATACTGGCAGTTTCTACTCTGTCAAGGATTTGCCATCGGAGTGAGTACGTTCCTGTGTCTTCCGTCTCTATTTTTGATAGATACTGAATTGCGTAACAGCTTTCATGTGGAGCGATATTTGGTCCGACGAACAGTATCATTGGACATTGGTTCCGCCGAAAGAGGGGCCTTGCTATGGGTTTAACAACTTGTGGCTCCTCTGTCGGGGGTACTATATTCCCAATTGTCGCACGCAAACTTATATCCGCCGTGGGGTAAGTTGCCTCGTGCTGTATTCTCCTCGCTAACCTGTCATTGACAGATTTCCATGGACCATGCGGATCATCGGGTTCATACTCATATTGAGTACGGGTATATCAAACTTGACTCTAGAACGACGGCTCCCTCCTACACGTGTCAAGGGTGGACTTGCAAACTTCAGTGCTTTCAAGAGTGTCCCATACACTATTTATTGCATTTCAGGTTTTACGACGTTCCTTGGTCTATACACTGGTAAGTGTTTCACGACTGTCCATCCCTTACGAATATACTGAGTTCCTCAAGTCTTGACATACATCGATATCAGTTCGATAGCTGTTGGCATCTCTCCTGATTTTTCTTTCTATTTAATCTCCATCGCCAATGCTGGTACGCATCTCTCTTCTCTGTATTGAATTGATTCTGACCCCTAAAAAATCAGCATCAGGTTTGGGTCGTATAGTTGCCGGCATTCTCACAGACAAGTTTGGTTCGTTCGTCCGCACCGTTGATTGATCTCTTCCACTTACTCCTTCTGATTCCCTCAAAACTAGGCGCTGTGAATTATATGGCCCCCGTAACTCTCGCAGCCGGCATCTTGACATACGCCTGGCCATTTGCACGAGACAAGCCTTCTATCATTGTTATTACCACACTTTACGGGTACGTCCATCTCATCTTATCAATGGCTTGAGAAACAGCCCCTTTGACATCGGCCCTTTCTAGCTTTACCAACGGTGCTTACATTTCTTCGTTCTCGATACCTATTTTTGAGCTCGGTGATATGGGCGACCTGGGACGAAGACTGGGAATGGCCATGAGCATCGCTGCGTCTGGTGCGTTAGCTGGACCTCCGATTTCCGGCGCGATATACAGTGCAACGGGGGGATTTGAAGCGGTCGGGTATTATGCAGGTGATTCGTTCGGTGTATCTCCCTCCTTAGCTTGTCGGGTTTTTCTAATTGATGGATACGATGCAGGAAGCACCATAGTTCTTACCGTGGTGCTGTTGCTTGTAGTCCGTCACTTAGTCCTCGGAAGGTTGGTGGGAAAGTTCTAAGTAAGTACGACATTACGGGGCGGCTTCCCTCTCAGAATCACGGCTACTTCCGCTGCTTTTTTCTCACGTTGTCATGAAATCAGCTATGCACGTAAATTATATTGGCATTGGCGAAGGCGCATCAAAGGACCAGATGTATCTATATCATTCACTGCAGATTCAGATGCAATTAGACGAGTTGATGTGACATACCTAGATGGACTGGACTGGACTGGCAGACGATCATCCTAACAGAAGCGGTTCATGAGTTGGCAGGTACACCGGGTAAAGCTTTACAAGAAGTACTCTGTTGGTGAAAGAACTGCCGTCTTAGGACACTTTTTTTTTTTTTCCCGCATCGCATGACTGGGAGCTGTAAAACACAAAAAGGGCCGCTCCGCTCGCCTACCAGGATCAAGCCGAGCCGTGATGTGCGGGGAATTCGACATCAGGTACAGTGCTATTGTTGAAAACCCAAGGGACGATCAGCAGCATTCAGGGCAGGACCAGGACACAATCATGACCACCTGCCTATAAACGGAGGGAGTGCTTCGATGTCCTTAGGTGACTTTCAACCTGGCGGATGAGGTAGAGGTACTCGAATGCCCCAGGGTCCAAGTTTCCATCTCATGTTCCATGGCCCCGGCCCCTTTCGAACTGGGATCTGGATGATCTGGAAGAGCGTTCGTAGTACTGAAATGAGCTTCATCCATCTATACGAAGCGCAAGATGTTATTTACTTACTGATCTGGTCCGATCAACGATTGATTGTCAATGGCACGCGATGCGGTCCTTTGATCTCTCGGGGAGTGCTTTTCATCGGTATATCGTTATCTAGCAAGCAAGGTAGGTAGGTAGGTAGGCCTCAGATATCTCCAAAACGAAACATTGCACAATTCAACATAAAGACATTCTACGCCGCCGGTAGTGATGTGATAATCTGTAAAAAAAAACCGAAATATCGAGGATAAGTTCAGCTCGGAGGCGGAGGTGGCGGCGGCGGCGGCTACCTCGACCCTTTTTGATCAAGACTTTGCTGGCCCTTGAATCGTTTCCCACAGCCAAGTATGCCTTTGCCTTTTGCATCGGGCTTTTTTGTAGATCGAATTTTCGATATTAAGATATCTCCAACTGCATCGCATAATTTTTAGTTCGATTTTGAAAGAACACGACGGTAATCAAAGAGGAATAGTTTTTAAGATACCGAGAACTTGGAAGGGGCGTTATCATCACGTGATCACACACAAGAGATTTGTTTGCGAGAACTTGTATATGTGTGTGTATATAAGCACTGGTACATAGATTACTAAGGGATCATGTGACTCTCTGAAACTTCTGAAGGAGGAGTTGAACACACGGACAGTGTAATATTCAAATTGCCATATTCTATCTGTTCGCTGGCAGTTCGTGTATGTCAACTTGTAAGCATCCATAGAAATTGTGATCCCATAGATTTCTTTTCTTTCATTATATCGCAACCGCTACCTGCAGTGCCCCGAGTCCATATCTAGACACGACATCTCTCCAAACAAAATTGATCCCCTCTTTTCTGTCAAGATACCTGAGAATTTTCCCAATGCCAGATCCGGAAAAATACCCAAGGTAAACGATCATGATGGAAATTGCGTCGGCTCGACAATCCTGCGGAACTGTGATGAGCACGTTCCCACCGGGGACGCGACGCCGCTTTGTGTAGTATAACGCCACGTAGATGAAGTCCCTCGCAGCAGTAAGCTGCGTGATGCTCAGCCCCGAAATCTTGTCCTTTGATTCCGCCAGAGTAGGCCCGGGTCCAGGTCCAGGTTCGCGTTCGCGACTCATCCTACCGTTCACGAATACCTTCCTTTCCGCGCGTAAGGGCTGCCTCTCGTGGACGTACGGGTACGGGGGGTCGTCCCGGGGTGGAAGGGATAACTCTAGTACGCCTGTGCTCGTGTTCTCGTCCCAGTAATGATCGGACCTGGGTCCGGGACCGGGTCCCTGCATGATCTTGACGATATGCGTAAACTTGTCGCCGTCAGGTGTCTTTAACCACTCTGCTTTGCAACGAGGAACATCAAGGGGAACGGCACCTTCCTCGAATGCGACGTACAGGCGGTCCGTGATCTCTTGTAGACATCTAGAGTCGCGAATTTGAAAGGTGGGCTTCTGTTTCTGCTTCTGCTTCTGCTTCTTGGTGGTGGTGGTGGCGGTTCCACGGGTCCTAAGCTTCTTCTTGCTGGAATTTCCGGAGGTTGGAAAATGTGCGCAGGTCGCTTCGGCAGCAGAAAGGTCCTGGGATAGATAGTTGACTGGTGGTGGTGGTGGTGGTGGTGGTGGGTCCGTGTCCGTGTATCCGCGAGGACGGTGGGGGTCTTCCGAAGCAGCAGCGTACTTTCTATTACGTTTAGCTGACTTTCTATGAGCGAAAGACGAGGTGAGGCGAGTAAACGTTGAGAAAACGGAAGATGAAATGGAGCTGAGAGATGATACGATTGTGGATCTCTTCATCGTTCATAGCAAAGGCGATTGTCTAGCAGTTCGGAATATTATACTGTACCTGCCTTTCCTGGAAGCCCTCTCTGATAAGCACTTCCGATTGCCAAGGTCCCTTAGGGACTCATACCACTATAACGGAACACTTGTAATTATAAATAAATATATATATATGATGCACACTCTCAGATACAACTAAATCACTATAAATCTATGAAATAAATTATCCTATAAATGTTCCATTTCCTTAATCATAGGCCAATCTTTCATTCCACATCATCTTCATCCTCCTCCGAGTCATCCTCCACATGATTCTCCTGTGAAGGAGTGGGCGGAATAAACCCGCCACCCAGCAGTGTCCCACTCGCGTTCCTCGCCAGGCCAAGACTGTACATGGCGCTCAAAGTTCTTGGCCTCGGTCCCCGATTCTCCAAGAACCTTTCTCGCCATGTATAATCTTGGTCCGGCGAGGAAACAGGTGGGGAGAGGGAGGGCATCGACACACGTAGGCCCAGACTTGCGTAGGGATCCTTTCGCGTCTGGAAGTTCATGGGCTGCGCTTGTCGCAGCTTCGGACTCGTCATGACGTTTCCGAATGTCGTTGGAGAGGGAGAAGGGCTCGAGGGGCGGGACACCCATGACATCCACCCAGTAGTAGTAGCAGGGGAAGGCGATGGGGGTATAGGCGAAAGAAGCTCTGGATCATGTAAAGCCCGTTTGATGGCAGCAATATCATGCTGTATGTCGTCTAGCTTCTGTGAGAGGTTCTGCTGCGCCTTCTTTACAGCCGGATCAGAGCCCGAAACGAACGCGTCGATTTGTGCCTCCAGATCCTGGAACTCCTCCAGAATCCGCGACTCTCCGGATTTGTCTGAGAGCGCTCCAGAAACGGTTAAGATTGTCTCAAACCCACGTGCAAGAAGAGCCTCATCAGCGATGCGGATTTCGAGCTCGACTTGAGCGTCTTCTGCGTAGTCGTTCAGCCGATCCGTTGCTGTGTGAAGAACCTGGCTGGAGTTAGTCGCCAACAGTTGATTCTTGAGATCCTGAAGTGCGTGATGGCAATCACGGAAGGCCCGTTGCATGTCATCGTAACGTCGGCTGACCTGCTGGAGCTCTGCAAGTAAAAACGGCTCTTCTTTGGAGGGAAACGGTACGGAATCCATGGTAATTAGAGTAGAGGATGAAGATGAAGATTCGGAAGAGGCAAGTTCATCGAAAATAGATGTAGACTGTGGCGCTGACGCTACACGAGGAGAAGGTTGATGAAATCTTACTGTCTTCAATTGGTCTTGGGAAGGTTCCGGCTCCTCGGCTTCCAATAATGCCGCCTTCACCTCCTCCTCTTGGTCTTCTCCGCTCTCCTCTGAAATTGGAGGTTCCGGCAGATTTTTCTGAAGAGCCGGAATAGTTGGCAACACGACCAGCTTCTCCAGTTCTAACCTTCGAGCAGTTTGTATGCGTAACTCTTCGACCAAAGTTTCCACAGCATTCTCAGCCACAATGATTCGGCCCATAGTCTCAGAGGGACCATCAAGGCCTGCTGCAAATCCATGAGCATCACGAAGCATCCTCTCCAAAAGCATGCTCGCGTCATCCCCTCGCCCGATACCTTCTTCAGCACGTAATGCCCATCGTCGAAGCCACTCCTCAATGCTCTCTTCCCGAGCGACCATGCGAAGTCTCAACGCAATCTCTCTGCGACGACCAAACGCTTCTCGCATGACGTCGCCACCCACTTCGTCGAGCGCGAGTCTCAGTTTTTCAGTATTGGCACGGGACTGTTCGAGCTGAGAAGACAGGACGGATATCTGCGTGTTCAGAGTGTTAACCGTTGCGGCATGCCTTTCCTTCATGAACACAAGCGACGCCTGCAGACGATTTGTCACCGCTTGGGAAAATTTCCTGTACAAGCTTAAGAGACGGATATCGATATCCGTGATAAAGTAAAGCGACGTACATGTATCTTGACACCATTTTTGCAGCAGAGTTATCCTCCAGCGTCAGCTTCTCTAGCGCGGCCTGTGCTTTCGCGAGCTCTACCCTGTCGTTCTCCTTGTTCCTTATCTCCGCCTCATATTTGGAATGCACAATGGCAAGTTCGCCTTCAAGGTGATCTACCCTAGCTTGCAGCTCCTCGGCCTCCGAAGAGAAATCCTCGAACAACTTATGAATACCAGACTTTGCTTCGGAAAGACTTGTATTTGGTGGCAAACGGGGCGACATGGATGATGTCCTGCCACCATCATCGAATGAGCGAACATAATCAGCGTACTCGGTCACGACAAGATCGGACATCTTGTTGTGCTCCTGCGCCTCTCTGAGCTGATTCTCGAGGTCCCGCTCCCGAACCTTACCGTCCTCTTCCCTCCCTCGGATCCTCGCAGCTAAAGCATACGCCACTTCTGCAGTATCTTTGGCCTTGGTGAGCTCCGCACTCGCATGAGCGAGTTCAGTCGTACGCTCGAATAGGGCATCCTCCGTGAGCGATAACTTGTCCGACAGTCTCCTTAGCGCCAGCGTCAATTCCTGCGATTGGACAACCGCTGGATGAGATTCGGATGTATCTGGATGCGGATTAGCTCGGAGAATATTGAGTTCCGACTTGAGTACGGCATTTTCGCGTTCCAGTTGTATGAGTCTCTCGTGCGAGTTGGAGGTATTCAAGGAATGCCGCTGCAGTTTTACGGAGGCGCTGTGAGCTTCATCCTTTAGAACTACGCGTCAATAAAGAATGACCCGGCAGGTTTAAGTTGATTACCTGAAATCTGGATACAGCCACCTTCAAGCTGGAAAGTTCCAAGGACAAAGGATGCTCATCGCTGTGCATAGCAAAGTAATGCGTGGTATTGATCTACGTGGAACAGGAAGTTCGGTCCGGGATGATTCGGAGATTCAATCCGGCAACCCGGCGGAACGTCGGAATCTCTGCCGAGCTCAGGTGCCATGGTTGTATTCTCAGTTCATTCTTGCGCTAGTTGCCAGTAGTGAAATTGAAAGCCGAAGCAACAGCGAAGTTACCCTTTTTTCTGAGTTTAATTCTGTAGCTACAAATTCTGTATGCTAGGGTCATTGTCCCTTCTGCTACAACTTAAATACCAAAATCGTAACGTAACGGACACAACGATTCACAATGCCATACTATACCCGTCCGAGAGCGCTTGTGGTTTCTTATTCATATTCCACAACGTCAGGCGATCATCTGGCTGTACGACATACGCCATATCCAGAACGTCCACCACCGTGGACTCATCGGAGACGAAGCACGCTCGCCCAATGCTCTCATCCCACGCCGCCGCCGAGACACCCCTGCGGAAGAGATTAGGATACGATTCCTCGTTCACATCTTGGAACGGCCCATAGACGAATTTGGGGACACCCTTCCGGCCTTTCCGAAGGAGCGGCTCGTCGGTCGGGAATGTGGGAGAAGCGTACGCTACGGGGAGCGCCTCGCGGCTTGTGTATCGCATGAGGGACGTCATTTTGGGCGTTATTGACCGGTCTTCCTGAGGCTGGTGCCATGCGAGAGAACGGTAGACTCCAGGGATGACCCGTGTGATGTCGGTGTCACTGCGATGGAGGGATTGCTGCGTGCAGGACTCTCCAAGAGTGTACGCCCATACATCAATCGTCTTCGCCGTTCCGTATATCCTGGACTTGGTCAACGAAGGCCAGAGATGGTAATGCGTCATCGTGTTCGGCGCGGCGGAAGACATAAATATGGACACAGGCGGCGGGGGATCGTTCGAGTTCCAGCGTGTGGGATGGTCGCTCTCGTACGAAGACCGGTAGTGATCAGAAATGTGAAAACTGCGGGTATAGCATTCTGGAGTCCATACGCGTTCAAACGCGGCGGCGGTAGTAAAAGACTGGCTTCCAGCCTGAGAGTCAGGCATTTGGTAGAGCTCTATGGCGTTCCGGGGAGTGAAACTGGGGCCATGCATTCTTCGGATGACTAGAACGTGACTTTGTTCTGGTAGGACACGGACGGCCATTATGGTATAACGCTTAGAAAATGTCCGTCAGTATAAGTATACCAGACAACCACAAAAGAGAGATGCACACGAGCGACTCACGTGGTTTTCGTGGCCCGGGGCCCTTCTGCAGAGAAGGAGGCAGGTGGTGTGAGTGTGCAGGTTTGCAACCATGATTCTATCGGGCTGCTGGGTAATTACGACGTACGGCACGCCATCACTTTCGAAAAGCGACGGATCATATAATACCCGCCCAGAGGTGAAGGCCATGACACGATTCGAAGGTCTTTCGATACCGGATTGCCGTCTTTCGTACTCTTCATCTCCCGGTAAAACGTAAGGGTCCGACAACGACTCCAGAACGAGCATGGGAGAGAAATAGCAGTTGCACTCGTACTTGATAGGGTGCGCTTCGTCAACGGGTGCGTGGTAGGTCAAGTCATCGAGATCCGTCCTGCAACGAATCTTAGCATCAGATATACGCGCAAGACAGAGAGACTCACAGGTGGTCCGTTGGTGTCCCGTCATCCATTTTCTTCCATGACCGGCATACATACGAAACCATGATGCCCGGCTGCCCATGGTAGGTCATATACTTTGCATCGAGGTGAGAAGCGCGCGCCCGAACCGGGATGTAGAGCACAGGGCGAACACCATCTTCCTCCGGATGCTCCAAATTGACGATGACGATCTGAAATTGCCGGTACACGTGGTTGACGACGGAGGCGACGAGATACTTCCCCCCCAACACCAACTTCAGTTCGAATATCTGGGAGTACACCGGGACTCGATACCGACTGGCGACACTGGGATGCCGTCGCCTGAAATTATCGTCCACAGAAATAGCGCGTGTGATCATCTGCTCGATCTCAAAATCGGTATCTCGTAAGGCATACTGGAACGTGGGTCGGAAGGGGGGAACTGGTATATTCATACGTGCCATGAAGCGCTTCCAGATAACAGGCTCATGAGTCAACAGGAAGAACATCCGGTTTACCTATAAATTTTCATGTCAACGCGGATTTTTTTTTTTTTTTTTTTCTCCCAAGTAAACTGGCTACGAACCCTTCGGAGGCGGAGTATTTCTTCAATGCAAAGCAAGGGGAATACATGCTCGACAAATATGTCAAACGGGAGTCGCTGGATATAGCAGACTTTGGGAAGTTGGGAATTCTTGTTGCGAAGCAAAATGTTAGAGAGGTAAGACGGTATGGCCCAACTGAACAGCAGCATCAAGTTCAAGCGCGTATTAGCAACAGCAACAAGTTACAACATTGTCCGACCTTTAAGAACGGTCCAAGCACCCATCGCAACAAGCCAACAATCGCTATTGTGCAGAGGCATTATTGTTGTAGACGACGACGCTGTCATCAACGTCGTCGCTTCGTGGTTGTCGTCGTATACGTGCAAAGCGACGCGGAGTTAAGCGGACCTTCGACACAACAATTAGATAAAATTAAAGAAGTCCCCATAAGATTATCACAAAGCATATACACGTAAGCAGATAATAGACCGTTTAGTATTCTACCTGTACTAGTACATACAATCCGAATAAATTACTCTCCTGCAGTTACCACCAACCAGCATGTCCGTTCCAGGAATTTCCCCTTCTATCCAACCCGAACAGCGGGAGGCGAGTGAACCTATAAGTTCGACCTTCGGGAAGATGGAACTTCATGTTTCTGTCGAACTTCCTGGTGCGCCTGGAGAACCTCCAGCCAAGTGTAGGTTCACCATCACCGGAAATGGCGCGATAGAGCCTTCCCGAAATGATTCATCGGTGGGAGCCGAGACGGTTTCCGATAGCCTAGAAAGTGGGCCTTCAAACAGCGTGTACTTGCCAACATGGGTTACTTCAACATGTCTGTCAGAGGACCAGTAGCTTGAGTGTGCAGAGGAGTGAATGGAGTGTTGAATAACCTCTTGCTCCCGCCTTTGCACGCCCACCAATCGTTGGTAGTACCGGTACTAGGTCACGTCAAATAGGCGGATTCTCCTGCCCATGAAGGTCCGACCACAGTCCTTCAATCAGTCGCTCGTACTCAGCAATCTGGCCTCTCAGCCTTTCCACCTCCTTCCTACAGTTGCTAAGCTCGTCTCGTAACTCCTGCTCGACGTCATTAGAAATCTCCTGCTGGATCACCCTCGCGCTCTCAGCGAGCCGAGATTTTTCCACCTCATCCACAATCCCTCTATAATCCTTCACCCACAGCTCGTTGATCTTCCGCACCTCTCTGTCGTGTTCCTCCCGTAATATCATCGTTTCCCGCTTGCTCGCTCTGACTTCGTCAATAAGGTCGACCACCAGTCGCTTGGTGAGCAACTCTTTGCGCTGGTGGGACGCAAGCGATTTGGACAGAGAAACAACAGATCTGACTCGCAAACCCTTGATCTTGTCGCGCTCGTCCTTCAAGCAGGTGATCTGCTCCCGCTGTCGCCAGATGGTGTTGGAAAGCACAAGGCGGTCGAGGAAAGCATTGAAGGCATTGGCCCGGCTGACACCCTCAGTGCAAAGTAGATCACGACGGAGCTGGAGGATGGTTGTGTTCTGCGCCCATAGTTTGTTCGTAAAAACGAGCCGCTCGGAGAAGTGAGAAAATGTGCTTTGAGACAGTTTCTTTCGCAGGTCTAGACGCGAAAGGTTGTCTTGGTCAACGGGTAGGGGACCCCGATAAGTTCGGACGACGGTAGCATCGTCGTGCTTCGAATCCGATATCGGGTCTTCGGATTGTCGCTGCTGTGATACGCGTGCGTCGGGAGCCGCTTTTGGCAGGTTGGCTACATTCTTTGATTCCCCTTGGGTTGCTACACGCAGATTATACAGGTCACTACAAGATTTTCAATTACGATATGGAGCAAATGTCGCACCAGAAAGACTATTCGAACGCCACCTCGTTGTAACGTGTACGGCGATATCGATGATAAGGAGGACGAAAAGACAGAAAAGAAGGAAAAGCTGTAAGAATTGGAAAGCGTTGAGCTGGTAAAAAGAATGACAAGACATGATAAGGATGAAGCTGGAGGACGAGGTAGGGTATCACCACATACATCGAAACGTCTTGGCAGTAATATGTATGAACTGGGCCGCAAGGAAGCCTCGCTAATTCCATTCTGCGGAGGCTATCATGATCATGCCCCATCAGTATTGAGTTGCGGCAGAACCGAAATCCAATCCACACCTCCTCCGCGTGCTGGACACACTTTCGAAGCAGCAAAACATAATAATCAGTGACGAGGCTGGGCGTTTGAGACGACGGCAAGCCCCTCAGCAGCAAGGAATCCTTAAGCAAACCTCGTAAGATAACGAGAATTTAGCGTGTCCAGACCACGGCCGGATCCGAAGATCCGGAGTAAGTCATGAAGGTCGCCTAACTGGCAAATCTCGGCGCTTGAGCAGGTACGCCCACTCAAGGACATGTGGTCATCGGTCCGTATGGTAACAGCATTCGTAGCGAGTCTATTTTCGCACAGAAGATAATCCGCATTCCATCTGTTCAGACTAATGAGCATCATGTCAAAATCACAAATGGTATCGAAGGCACGAAGACCAACGCGAGAAAGGGCGTCGAATGTAAACTTCTAGTAGGCTTGTGTCGCGCTGAGAAATGATTCATGCTCGCCCGACGGATTCAGCTATGACTCTGAGAATCTAGTCACCAGACTGTTTGTCTGACGTCAGGAAATTGACAATGACAAGAATCAGCTCGAGAATATGTTCAGGTGCTGGAGCAGATGCTGATGATAAATCTGCAATTCGACAACGTGTTCTCAGCTGACCATTATTGGGGGCATGGTGACAAGTGAATCCTTGGGCTGGCCGGAGAACTTGAGCTTGAACACAACGATGCCAACAAAGTAGTATTACTTACATAGCTGCAAAAGAAATTGTAACGGTCAACCATGAAATACAAGTTTACTGACCCCTCTGTAGTCGAATCCAGCTGCTCCTTTCTAGGACCTCGCCCTTTGCTCTAGCTTTGTACCAAAGAACCATTTTTGGCAAAGCGGGGGTATTTCTTTGAGTAACAATCCTTTGTTGAGAAATGTGGGCCAAGTTTAAGATGCCGGACCCGGTTACTCACAGTGGCCGCCGGCTGGGTATGTAAGCCGAAGGCCAATTAAAGAACTTAAACAACGCGTCGCGCAACGGCTGCCACTCACAAAACAATCGGCAGAAGACTCTCCAGAAATGTTCTTTTACCATTACTCAGAGCCATAAACAAGGAGTCAATTTGAAGTTCGGACCTTACATGTTAACATGAACTATTCAAACAGGATTTACTACAGAATTTGTTCTATTCTTACCCATTCATACTCTCGTACCTGGCCCTCTGAACAAAGCATTCACAAGTTTCTCCTTTGGCCAGTCAAATATCTTGAAGAAAGCTTCGAGGAGCTACCAGAGCCTCTGCCTCTGCGGCGGTGGTGCTGGTCTGGCGTCCATTCTTGCAACCAAGCACTCCAGATCCTGTTTCTGGACAGCAGAAACAGTAGGGTCAACCGCACCATTTGCGGTCCAAATATCAGGACAATGAAATCCGTCTTCCAGCCCAATGGGCTGCGAGGCAGTGCTGGGGATATTGACCATCTGAGCACATACTGTCGCGTCTCTCCAAGGATCTCCTGATCAACTTCTGTGAGTAATGGCATTTGGCATAAGAATAAACCACACACATATACCGTTAGCAAAAAAGAATCTATTGGTCCTCCCGTTCCAGCCTTCATATGCCTCATTGGTCTTTGCTACGGAGGTGTGGGAAAAGTTTCGAGGAACATGTACGAGCACTGTTGCTATTTTTGGAATGTTTAGACAGTTCGACAATTTGCAGTGAAGGAACATACTAAATAATAAGGAGACTTCAGTGGACGTGTAAACGATGGCTGGAAGTCCTTGTGGAGGTCCGTCCTATAGAAAAATAAGATTGTACTGCAAGGAAGCCAATTTCATTGCATCTGTGCAGAATATGAGATTGGGGGCCCATTGCAAGACCAATAAACATACTCTATCCAAAACCATGATCGACCTGCACTGGCGATGTTGGTGTTCGTGTAGGAGTCAGAAGTTGCATTGTAGATGCCAAGACAAGTTCTAAAAGTACAGTCAATGATCGATAAACTGAGTATCAAGCATATAGCCTACTCTGCATCCACAGCCCCATCCCCGCAAACTGGACTACAAATGAAGGCCAACGTAGCGGTAAGTCATCATGGTTCACTTACATTCAAATATGTACGTGTTTCTGAAGTACGAACTCCAAGCTGTTAGAGCATGGTCCAAACCCGAACCCTCGGCGGACGCGGAAACTCCATTTTCGACTTCCAGGGCATCACAAAACTCGAAGGATTGCTGATCCGAACGAACTTCATGGACGCATTATTTATAATTGCAATGCACCTTCTATCACGCATTGACCAATTGATGTAGATGCTGGGATGGAGATCTATATTTCTATTAACCAATTGTCACCGCGCACCGCCCGATACAGATGGCAGTGATGCGCGCCCCATGTCATTAAGAGACTCGCACAGGGAGCAGGTCATCGGTTTCCAGCTATACTCGAGGTTTAACTTAAACATTCTCATAAGATATAACGGGACCATGAACTTGCGAATAATGCATACATGGTGCCTATTCACCGGCTAAAATGCACTGCTGTGTGTCGTGTACGTACCATACCACATGAAATGGACATAATCCCTTGAAGTAAGAAAGGATATATATAATCCGCTCGACTCTCCGTGTATTTCCCTGTGATCCAGTGATGGGTCATGTGGAAGAACTTGGCGCATTTTGCTGGTGCAAAATTGATAAAGGACACATAATCAGTGCCGAGAGAAGCGTGAAGCCAAAATTACTAGCACAGGACCTCACTGTAAGACCTGTGATTCCAATACTGGGACTTTGGTCTGCGCACTATATGCGTAAGGACGCACCGGTCCGCGGTCCAAGGGCTCCCAAAATTCGCGCACTCAGTGAGGGAGAAAGGACTTCTGTTGGAGCGATTTGGTTGCCAACATCCTCGATAGAGATATGCAACTTGAGATGTATTCCTGGGTATTGATTCGATACGAAGTAGCCAGAGTCGACGCACCTTCATAACTGTTTCTTTGTTGTAGCTTTACCTGAATCTACCATCATACGAGAGCTTTGATGAGTGAAATAGAGTGAAACGCGAGAAGAAAGACTGAGTATTTGATGGCGTAGAAAAATGTTACCCTGTATGTCTTCCCGTTACTTTCTCTTCGACCATCCATGGAATTTTCGTACTCACTGCTCAGCGCTCGGCATTCAGTACTCAGTGGTCATGTAACAGTATACATGCTCCGACACCGCGCAAGGAGGAACAAAAGGAGCTCGCAGGACCATGGAGAAAACAAATCGCGGAATGCAGATACGAGTAAGGACACTGGACCTGGACCTACAGAGTGAAACATACGGACGAAGAAACAGTGCTCGAGCACGGAAAGGTTTCCTCCCAAGAAGAGACTGGGGACGGCGCCTCATGCTGGATTCGCGCAGAACACATCAGGTATTTGCAACTATCGCACCTGTCATGTCTGCGCCTTGCGCCTTAGGGCGCTGTAGAAGAACGACTGTCTTTTGCAAGGCACGCTTTATTCTGTGTATCCAAACTGTCCACAAATCTTACACTGATTCTCGGAACCTCATATGAATGGTACTGGTATGGCGCACTTCAGATACTACCGTTAAACCTCGTACTACAGGCTACATGATAACATCAAAAACAGCTTTGGTAGTAGCAGGCAATGTACATGTACTTTGGAACTGTGGCAACCAGTCCGTAGTTCATGTTCTTTGAAAGGTTACGATTTCAAAGGAGAGGCCGAACAGAGGGACATGGAATATTAGAACTATGTAAGGCTGCAGATGCATTATAACACTTGGTAGGAAAATAAAAATAAAATCCTACAGGAATACAGAGGGTGCTGTGAAACCGTATCCTTGGGAGACTGGGCACGCTCAACTGAATGAGCCGCCTCTGTTGCCGTAGGTCCTCACGACGGGCAAATGACCGCTGCTCACGCTGCGTCTTTCCTAGCATAATTTCTGGCTTATGACGTAGGGGATGACAAGCACGACTATAAGAAAAATAAGCAAGCTATTGTGTCCTGAGGTCCGGGAAGCTGTTTCCCTAGATGACCGTGAAACCGTCGGACCGCGGCGCGAGTAGATGCGAGTACATTCAAAGTTTCCAGAGATTCGTATCTTAGACTTGGCGCCTACATCACAATAAGCCTGCCTATACACTGACAGCAATTGATACATGTCACGGCATGCAGCCGCAGGTGATCCGCCACCTCGACCCGCCGCGGCGAACTCAACCTCACGTGATGGCCTAATAGGCTGAACGCGTACAATGCCATTGCCAGCGGAAACAGATTCATATGAAGACGAATGAGTTCAGCTGGTGCCATATCCCCGCAGCTTCTCACGACCAGACTATTTTTACCTACTGGATATATACTGTAGCTCATAACTATCCTTCTGTTTTACGGTTCCACCTGTTGAAAGGGAATTAGTTGAAAAGCCCGACCACATAGCCTCTCATACGCACAAGTCTAAAAACAACTTCCATAGAATGGAGAACATGATGCTCTGCAGGCCATTCGCGATGATTCTTGTCTTGAGTCCTCGGCCGAACAAACCTTGAAACCCGTCCACAGCAATGACGGCACGAGCAGCGTCTATATACCCGATACGCGTCTCGTTGACTTGGCGGTAGGTCTTCAAAACCCGCAGGGAGTTCGAGACAGTGTCAGAGACGACAGCGGCACAGAAACCAATAAAGGCCTGCCGAAAAAGCTTCTCCACAAAAGTGGTAGGCGGAGGCAGTGTTTGGTCAAGGAAGTTGTAAGTAGAGAACCAAGGATAGTTCCCCACGAACGTGGCTGCTGCGGTGGCGAGTGCACCATACCACAATGAGCCGATTCCGTATTGCTTGACCTATATATATAATAAATAGGTGCCATTATGAGATAAGATGACGCGAGAGTTCTGGGGGCTTACGCGAGTTCTCAGAATGCGGATTCCTGGTTTGCCTTGGGTTTGCATAGTTGTTTTGACGGTATCGATGGGGGTGAGGATGATCCTGAATGAAGCGGCTGCAAGGGAGACGAATATAGTTTGGATGTGCGGCGGAAGATCCTTCATGTACGTATTCGAGCTGAGGAGGGCGAGAATCCCGGTGTTGGCTGCAGTATCGCCAAAGCGAGATACGGGGCCTTGTATAAGAGCTGCGGCGAGCCCTTGGTAGTAGCGTGTCCACCCGCCGTCGTTGTATAAGGTGACGATGGCTTCGCTCGTCGTAGACCCGTATCGGTATTGGTAGTTCATAACGGTGCGAATAGGCTGCCGAAATGCTTGTCAGCTTCGGCCACTGACACTTCCGTATATCTTACCATTAAAGTCAGCACCTGCAGAACCATAGCTGCATAACAGATTAGAAGAAAAGCTACAAGATGTTGTACAACGGAGGTCGTACCAGCAGCACCGCTCAATCCCCCACCTATCGCAGCCTTCAGTGCCTTCTTGAAATCAAACTAGTTCATTGTAAGAAACGTGGAGCTGTTAAAAGGTAAATGCACATACCGTTACATCGTCAGCATCGATAAAGCCTTTGATGAAGATGGCCAAGACGCCAACACCCAGCAGCGTGGTTAACACATAAAATAATATGTGCTTCCAACTACGCTCTTGTTTGACAATACCATTGCTAGGCTCTGCTGCATCGTATGTTAGCTGAGGAGCATCCAAGAGAGGCTGAGCCTCTGGGTCTGTCTGTGGGGACTTGGCGATAACGTCGCTCATGGTGAGAGCTGAATAAGACACGCAACGGTAGCTACGGCCCGGATAAACGCGATCTTCGATCAAAATACTTATTTATTTAATTATTTGCAAAGAAACCCAATATTATTTTGCCGAGGACCCTCGAGCCCATAGATGTTGATAAAGAGCTGTTGGTCTTCAGCAAATGCAAGGTATCGAATGCCTGCTGTTTTAATCACATCTCAAACCCAATCTTAGTGCTGCAAAGCTATATTTTTCTCCAGGTTCAAGTTTGAATTGGTTATGGGCACGATAAGGAACGGAAATTTTGTTCTTCTCTCTCCCTTTCTAGCCAATTTGTAGCGATAAGGTGCATATATGACAATGAGCAAGCCTGCCCAAAGCCTGCCTTGTTTTAGTGAACTGATAAGCATCATCGGAAACATCCGCGGAAGAGCCAAACCCGGCCCTTGGTCCGTGCGCGAGCGCTCTGTATAAAAGTCCAGCGCAAACATCGAAACACCTCATACTTACCTTGATGGCACAAGCCCCTTCAGGTACCCGGGTTTGTGGGCCGTGGAGATCCTTCATAGCACGGCGACCCTGTCCCCAGAGGGTGTCTACGGCTTGTATAGGCTCAGGCTTATGCACCGTCTAAATATTTTCCTGTCCCACTTTGGCCACTCTGGCTGGGTGGGCCTCCTTTTTCTTTGCTGTGAACGAGCGAAGACTTCCATTTGGCGGTCTTTGAGTTGCAGCAAACTATTGGGAGTGGCTAGTTTTCTGTCTATCTGTCTGTGTTCCTACTTTCAAAATGTGTACATTTGACTTTTTGGGTGTATAGTTTTTTGGGCCTTTATAAATGGTATCAGCTCCGCATACGCTAGCCCATTCATTCTTATTCTTTAGTTGCCTCTTCCTAAACTCAGTCCTTTCTTCTTTCATGCCAGTGTGGATAAGTATTGATCTTGTACATAACACTCAACAGCAGCACCTGGGAAATGGACTTGTAGAATGAGGTAGTTTGGAGTCATTTGTCAAGCAAGTGGAGTGCAGTTTGTCCACCCAGACAATTGGTCCGGGCAAGCGAGAATGAAACGGAAACACCATACGCACTTTACAGCAGGAATCAGGATTAAGCTCCCAGAGCCTTCTTGAGGTCATGGATACGGTTCAAGATGCAAAGGCACAGCGATGCAACAGCGCACAGTAGTACTAGTAGATAAATAACTGGTCAACGCCAGGCACAGAATACGCCACAGACTACAATCCTTCATCTCGCTGTGATATCCTCAGAGGCAAACAAAGACCGTCTCATGGATTTGAAGGAAATGCAGAGACAAATGAATACATAAGATCCTCAGTTACAACTGTACTACTGAACGTAACGCCAAGCGCAATGCTCGCGGCCTCATCATATGTCTGGGACCTCATCATCATCTATCTCCTGACATTCTTTATTCTTGGAATTTGTTGAAGAGCCTTGACTAGCGTTTGTCTGCCCGCCTGAACCTGACCCCCCAGTACCAGCGTTCCCGCCTCCATCTTTTGTAGAGCCGGAGTTAGCGTTCGATTGTTTGCCTCGAGGGATGAGTCCTTCGAGTTGGTGGCGTGATGTCAACCGACTGGACGGCGCGGATGAATGGGATTCTGCTACTTCCGTGGCTTCATCCAATGGTCTTGTACACAAAATGAAAACATGATTCCCTTCTTGAAAGAAGGAACACTAACCGACATTCACCCAGCAAGAAATAGAGGGTGCAGATGATGAAGAACGAGCTAGCAGAAGAAAGGCGCATGGTGGATGGCAGCAGTTGTGGTAGATTAAGCACCGGGCTTATGAAGGTTATGTAGTAGTGTGTGTAGAGAACCAGCTCTGGGGGTGAGGTGGTCGTATCGGACAAGTTTATATAGGGAAGCGAATGCAAGCCAATGCCATTAAATCAACGCGGCAGATGATCATTTAGTGTCCGCGTATGGTCCAACGCCGCCTAGTAGTTGTGTGGGACGACCGCCGAGACGCCGCCAAGAGGACGATGGACCCCGACAAGGCAGAGATAGCCGACGATTAATTACGGTCTTAACGAAAGGAATGGTCGAACAGCAGCAAGGGCAACCAAGATGGAAACGATGGAATTAGGAAGTTCTTTATTGCCATCAGAGATCCCTACAGCTTGCTTGCCGTTAGGCAAACCACTATTGCTACGCGCATGCCCGGTGATGTACTGGATGTTTTTATTGGACTCATTGGACATTATCGAAGCACAGAAAACACCCAGCGTTACGAAGTACTGACTAACAGACAGTCACAGTACCATTCAACATTCAGACCTAGAAAACGGATGGGGCGAGGACCCTCGGGCGAATCTATCAGATCGGCCAAGCACAGGTTAGACTCGAGCTCGTCCTGATCGGCGCTGTCGGTTAGGATGGCCTGAGTCCATGGTATCAACCGGCATAATATTGTGAAGCAGACGGCGATAAAGAACATGGAATGCCAGCACGCTTGGTATAGCTAGCTACGGGCTGCAATAGACACCATTAGGCCTCTTTTGAGTGAAAAATCCTGTCAATCGTGGATCAATGTCCCCTGGGGATGACGGTGAAAATAGACGTTTCTTCTGAGTTGCGGTGTGATGACTGTGGCTGAGAATAGGTGTCTGCGTTGGACTACTTACATGACACATCCAGAAAATCAGGTTGCTCTTCAACCAAAAGGTCCAAGAGGTGAGGAAAGATGCAGCCGGAAACCCAACGATATCGTTATAATTACCCTCAATTTTTCGTATCAAGAGGCCTCCAAGTCCTTGAAGAAGGTTATTGATTGATCTTGAAGGAAAGCCGTGGTCTACAGGAGAAATGGCCGCCCTGGTGATGGCAAGGACGGTGGCATCTCCATTTCTATGAAAACATTCCTCAAAACGACTAGGGGTCCAAGGGTTCTTGATGATATGGTCTCCTTGCACAGTAATGGAAAGCGAAAATTGTCGCTTATTTTCCAGTATACAAAGGCAAACGGAAGAAATAAATAAATAAATAAATTGATTATTCTGCAACGGAAAAGTCAATCCATTCACACGCCTCTTTGCCTTTACTCCTCCATCACTATCCCGACGGTCTTGATGGTCGCGCAACCAGAAGAGGTAATAACAGTCAACGGAACGCTGAAGGCAAATGGGAAGCCCATAAAATCCAAAAACCAGCTTCGGCGGCTGAAGCAAAGGCAGAGAAAGACAGCAACAGCAACCAATGTACGTCACCTGGCTGCGACTGGAAACAGTAGTTGATTTCTCCACAGGAGCAGCAGAACGACACCGAAGCAGATAAAAAAGAGGAACCAAAGAAAGTGCTAGCCAATGTTGAGTACGTACCTGAGCAGTTGGACGGTACTGCGTTCGAAGCATTTTCCGACGTCTTTGCCCGTTTTCAGCTACCGCCTGATGAATCAGTAGTGCGTCACGTCCCTCTGGCTTCAATTCCATTTCTCATTTCGCGCCATTAAGCAGAAAAGGGACCCTGAAAATACCAAGGGAGAAATGATTTACTCCGATGACGACATGCCTTCTGAGGGCGACTCGGACGCAGAACAGAAACCGTTGTCGAAGAAGAAGCAGCGAAAGATGGCGCGTCTGACGGTCGCGGAGCTTAAACAACTGGTGAAGAAGCCTGAAGTCGTCGAGTGGACCGACGTCACAGCTGCCGACCCGCGGTTGCTTCTTCACCTCAAAAGTTACCGGAACACCATCCCCATCCCGATACACTGGAGCGCGAAACGAGATTACCTGCAAGGCAAGCGTGGTATCGAAAAGCCGCCATTCCAGCTCCCTTCCTACATTGCCGACACGGGCATCGCGACGATGCGGGACGCCGTCAAGGAAAAGGAAGCCAACATGTCTCTGAAAGCCAAAACTCGAGAGCGTGTCCAGCCGAAGATGGGTAAAGTGGACATTGATTATCAGAAACTGCACGATGCTTTTTTCAAGTTCCAGACGAAACCACTAGTTACTGGCTTCGGTGAAATGTAAGTGTTCGTTTCGTCTGGCAAGAGCCGCGTTGACGATTTCATGTTCTTCTTAGGTACTACGAGGGCAAGGAGTTTGAGACGTCGCTGAAGGAGAAGCGTCCGGGGGATTTATCGCCTGAATTGGTTGAAGCTCTCTCAATTCCTCCGCTTGCCCCGCCACCTTGGCTCATTAGCATGCAAAGGTTCGGGCCTCCGCCTAGTTATCCTACGTTGCGCATACCCGGTCTCAATGCACCTATACCTGAAGGGTGGGTGTTGCTGCGTCTCTGTGGCTCCTGCTGACCTCCACTTCTTAGGGCACAATGGGGTTTCCATCCTGGTGGATGGGGGAAGCCTCCGCTCGATGAATACAATCGGCCCCTGTACGGCGATGTCTTTGGCGTGCTTCCCAAGATATCGGACATCAGTGTAAGTCCCCATTCTCTTATCGCATAATAACAACTGGAACCTTTTGCATAGGGCGAACCCATCGATAAGGAGCCTTGGGGTGAGCTCGAACCTGAGGAAGGCAAGCAATTTCGAACCTCATATCACCGCTTTTTTTGACCTTGCACGTACAGAGGAAGAATCCGAAGAAAGTGAAGAAGAATCCGAGGAGGAGGAAACAGAGCCCGCGCCTGTTGACGGTCTTCAGACACCTTCAGGCACAGAAACGCCTTCAGGAATGGCTAGCGTCGTGTCTACGATTGCTGGTGGTCTGGAAACACCTGACTTCCTCGAGCTTCGCAAGAGCTCTGGAAGAACTGTGTCGGAGGCCATGGAGTCCGGACCAAGGTCGTTGTATCAAGTTGTTCCCGAGAAGCAGACTTCTGTCCGTGGGCTGATGGGAAGCGAGCGTGGTTACGACGTCAGTGCTGTGGCCGGCGCGCCTATTCCTGTTTTGGGTGATGAACGCGGAACAAAGGTGTGAACATTCTGTCCCTCTTAGGTGTATGATACCTAATGTCATCTACTTTTAGCGCAAGGCTAATGGAGTCGATGTTTCCATCGATGCAGGTGATCTAGAGAACATGTCGGAGGAGGAGCTGAGGAGGAAATACGATGCTCATTCGCGTGGAAATGCCGGCGTACCTGGGGCTGGACGGGAAGATTTCTCGGACATGGTTGCGAAGGAGATGGCAAAGAAAAAGCAGAAGATGGAACGGGACAGGGATCGTGATAGGGATGGAAGAAGGGGAAAGGAATACAAGTTTTAATATGCTTTCTGCTTTGGTTCGTCTTTTTATTCCCGTGTATTTCTTCTGTATATAAACGACTTGCTTTCACGCTTTATGGTGGGGATCTGTGTCGCTGGAAGTGCAACAGTAGTAGTGGCACTGGCCAATGCCTCCCGTGCTGTTCATTGTTCCCCCCTTATTATGGCTTTGGTGACAGGACATGGCAAGACTAGATGGATGATTCCGAACAATGAGGAAAGGTGACTTGGATGGATCATGGGGCAGTACGCATTTCTTTCTGCTCTATTCTATTCTTTTACGACCGCTTCTCCTGCACCAAGTGGAATTCACGAAGTGACTAATAATAGTAGTTCACTTGACTTCGACCAAAAGCCGACTGTTGGGCCACTCCTTGGCTTGTGCTACGGGTGCAGTTCGAACAATGCAAGTATTTTGTCGTGTTCTTTGTCAATCTCAGGGTCAGAATCTGATTTCATTGAACATTGGTTCGTCCAAGCCGGTCCATTATCTGGACGACGCAAAGTAAACATCTACGTGCCTTCAATGGTGACACGAACCAATGGCCAGGAGTATAAAAGGGAACCCCTTCACTCCCTGATTTCTTCATCACTCTTCCATTTGTCTATTACATTGAAGGCCTGGTTGTCTTCCCACTGCTCATTACCACCAATTTCACCGATCTTTACTTCAATTTTCACTTCATCTCTCCACTATGCCAGCGAATGTGAATCCTTACGATCCACACGGCCTCCTCCTCGCGGAGTACTTCAGAAAGCAGGTCAAGGACCAATCCGCTAATAAACAGCTTGATGTGAGTAATCCTGTAACGAGAGTCTACGGTGGCTAATGAACATTTTTTTGTAGGCGGGGTCGCCTGGGCCCCATCGTCACCACCGTTCGCGAAGGCATGAAGCACCACGCTCCAGCCACGAAGCCCCACACTCTAGCCACCAACCCGGCTACATGAGTATGGGTCCTGTGCTCTCTTTTACTAACCCCTTCGATCATGGGTCGACCATCTCTGTTGATGAACAGCCTACTGTGAGTAATCCTTCGTGTCGAGTCTGCGGCTGCAATTGAACGGTTTTGTAGGCGGGATCAGTTGGACCTGATCGTCATCCTCGTACACGGGTTAGGCCCGAAGCGCCAGGCTCCACCTACCACGCCAGTCGAGCTAATTCTAGTCAACCCCCACGTCCTGTGACTCCCCCGAATACCTTTTCAGGTTACGACGGCTCCGTAAGCTCTCGTCCTGCCTGTAAATTCTTCTCCTCATGTCCTTCGTTGACTAGCCGGAAACTCCTCCGAGGAAGCATTCCATCGACTTTTGGAAAACCACTGTGCCACGTCAGTGGAAACATTCCCCGGGAAAAGGAGGGGTTCGAATCGTAAGTTGCAAATCATGGCTTCCGGTTTCTTTGCTGATCATTCTGATAGCTCCCGGACAAGCCCGTCGCGATTGTGCCGTATGTCAGCCATAGAGGGTCGGTAATGCCAACGGATGAGAATGGCAAACCCAGGAAAGCCCGGCCATTCATATTCGACCATGGCCGTCAGGTAAGCGGATTTGTGACCGCGCTCTGTACTGGGACGTTGTCCTGATCATCCTTGCACAGGTCGACCCTCAAGTCGCTTGCCCCAACGTTTGTGCTCACTTCCAGTTTATGCATGAAGAAAGCTTTGTAGGTCCCTCTCCTGTTCTTACACATCCAGCCATTCACCATGCCCACTTTCTGTAGAAGCTTCGAAAGGGAACGGCGACGTTGGCGGTCAAACAGCCCGCGCCAATCCAACCCTACCAAGCGTCGTCCTTCATTGTCTTCACGGATCGCCGCGTTGCAGTTGATTTCCCAGGTCAAGGGTCGCGTGGCTGTGGCGTTCTCCTCCGCGATGTTTTGGATCCTCCCGACGGTTTCTCCCTGGTGGACGACGACGAGGTGGTGAACCCGTCCAATGCCGACGCACTTTTCTTGAATATAGCGGTCAATGGGTACCCGACTGCCTTGGAAACTATCCACCTTCGGTGCGCGCATGGACGCGTCACTCGCTACGGGCTCCTTCGACAAGTCGCCAAGAAGCATTATCATATCATGCACATGTCGGTTCCAGCCACGAGGACTTCAAAGCACCACAATAAAGCACTGCCGAAGAAGGTAGCATTTGAACGGCTCCGGCTGGTATCTCTTTACACCCATGATCACGCGTTCTGGAACGCGGAGTTTATCTATGTTTCTGACCCAAAGTCAAAGAGATCGGCGTGTGATTAGACTAGGCTTTGAAGCGCCTTTCCGAAGAAAAGAGGTTTTTTTGTGCGCCTGTTTCAGTCTTGTTTCCTAATAAATGTATGCTCTACTTCTTGTTGTCTCTTATATGGCTTTCATTTGTCTCTTATATGGCTTTCATTCTGGAATGAAAATGCTCTCCTGCTTGATATATTCACTTATCCCATCATGTCCAGTGTGTGCTGTAAAAGAGGTGCAGTACATCTTGAATTTCGAGCAGGAGGGGTCCACGCTGCAAGTTCCAAGAGGAGAATCATCAGATGGGAGTGAGTCATCCATCGATTCTCAGCACTCCTTGAGCGCTTAGCTTTTCCGTTGCAAAAACGGGTTGGCGGCGATGGTTAAAATAAATAAATAAATTGGATCTGCACATGGTTTTGGGAAGTCGGGAATATGAATTCTGTGCCCCGGTTTTGTTCCCCATCGCCCTGGACGAAAAAGGTGTCCATTTAAAGCAAGCTTGGATGTCTGCGCATGCTGTTACAGAGAGTCTGCGAGGTTGAAAAGTGATCACCATAACAGCAGCGCCAAGAGACGCAAAGGTGGGTGGGTGGTACCTTGGGTAACAGAAAGGAGGGGCGAAGGAGGCAAAGCAAAGGTGGAGATCACCCTGTGGAGAAGAACTACCGATAATGACGGCACATGGATGGAAAGAGAGATATTATCAGTGCTGGTCCTCGATGAGTGATATTTGTTCGCACGAGGGTGAGGAGCCTGAGGAGGAGGGGAAGCATGAGATAGACGAAAGTAGGTTACCCTTCTACGAGACTGAGCAACCGGAACTCGTTATCCGTGGAGATTTTGCCTTGTCGTTAGGCACTGGACATCAAGGGGATAGAGCGGAACTTACTTTTCTCAGGGTAGCGAAGGGGAACTATCCCGCTTTCATGGTCATTTTATCGTCCGTTGGTTCGAGTCTCTGATTTTCAGCCTAGTTCTCATCTGAGCCATCACATCGTTCGAGTCGAGGCCCTTCCTCAGTGGTAGACATGATTTGGTCTGTTTTGTTCTTGGTGCCGAGTACGAAGCAGATGGGGCCATTGAAAGGACCTGGCGCGTACTGTCAGTTTTAGTGCTACCGCTTATTATCAGACAACGTAACAAGAGGCATAGCGGCTTCTTGATATCGACAGTTATCTACCATGAATTAGACAGTTACGAGATGTGCAACCTATCCAAGACAGGTTCGATTCCTTGGTTCAAAATTGTCTTCTATACTTCCTGTGAAGGTCTACGAGTAGCTAGTGCCCCACAGACAATTGTCATTGAAATGTACTGTTGCACATAGGTGTTTACTTACCTCCCAGTGTGAACTTGTTATAGCACAGAAGTCCTCATTGTTGTGTCTCTACTGCTTTTATAACAGAAGCAATCCTGCTTGCTGAATTCAGCGATTCTACACCAACGACGAGATCCTGAGTGTTTCCTGTAGCACAGAGACGGAGAGGTATAAAGAGTGCAGTTCCCTTATCACACTCGAACTCCCTATAGTTATTGACGGCAACACGGATCAAGCACTAGTATAAATTTTGAAGGATAGATTTGAAACAACCGATGTATATCACCCGAGTACAGTCGTTTCAAGTGGCCGGTGGCAGATTTTCTCTGCTCAGAGCTGCTTCATACGGCAGAGGGGGGGGGGGAGGGGGACAGAAACTGAGACTGAATAAGATGTGCGATATTTCGAACCGAGAAAATGAAAGTTCTGTGGGAGCGCGCCTCCGGCCCGAAGATCGCCGGAGGGGGCGCTTCGTCTTAAGGCACGATCCCCACTCGCATCATCAGGCTAGGCAGTGACACCTTTCCCTCTCGCCATCGCAGGGCCATGTCCCAAGTGAAGCTGTGAGTGTGCTCGACGACGACGGCGCCATGAATATTGCTCATTTCGACGTGTAGCACCCTTCGACAGCCTCCGAACGTCGAATTCGTCCATGGTCAGCCACCGTTCTTGGTATTCGCCAGCATCGCGTCTCATTTCTTTCTTAGGATACCCTGGCATTCCTTCAGGAGGCACAGACAGGCCACAGGCTGCAGTAAAGGGGGTGAGTGCCCTGCGGATGCTGCTACCGGAACTACCGCGTTGACAGTCGGATTCAGGCTATCGAGGTCAGAGTCGGACCTCAAGGGGTCAAAGCAAAATGGCTCCGTGTGGAGCTGCGCAGAGTCGAGCAGATTCCAATGACGGGAGAAAATACGTTTTTTGATTATGTTGGACCAAGTCCGGTCAACGTTTGGACAGCACCAGAGGAGTGGCAGGTACTGAATTCGGTGTGTCGAACAAATCCAATCTTATCGCTGTGCTTTTTTTTTTGCTCATGGGCGCATATACTTGCAGTCGGATTTCCCATTCGATATACGCATACCAGAGTCCATTCCGCCGACACTCACTCTGGAGGGGCGTGGTGAGCACGAGTTATACTGCGCTTCCAATGAGTCACTGACCTCGTTGCATAAGTGGGGATCAAGTATGAACTCATTGCCAGCGTGTGTACGAAAGGTAAACGGTGCGTGTGCTGTGTCATGGCCGTTCGTTCGCGTGTCTTTCTCAGCTTCCTATAGTGGCTTCTTGCGGAAAAGAAAGTCAAATGTCGCATCGACTCAAACCGAAATCATAATTGACAAGCACGATCTGCACTCTACATGGCCAGTCTACTGCCAGACCGACGTCCGACGTGTTGAGCTCGATGGTGTCTCTTTGACTGTTGAGCGTCATCAGACATGCTATGGCCCTGGCGATCGTGTTGCAGTATTCGCCACGGTCAGGTCTGATAACCTTCAGACTGTGATCCTTCGAGGCTTCGAGCTTTCGATTCGTGAGTCGAGAACGTTTCGCGCGGGAGCATTCACCGGGGGCCGAAAAACTACGCCAACAACGCGAGTTGGCAACATCTTCGAAAACAAGTTTGCCATCAATACGACTCTTATGGGAGGCATGCAGCACAAAGCAGAACTCTCATCTACTATTTCTCCGAGTCATACTACCACGACACTTAATTCGGCTAGGCATATTGATATCAATTATGTTTTGTGCGTCAAGGCCATCATGGGCACGGGACACCCTCTAGTGATGGATCTTCCCGTCATCATGTCTAACTGGCCTAGGTTAGTCCGATTGCATCATTTCGTTTCAGCATAGCTGATATACGGTACGTAGGAGTGTTTCGCAGGAAGCCATACGGTAGGCAGCAAACCATCAGCATCTATCCCATTCATCTAACAAACTCAATAGGCGTATCGGACCAGCTCCTGGTCTGTCCCTCTTGACGCCGCACTCTGTTATTACGTCTGTAGAACCATCTCCCGCGACACGCCATCAACCTACTCAGTCACAGAGCTACGGCGGTCGACCTTCTCAACCAGACACAGGAGCTATCAAATCACCCGTAGCAAGCACTTTTTCTTCGTCGGCCCAGCCTCGAACGAATGGATACGTGAATGTGAAGACGGACGAATTTGGCTATGGTGCTGGCTACGGGCACAAAACCACATTTTCAAAGTCCAATAGTACTGAAGATGACCGAAAGGAAAGGGAAAAGGAAACAGGCTCACGACGGCCTGGGTCCTCGGGTACAGTCACTAGTACAAGATTGACTATCACCAATGCTTCACCTTCGGAGATACCGGATGCTCCCCGTGCCAATGGCCGGAAACGTTCTGGTAGTGGGCGTGCCTGGCCTACTGCCGAGGACGAGAAACAGCTGTATCATCGTGCCAAAGCTAGAGTTGAACAGGTACAAGGTGTCGTGGCTAGAACGCCTTCACCGGTAAGTATATAATTTGCCCGGTAGTCTTCTTCGTATGTCTGACAATATATAATAGACGCCGACTACTTCACGTCACAGTCCACCGCCCATTGCTCAGCCTCAACCGCGATCACCGGCAAATAATAATCCATGGCCCACTGCAGAAGAAGAGAAGTTCCTCGCCGCCCAGGCTGCTGTACAAAGAACACAAGGTATCGAATTCGCCTCTCCAACCAGCGATATCGCTCGTCCTACCCGAAACCCATCCATATCGAAATCGCTAATGAACGGTGCCGGTTCAGCTACAAGCTCGCGCGAAAAGAAGACCACTTCCGGCGGCAGAATCCTTCAATACCCGTCCGCGGCTGATGAGAAGGCAGCGCTGAAGCGATACAATGAAGCCAAAGAGGCTGTGGACCGTACCCAAAATGTTGGCCTAGTCAACGGTGTTGGGCCAGGGCCGGTTGCGTACGACTCTCTCTATCCCTCTTCGTCAAGACTTTCTCCTCCTACACATGATGAGCCGCCCCCGTTTGAGGCGGCTGCAGGCTCGTCTTCACCAGGGTTCGAGTCGGCCTTGCAAGAAAAGGCTCGTATGCGTCGGGCGATGGAAGCATCTCAACCGCACAGCCCGCCCCCGCCCTCGATAGACGAAGCACCAGCGTATGGATCTCCGCCTCCCTTCGCATCGGGTGCGACCTCAGCAGCAGCAGCTCTATACGCTTCAGGCCTCTCCGAGAAAGAACTCCTGCGCCGGAGATTCGAGGCTCAGGATGCCATGGCCATAGCCATGGCTAGTGGGAGCGGGAGCGGGAGTAGTCTTCCTCCCCCTGCCACATTACCCCGCTCGATATCAACAGGTGCGCCGCATTCCCCACGGCCGACTCCTGCGCCTCCAACTTCGAGTTCGAGGATCATGACCGCCGCGGAGGAAAAGGCGATGTTGAAAGCCAAGTACGCGATGGAAGACCAGGCCGCCAGTCCGAGTAATATCGCGTCGGGTTCTTCTTCTTCTTCGTCTGCTCCTGCTCCTCCTGCTCCTCCTCCGCTGATGCCCCGGCCTCCGGCGGAGTACATCCAGGAAACTCAGGAAGAGGACGCACGTGTGTCTAGGATGGTCCGCGAGGATGCGTCGCTGGCCCTGGATGATGGTGGTGATGGTGACGACACCCTTCCGCTGCCTAATGGGAACAGCCTAGGGAGTGCAGTCGAACCTCGTATGAAGCCTTTCGCGCCGTCCTCCAATGGCGCCGCTCCACCGCCTTTGCCTCCCAAGCCGCTTTCTCCCCCGCCATCATGACTTGAAAACCGTATGCAATACCTACTACTCCTTATTTAAGTTTTCCTCCCGTAAATCTCCCTACGCCTACATATTGTTTGTCTCTACAACTGTTCTTGCGTATACCACATTCTCTTTCGTCTCCACGGGCCGTCCTCCAAAGCTATATTGCCACCTATTTATATCGTTACAATGATTTGATGCTGGATTAATACAAAAGCGTGATCTATAGTGCTGTACAAGTATGCTATATATCTCTCCTTCAATCAACTACGTGATACAAAACTTATCGATTTCTCCTTCCCCGTCTTGGTGGTGCCGCTGACGTCGCGGGGGGCTTCGGCGCCGCTGAGGGTGGTGGCGGCGGGTCCAGCTGTGTCTCATCCGATTTCCGTTTTCGCCCTTTAGCCGTCGCAGGAACAGGAACAGTCGCAGGAACAGGGGCACTGTCTTGCTCAGCGGTACCCCCACCACCAGAATCCACAGAACGCTGGCGCACAGCGGGCGGTTGTGCAAGAACGAAAGGCGACCCTTGGCGAAGGTTGTTGTTCACCGGTGACGGCGCACTATCAGACGACTGCATCTCATCCAGAAGCGGATTAGCAATATCAACCGGTGGAGGTGTCGCGTAATTGAGGAAGGAGCTGTAATCGATATCCGGCATCCCGCTCGTGTCCACCTGTTGGCTGCCGGCGGGGGAAATCCCCAAGACGCTGCTCAGAGAATCGATATCACCGTTGAGCGCCTCCACTGCGTGGTCAATGTCCCCGATATGTCGAAACTGCTTTTGGAGGGCGCCAGGGCTCTGGGGGTCGAGGCCGTCGCAAGGTGGTGAATGGGAGGAAGAGTAGTCGCTGCCGGTGAGGGGGAGTCGCGAGGGAGAAGATTGACCGATATCAAATATGGGGAGGTGGGAGTAGTCGTTCTGTGATGGGTCTGTGACGAGCGGGCCGAGCATCGAGGAGATCAGGTCCCAATCAGATGTGGACAAATTTTCCAGATTTATGCCGTTTAGGGAAGGGGTTGGCACCCGTCGATCAATTTCGGTTTGAGAAGCGGGTTGGGGGTCGGGCGGTCCTATACCGATGACGCTATTCAGATTGGGAGGGGAAGGGGGGTATTCGAGGTCTACCGCTGGGGTGGCGAAGGAAGAGATTTCGGAGATTAGTGGAGAAACTGCCTCAGAGGTGGTTGACGACCGCTGCACGGTAGAATCAGGTGTCTCGACGGTCGGGCATTTCACCGCTGGAAGAGAGAAGGTCAGATAACATATCCTAACATGATCGAGAAAAAAATTACAAGCTGGAGACGGAGCCATGTCCTTCGCGTCTTCATCCTCCATCTCGACTATCCCAACCTTACTTCCCCCAGGGTCTCTACGTTTGTCCTCAATCATAAGACGTGGAGTTTGGAGCGGAACGATGCCATGGGGAGAATCTCGTGGATGACCCGAGTCCTTTTCCTTGCCGCTGGAGCTTGCCAGCTGAGTCAAAAGGTTGGCTAGAAACTTGACAATGCGATTTATAGTATCCTGTTGTTGCTTGTATCGGTTCCGAGCCTGCAGAGCCTCCTCCCACAGCAGTTGATCTGAGCGCTTAAGTTCGCTCAGATCCTGTGATATCGTCGTCTGGTGTCGTCTGATAGCGGCAATGCCGCTGACAATAGCAGGAATGTCGAGAGCTTGACCAGAAGGAAACGTCGGAGGAACAGAAGGGTCAGCTGGCTCGAATTCGATGGTAGCCTGATCTTTCGTCTGTTTCTTCCGCTCAATGAATATCAGCTGATCCTCCTTCCCGCGCTGGAAATACGGATGTATAAACTGAGACTGGTCTGCTTCCGTTTCGCTTTTCAGTACGCCCTGCTGTAGGTGAGGCACCTTGTGAAATCCGTACATGTTCAGTTGTCGAACGAAGGAAGCAAACTTGTTGTGTTTGAACCACTGGGGCAGGTGTTCCCTTGCGAGACGTTCATGGTCGTGAACTTCCGCGACAACTCAGCGCGGTGAAACAACGTAAACCCGACGATACACACCGAAGAACGACTCCCCATCCTGAGACCATGAAATTACATCGTTTGTCTCTTCCTTGTCGACAATCCTAGCGACGACGGGCGATATTAGTTTCTGTAGTGAGACCTTGGGAGACTGGTATCAGACCCACATATACAGCTTTTGCAGAAACATTGGGACTTTGGAATTATAAGAGCGAAAGGTGTTCGTGAGCGCGACTTGTTGATTATTAGAAGACATGATTTAAGCATATAAGTAATGGGAACGAGAAAGAAATTTGAAGGTGACTGACAGATGTTCGAAGGAAGAAACAGCTAACAACACCGATCGTAATGTTTGTTTCCAAGGGTTTTGACAAGCAGATGAGATCCTCCCCGGCCGATTGGCGTAAACATTCCAAATTAGGTTGGCCAATATAGCCACATTTCGTAAATTCGCTTTGGATTGGCCGGAGACAGACGGGTATTTATCGAAAACTTGGGTGATTGTTCCCCCGTTACTACTCGAAGCTGGGCCTCGTGCATGACGGGTTCGAGTAATTCGAGCATTCCAGGCGGCAAAAATCATACGACGTCAGGCCGACAGTCCATTATTAGTCCATCTTTTGCGGAAGGGAGAACAGCAGGAGCTGCGAGGTCGTTACTTAGTTCGAGCAGAATTAAGAATTAAGATTGACGATATCTGGAATCGCCTCGTGGACTTGGCACAACTATTCACCGTCCGACCGTCCGAGGCACGACAAGTACTAGTCACGACAACGTCTTTCATAGAAATGTTTCCTTTTGAGTATATCTATAAGACCAGCCAGGAAGACTCGAATCGTAATCAAGAAAAACTCACTGTCTGAGCTCGAAGACTATATAATAATTGTGTTGCTCAGAGTCACTTCCTCCTCTCCTCAAGCCCGTACGCATACCATCATCTCTATGCAATTGGATTTCCGACATCAGGAAACAGTAAAATACTAAACATTATTTCTCGTCTCAAACTAGACCGGTTCTCAAATGATATATTACCGAGGAGACACAACATCAAAAACAATAGGGACTCCCGCTCATTTGCTGGAACCCGAAAAAACCACTAAATGGAAGTCTTCGCTCGTGAACAGCAAAGAAAAAGGAGGCCCACCCAGCCAGAGTGGCCAAAAGTGGGACAGGAAAACATTGAGACAGTGCATAAGCCAAAGCCCACACAAGCCGCAGACATCCTCTGGGGACAGAGGTCGCCGTGCTATGAAGGACCTCTACGACCCACAAACCCGGGTATGTGAAAGTGCCTGTGCCGTCAAGGTAAGTATGAGATGTTTCGATATTTGCGCTGGGCTTTTATACAAAGTGCTCGTGCACGGACCAGGTGTATCTGTAGCGCTCGATATTCTCAGAGTTTAGTTTTCTTACAAAGGGCGAGACACTAATTATGGATTGCCCTATGCGGCGTAACTTATCACTCAAAATAAGTGATACATACCCTTGCATTATTTATATCAACGAAAGAAAATATCGTAGAAGTCCATAGCACCTTAATTATTGTAGATATTCCAACTCTGCCAAAAACAACACACATCAGCAGAGCAAGACAGAAAACGAAAGAAAGAACCCACTTTACGCCACTGCAACCCCCGATGTTCGGCTATAGGCCCACTTATACCAAACGCGACTCCCCTAAACCACCAGAACGTCAGGAATATCGACGACGAGCAGATCCCAAAAACGATCCATTTTGCTTTTGTCGTCAAACGACGCGAAGAGAAGACAAAGTGATCAAGGAGATGCGCAAACATCAGCACGGAGAAGTAGAGCGTCGGAAGCTAGAGATGGGTTTGGTTTAACACACGCAATCCCTAAAAGAAGGAAAGGATACCCACATAGTGGTGGACGTATGTGACACGGCCCATGATCATGAACGGCACTACAGCCCGCGTCAATAAATGCCCAAACCGCATATCGCAGCCCACCCACCATAATGAAGCGCCCATCCTAAAAATGCAATCTTCCCCACATACAAGAAATGATCCCACTCCCTCGGCTCCATATCAATATACTTCCTCTGCATACGAAGCAGGTACACCAAAAACGTCAACAACGCCAGGATCAGACTGATCGCGCCTCCCCACCAGATGAGAGGCGTCCCCATCAAATAATACTTGACCTGATTGTCTGCCCAGCCGCACATCCTCAGTCCGAGATGGAGGAACGGCCAGTCGGACGGCTTCGACGCGAGGATGTCTTCTTTATCTGGATCAGGGACTAGGGCATTGTTGGATGTCATCATCGCAACGTTCAGATGCCAAAAGTCGCGCAGGAAGGGGGATTTGTAGAACTTCATGTCACCCGGGGGAACTTGGGGAAGAAGCGTTAGTGTTGATGTGGGTATGAAAAAAAGGGAAAACTTACGTCGGTCGTTCCAATGACTCTCAACGTTCCAGTATGTATGACTGTCCTTGGGGTCGTTGTCATTGGTGCAGGTGACTTCAATCTGCTTAAAGCCCCACTGTGGGAGAACACTATTCGCTGCACGCAAGTAACATCCCAAGTTCTTGTGGCGGAACCGCATTTGCGTGGTCAACGAATGGATCTTTTCCACTTTTTTGCCTTGCCTGATGTCGTCTACGACCTCGACGATCCAATAGTCTGAAGCGTCACCGACAGTCGCGTTGCCATAGCACGACACTTCATGAGCCAGCTTCGTCACCGGGGCGGGGATGTTGTGGGAGTGTAAATTACGAGTGGTGGGTCCGTGTGAGAGGCGGATGACATCCCCGTCCTGAAGAAAGCGTATGGGGTCGTTCGGGTTGTAGTTGGCTTCTTCCCACGTCGGTAAGATGATCCATTGATTATTGTCGTCCTTGTAATGATAACAAGTAACTTGCTGCTGAGTGGACCCCGTCGGATATGTCTGAACGTGCGAGTGTAAAAGACCACCGCCATAGCCAACATTCTTAAGTGTAACCTTCGAACCGATCGCAACCTCAAGTGGGTTGTTCTTGAAGTCGTTTCCGACTAAATTTGCCTGAAACAGCGAGCTCATCTGCGAGTCGCCAGGGCCTGAGTGGTTGAGAACCATGAAGTGGAGTTTGAAAGACGCCATGAACGTGAGAATGGGAAGGACAATCAAGCAGGCTATTCGGGCACCCCAATGTTTCAGTTGATCACGCTGAGGAAGTTTCAGTATGCTTCAGAGGAGCAACATCAAGTTACAACTCACCACAGGCATTTTTAGGTCGCCAAACTTGTCCCAGAGATCCTCAATGGTGTATAGACCAACCAGAGCCGTGACGAACAAACCAACCATTTTCACACTGGTAACCCAACCGATAGATAGCCCTGTCATTGTCAGCCACAACCACCAGTCTATAGAGAAAGGTCTGCATCGGTTTCAGATAGGGAACGAACAGGAAATGATGCCGAACACACTGATATTGTTGGTTGTGAAACTTTGTCAAGCAGAAGACCGTTAAGAATGTGAAGAAGAGTAGCATGGAATCCAGAAGAATGAAACGAGAGATACATAACCAGCCCACATCTAAATGAATGGTGAGAACAGTATGGTGGAACATATGGACCACACACCCAGAAGAACCATCAATGCCACCAAATGACAAGCCCACTGGCTCATGCCGAGCTCGACAGCAGTATACCATCCCAACGGGACCATAGCCACTCCAAACGTCGCCAACATGACCCGCATAGCAACATACGGCACAGTGTCGGGGTACTGCACCCCACTCTTGAACTCGAAGCTCCCATCGTAGCCTGCCAGCAGACCCGCCAGCCCGACCAACATCTTCCCCAACGGCGGATGCACATCAAAGTAAAACTCGCGCTTCAAATAATGCGACCCAAACTTGCCAAAGTGGGCTTCGTCCCACACGACGATGTTGGACAGGCCGATCTTGTGGAAGCGGGTGTAGCAGGAGAGCAGGGTGTAGACGACGGGCGGGATGTGTTCTAGGTTTTGGTACAGGAATTCTCGCTGCGCAAAAGGGATCAGAAATGGACTGCGCTGCGATGCAGGAGAGGAAGAATACGTACGATGGACGTCGGGGGTGGTGGCGGTGCCATTCGTGGTCGCCCACCGCCCATACCGCTCCTCGGTGCGTGCATTTTGTTGTAGACGTCCTTTCCCTCGTCATCGTATGGGTAGTCCGTCTTTTGTGTGAGCTCATACCCGTCGTTCTCAAAGCTGAGTCCTCCTCCTCCTTTCGTCCGCCTCCGCGCCTTCTCTTCCATATGATATAGAGGTAGCTGTTCGTCCGTGTGAGCCCAATTGTTTGGTGGATACTGCACTTCCTCAAAGTCTGAAGAAGAAGAATCGGGATCTGACGCGCTAAAGTTCACCACAACAGACATCAGCCGGGGGTCGTGGAACGAGCAGGGCTCGGCACAAAGGCCCTGCGTAAAGGCGATCGAAATGCTAAGAAACAAAAAGGAGCCTTGTCGGCGTCGTGAGTGACCGTGTTGTCGAATTCGAAGTTGTGTGTGAGGTACCGGTGTCCGCAGCTGAACAGGTTTGCCACGTTGACCTCAGCGTTCATCAAATTCGATATATCATGTCCATGTATAGCTTCACTCCGACTTTTCAGCGTAAAAAACCCGCTGAAATACAGAACAATCTGAAACTGAATCCGAACCGCAGCACAGAAACAAATCCGTTGCATAGAGAAAGTGCGCAATTGGTCATTTATCGTAGTTGCCGGAAATCGGCATGACTCCGGCTTCAACGGCTTCACCAAGTTGTGCAGTGCTTCCATCCATATTTTAGTTGTAATTCTAACCATATCCGAAGAAAGGCAGGGTGATTTTAGGGCTACTGCTGACCCCCATCGAAACAGTCCATCACTCCATATGTCACGGCTTGAATGAAAACACGTACAGTTATTTTCCGGCCAAACCCCTAAAATCACTAAAAATCCATAACATCTATGCCTCCAATTGTACAATAGTTACTGGAGGGAAGGAAGCTAAATCAACTGTTTCAGTAACTAATGGTGTGGCAATAACTGTATTTCTCAGTGTTTTTTTCACGCGGGTTTTTGCACAAAGTACCGGTGAAATTACTAATTAACCCCCGGATATTACTGGCCGTGAATTCATGTGGTCATTTGTCGGGGATTTCGCAAGTACACCATTTTAGGTACATAATATCAGTTAGTGTGACGTACTCGGCGTAACCTTCGGCATTAGCGGCTGGACCAAGTGATGGCGACTCGGCTTATCTCGGCTTAATACCAAGCCCTCATTATTCTCTTCACCGATTTTTTGCGTTGTCTGGTGTAGCTCACTCAAAGTTTCAGAAACCCATTGAAATACAGCAAATCTACATTCATAAGATTAAACAGACAGCAAAAAATGATTGTTGTAGGGCAGAACCCTGCACCAGATACTTTTGTATATGAAAAAAGTGCTTGCCATTGCGTCCAACCACGACAACACTGCTCAAGTAGCCGACGCTGGATACGACTGCAACAGTAGCAACGAAAGGATGAATCAAACGCTAGGTACACCGTGCCGCAGGTAGACAGCTACAGGGCAAGGAATGAGAAACGGCTTTCATCGAGAACTCGACAAACAACATACCTGATACCATAGCGTGATCTCGCTCATAAGGCTCCAGAGGAACCTGCTCAAGAGCCTTGAAATGCTCCTTTTGCAACGTTGCAACTTCTGATGCAAAGACGGCATCGGGTGACATTGTTGAGTCGATGCAGCTGGCCTTTATCGATATAACCACATGTCCACCGACTTTGAGGAAATATTCCGCGTTCAGGACGACGATACGAGCCTGGTCGGGCTGCGCAACATCAGCGAAGATGACGTCGACTTGCGATAGCAGCATCCGGTATTTTTGTGGCTTACGGGCATCTTCGACGATAGCTAGGACAAAAATGTATGAGCACACATGCAAGCGAAGCTACATGCTGCTTACGGATAACATTTGTTCGCTTCTTAGCCATACCGATGAGGTCACGACCGGATCGTAATGAGAATTCGACCGCATATACAACGCCTTCCTGCAAGTTCAAACCATATGAAAAAAAAAGTCGGAGAAAAGAGCAGGAAAAGGCGCACCGGTCCAACGATATCAGCGACATGGCTCACACTCGTTCCACTCGCAGCACCGAGATACAACACCTTTTTCCCAGGCGCAATGAAAATATCATCCAGACCACCCAACACCCCAGCAGCCAATTTACTCCGGAAAGGATTCCACACCCTGTACTCGACCTTGGTACCATCGACACCACCCTCAATAGATATACGTTTCTCTCCGTACACAGATTCCCCTGGGACGAGGTTTTTCGTGACGAGGAGATGCTCCTTGCCTTTGGCGATGAAGACGCCAGGGTGTCTGTGTGGCTCGAGGACGGTGTTGGAACCTCCCTTGGCGCCACCTCGTCCTCCACCACGACCGCCCCGGCCTCGTGGAGCGCCTCTACCTCCTCGTCCACGGTCACCGCCTCTTCCTCCTCCTCGTCCGCCTCGGCTCTGAACACCGCCTCCACGAACACCACCTCCTGAAAAAAGAAAGATATAAACGTGCATTCATTGGCAGAAGTATTGACTCACCTCGTCCACGTCCTCCGCCACGACCGCCTCCACCACGATCACCTCCTCGTCCTCTTCCTCCGAATCCGCCTCGTCCTCCAGGTGCACCTAAAAGAGACAGAAAAAAGGTCAGGACATCAAATACACTGCATAAAGATATTCCACGAACCAAAAGCCATGGATATATGCGCTTGACTGGTGTAGTAATTGCCCGCTCGCGGGTGTCGTTAATGGGAAGAGCTCGTCAAGATTTTTTTCGAGAGCTCTTTCCTTATTCGGCGTGACAAGTCACACAGACATTCCGTCACCACCACGATCCGGCTTCTCCGGTCCGATCACTGAATTTTTTGTTTTTCCAGCACTGTAGGCTACTTAAAATGTCATGAGTAACTTTTTGCAAGTTTTGGGGGTCCATGCATCCATCTTCAAGTTACCTCAAGGTCCACATAGGGTTCTGATTCACATTCATTTCAGGTCATGGCACTCTATTTCTGAGCAGAACTGAGAAGCTCAATTCACTGAACTTCTGGAAATACAAGACTGGAATGTTTGGCTTCATCTCCGTAAGTTCTTCCTGTTAATGGCCCTTCGACTGCTTTACTGGTCGAGGAAGAGCCCTAGATCCTCGTCAACCTATTACCGGGCGGGCTTAAGGCTGTCCTGTCCCTGTAACGGCGTTGTTCATGTATGTATCCGTACTTTGACTATCCGCATACTCTTTTCTCATCAGAGACTTATGAAAGTTGGCTTCTTTCGACGACCTAGGACCGCGATGCACTATGACTCACCACGGTGTCCGTTAATCGTCGCCGTGTCGCAATTATTCTCCTCGTTTTGTCGGCGAGAAACGTCTCTAATTATCGCCTTATATCGCGTCTCCCGTCCCTGACGCGTTGTATCCCACTCCGATCAGCGACGTTGATATCACCAGGTATCGGTTTCTTGTTTACTTTCCTTCACGATTCCATCACTCTCCAGGGGCACATTTAAAGTACCGGCCTTTCAAATGCGCCTTTTCTCTCTTTCCGTTGCTCTCGTCACGGAATTCTTAGTACCCCGGAATCGAAGGACTCATCATTCCCCGTCGGATGTCGATCGTCTTAGGAAGGTATTCATTTTGGAAGCATAGTACAATCTCAAAAAGGTTATCCAACTGAGTTTTACGATGTCGCATGGCCCATAGTGATATATGTATTCTGAGGAAGGTACGCTATCGTCTTCGACCACAGAGACATCCGGAGACACTCTTCCAGCGGATATTACCCACACGGCTCTTTTATCTTGCCAGTCACAGGATCGTATTCAGATTATCTGATTCGTGGGTGTCCAAAAGAACAAGGTTAGCCTTACATTTCTGTGATCTTATGAATCACACGCGATAAACTTTCAAATCCTTCCGGTTGTAGCAAGATCCATAAATCTCTGAAACGGCGTCATGGCTTTCGAGGGTGTATAAAAGACAAGAAACCTTGTCTCCTCGTGTACGTACTACTCTCCCTCCTCTCCTCATGTCTACCGCCGAGTGTTCCTCCAAGTCTGAGAAGAAGGTCTTTGACCCTTTGTATGGTGCCCGCACGGATGTCTCCCCTGTTGGACTTGAACACTATGTCAAGGTTGACCACGCACTAAATATCCGGAACGCGGATGATAAGGAACGTGCCCACGAGACCGTCGAGGTCAGAGTACCCATAACAACCACGATGATGGTGGACTCTGATTTTCCCGACGGTGGTCTTAAAGCGTGGCTCGTCGCATTTGGTGTGAGTACCTTACATCCATCGTACACCAAATCATTGTGCCAAGTGGCTCTTCTTCCCAGGGCATGTGTTGCACGTTTACAACGTAAGTGTTCTGGGTCTCCCGCATTACGCTCTCTTCCATTGACTCTACCGCACCCGTTTGCTCCCAGATTCGGCTATGTGAACGCCTGGGGCGTGAGTATTGATCTCGGTATTTATTCATCAATTCGACACTCATGATCTACAGGTTTTCCAAGCATACTATCAGGAAACTATTCTAAGGGACTCATCACCTTCAAGCATGTAAGAAGGTTTGTCTTCATTTGCTCGGTTCCCTGACCGCCTGCTGTTTTTAGCGCATGGATCGGCTCTGTACAAGTACGCATGTCATTGGTTCCTACATATGCTACTGCTTATTTGGCCGTGTAGTACTGCCTTGTGTTCCTTCCGGGGATCCTCGTTGGCCGCCTTTTCGACTTGGGATACTTCCACACGATCCTTCTTTCTTGTAGCGCCTTACTCGTTCTCGCGACCTTTCTGACCGCCGAATGCACTGCATACTGGCAATTTCTTCTCTGCCAGGGATTCGTAGTCGGGGTGCGTAATTTCTGACTCATCCTGCGGTTATTAATTGTACTTTTAAGCTCGCCTGCGGTGGAATATTCGGGCCTGCGATGGCCGTCATTGCCCATTGGTTCAAAAAGAAAAGAGGCATGGCTTTAGGGCTCGTGGCCATTGGTTCATCAATAGGCGGCACCGTCATTCCGATCATGGCTAGGAATCTGATTCCTCGTATTGGGTATGTGTTTTTGCTCTTTGGACTCTTTCACTAAGGAATTTACGTGTACTCCGACAGATTCTCGTGGACAATGCGGGTCAACGGTTTCGTTCTTTTGGCTACCCTCTGTTTGGCAAATGCCGTATGTGATCATTCCAGGCTTATGTGGCGCTTTTCTCACTTCCAGCAGACTTTGAAGCGGCGTTTACCACCGACGAACGTCATTGGTGGCCTCTTCAACTTGCACTCTTTGAGATCCGCTACTTTCTCCTGCTACTGTGCCTCCGCTTTTTTCGTTTTTCTCGGAATTTACACCAGTCGGTGCCTTGGTCTGTCTTGGCCTATGCTTTGAGCCCTCACGTATTTCAATGACAGTGTTGACGTATATCGATGTCAGTGCAGTGTCGCTAGGCATTTCGGCTGGCCTCTCTTTCTATCTAGTCGCCATCGTGAACTGTTCCAGCGGTGTCGGACGATATATTGCCGGAGGTCTCTCTGACCGTTACGGTACATTTATTCACGTCAACTCATAAATTTATCCACTTAATGGTGTCCTAGGCCCGCTTAATATCATGATTCCTCTGACCTCATTTGCGGCCATATTCACCTATGCCTGGCCGTTTGCCCCAAACGAAGCATCCCTGATTTGCGTTGCCGTTCTATATGGGTATGTCCCGGACTTTCTCATCCCGGATACGTTTATTAATTATTATCAATCAGGTTTTCGTCCGGCGCTTATATGTCTTTACTGCCGAGCCCCTTGATGGCGATGGGCGAGCCGAGCGATGTCGGTCGTCGATTCGGCATGTGTATGAGCATCCTGTCCATCGGGGCGCTAATCGGTCCCCCGATATCTGGAGATATCAATTCCGCGACGAAGGGATTCCAGGCAGTTGGGTTCTTTGCAGGTGCGTTCATCTCGCCTGCTTGGATACATATTTGACAGCTCTCGACAGGCAGTACGATACTTCTGGGTGTTGTGCTGATGATCATTACACGGTATCTCCTTCTTGGGAGATCTTTGGGAAGAATATAGTGGAACAAGGGGTGCTTTCGTTTCATACCGTCTAAATTATTATAACTAGTTTCTTGGATTGTCCATGGACTCATAACAAATGGCTTCAATGTGGCTACGTCGCAATCCCGTTCATCTGTATAGTCATCATGAACCCTTGAGAGACGAGGTTGCAAAAGGTATACCAAACATTCTCCCAGGGACGAGCGTATCTCTTCGATCTAGTAGTCTCCAATTGGACGATCAGAGTCCAATCAGAGTCAGAGCTAGATGTCTTCTTTCTTGTCCCTTTTGAAGTGGGCACCTAGTTTGGCATATCCGCATTCGATTTATCGATGGTCAAGTTCACAACTTGCGCTCTACTGTTGTCGGCTTGTGATTAGATAATTAGTTCGCGACGCGAAGGACCGCCTGAGGGCGTGTGCTCGCCTTTACCATTATCTTGTACGTTTCAGCGCCGGCTGTACTATTACATATCCTTTTTCTGATCTTCCTTGAAAGCCAAAGTGTCCTATAGATCTGGACTTCAAGTCTCCTAGTCCTTCCTTTACTACTCAATCATAGTCACGTAGGTTTCAACCCCATATTTTTCGCGCAGTTCGCTGATTTTTATATTTCATTTATGAGCAACGTTCATGAGCTGACCCAGCTGGCGGCTATACTTCGAGGGGTGCTGTAAGGTACAGGCTAAACTGTCGCATAGTACAGTATTGCAGGTTCAAATTGGGTTCGAACGCGTCCAGTGGGATACATACTACGACACTTTTGTCTTGGCTGATCTGGGCTGTTCAATTGAACAGTCTAATCTTCGTGTCTATTGTATTTTCCACCTGGCTCGTAATCACCGATGTCCGGAAAACGCTGTCATCTATTACTGTGAGGTAATTTGCTGTATCGTTACTAAATTGCCACAGGCATCTCATCAATCCATCGTAAGAGAAAGACAGACGAAGCAGAAAAGAATAGTCTGTGAGCAAGAAACGCCCCCAGACCTATAAATTCCGGAAGACAAGAGGCTTCATGACACTCTGACCTGATTTTTGAAGGCTGTTTTGTGGAAGACTACAGCGCAAGACTCTAAGATGAAAATGAGAATCAATCTGATTTTGGGGGAACACGCACTGACAGAAGCTGCACTGTCTGTTCTCACATTGAGTCATAGAAGTATCCCAATTTAACTGCATTGGTGCAAGAGTTCTCATGAAGACCCGGAAGTTCATATATCCGACGGTGACCTATCATAGGCGTTTCAGAACAGATGAATACGCGTCTCTAAACACGCTGCCTCCTTGAAGCGTCTCCTTTCACAGAAACATACCCATGCTTCTGATCAGAGGGCCCCGGCCAGGGAAAAGGACGCTGAGCAAAAATCCAAAGCATTGGTAAAAAGAAGAGACAACTTATTCGTCTCCGCGTCGAGAATTCTTGTACAGCGTGTAGTCTCCATCCAGGGTCCAAAATTAGAATCGCGAAGCAAGTGCTACGTTCAATGAATATGAATTGTGTAGAGTTTACAGGAACCACAACCACCTAAAAGCAAAATACTATCAATTTGAAGATGCAAGTAACACAGAGTAGAGCACCCAGGAAGTCACAGCAGCTTCGTGAGACCAAGCCACCCGGAGATTCTCAAGAACAGGGCAAAGACTGCGCCGAGTAAAGTCTTGAATTTTTGAATAATACGGACTCGTACAAGTTATATATTAGAGTAGGCAACGTGATATAAGGCCACGAAAATCTGTGACCTGTTGAATGAAGCTTATGAAAGCTGAAATAAAAAGAACTCACCCTGGACACATGGGGCCCTATCCTTCTCCGCTACGATATCATTGAACCCGCTTTCGAGTAAACCACGACGCTAGAAATATTTTTTGCCAGGACCTAGGCCCCGTTCTCACCAAGCTGCATTTATAGAAAACGAAAATTGATGTAAGCGGAGCCCTGTGTCCCCGGCCAAGGCAGCTTCTGTCCTCAACATTACGTCATCGGCGACCCTGACGTTTCGCTACCGGCGTCGAATTCGACCATTCGTGAAGACAGTGGGCTTGAAGAACACCTACCGCCTAGCAGAAAGTTTGAGTACGTGCGCAAATTATTCAAGACGTACAGGATGGTGGTTCGGGAGAAAGCAAGTTCGGTAGATCCCGTTTGAGCCGCATTGCACGCCAAGTACCGATATACTAATATTGTAAGAAATACGGGGCCAGATAAAAATTTCGTTAGCAGCGGTTCAACGAAAGATGAAATATAACGACGTACAGTTGTTTTACGATTTCAGAGCTTGGTTCAGTCGCAGGAATCATACAAGTCATTGGTGTCTTGAGGGTAAGTGTTCACTTCTTTCTGGAATAGTCAACATCACAGAACCTGTCTTATTACGCGTATCCATCGACTCCTTCGATCATTCCATAACTATCATCGGGGACAAAATTGCCGCAACCAACGACAATTCTCTACTTACATATCTCCAAGCTCGTCGTACAGTGGTGCGATGCGCGAAGGAAAGATAACTCCATATTTTCATCAATACGTCGCCTTCCACGGGACACCCTAATCGAAATCCTCTCTTTTGCTCTTGTTATGACCAACTGCCGCAGCGTGTTTCTATGCAGAGGACCCGCATCGGCGCCTCTCGAACATGTATCACTCATGGAGGCATATCTTGTGCTCTGCGCCGTTGCTTTGGTCGTCTGTCATTTTCGAGGGGATACATATCGAGCTCTCCAACAAAAAAAAAGTCTTGGTTTCTCACATCCAAAGCCTTCTTCAGCAATCTGGAGATGTGCCGCTTAATATCTTTATTGGTCCTAACCTTCGGTTTCCGAAATACGGCGAGGAGATATATATCTCGTCCTTTTGGAAACATCTCATCGGTGGAGAAACCTTACTTTTGGAGAGCCAGGAGAGGGCCTGTCATAATCTGCTGTATATGCTCAAGGACGGGTCGGAGTCAGTTCATGAGAGGTTAGCTCGATTGGAATGCCATCGACATGTGTCGAGCGTATAGCGGCGGCACGTTAAAAATAACTATTGTGATCTGCTGCACTCTGCGCCCCGCCTCAGAAAGGCTATACTGGACCACCACATGCCCTTCTCCCCCCTACAGCTTCGACACACAACACACATCTCCGCTTCATGCACCACGCTCGAACAGCTTCGTTCGATCTTCTCATATCCCCAGCTCATCGCATGCCACGTACAAGCCGGCTGGCTTGCGAGACTCCTACGAGGACATACTACAAGCGAACCTATTATTCATCAAGACCCTCCGCTGTCTTCGCATTTCATTCCCCCCCCATGTCCTTCGCTTGCCAGCATTGGACATACTCGACATCAGGTCCATGCCTTCGAAGCGCCTCGCGATGTCATTTTCATTTCTTTCCTCGATCAGTCAAAATGCCATCTCACGTCCCTTCCGGCCGGCAGCATGCATAGGCGTAAGCGTAAGTTGCATTTGATCAGACCAATCCTTGCGCACCAAAGCTTAAAAGCTTATCGTTACGATACTTGGATGTCACTCTTGATTTTTGACTTGACACTATTACCTTCGAGTTCCGTGACGCATTTTGTCGTACAACAAGGAGGCTAGTTCCACATCTCTGCGAAGTACAACGTTGAGTGTCGGTTGTAGACCATTACTGTCATGGCTGATGACCACGTTCTTTCTACCTATTAGTATCACTCTGCATTTTCCCTCTATTACTCTGCTGTTGCCCCATGGCCTTGCGTGAGGTTCTGCATCGTCTCCGTATTTGTTTGATCATCGAATGGAGGAGCGTTCCGACGGGGATGTTTTCATTTACGTGGAACACATCACGACGCCACATTGGATCAAGCCACAAACCCATAAGCGAAACGCCCAAGACCAGGTAGTACATACAGTTGAGTTACCTTCCACCAACACCCGGCGGTCATGTCATGGACTTGGTAGAATACAATATGAATTACAACGACCAGCGCTACAACATGCGCAGAGCTAGCAACCATCAACCAAGGAATTCTTAGGGAAAGGCTGCTGAAAATCGTCCCGCCATGTGGTAAGGTTGGGATTCGAGTACGCTTCAATATACCTGGAACACAAGAAGGAGATGAATAAGGCAGCAGCGGTCGAGCAGCCAAAGAACTGACGTATTTATATACGCTTGCGTCGGGAAGTCAGGCGGAGAACAGCCGATGTTGATGTTATTCGGGTCCCTGTAACAGTGGTGGTGAAAAAGGAGTTTCAAACGATAACCAAATCGGCGTCATTACTGGTAAACCCTGTTTTCGAAGACGTCAGAAGTGCTTTAAAAAAAAGTTGTAATGTAATGCGTTTTACGGACCTGATATAGTCGATGAGCATGATGGCGGGGAACTGCAAGTGCTCCAAGTCTACAGGCCCAAAGTTGGTAGACATTCCAAGGTTGGCCATGATATACTGTGTCCCGACAAATCAGAGATATGCCACGCCACTAGATTCGATGGAAAATACCATTGGTTCTGGTGGTACTTGCCGAGCAGAGATATTCGTAGCGCTGTCGGCGCCGACGCCGCCTGCATTCATCGTCCAAGCAATTTGGTCATTAGAAACCCAAGTAATGTACTGCAGAGGACATTAGCAACGTATTCACAATGTGTCAAGAAGATAGCACTGACGGCGCCATCATAACCTGGATAGATGGACACCAGAAACCAGCCATGAACAATTGATAAGACAAACAGTACATGTATAAGCTAACCCGGTTTGTACTGGTTCAGGGAAAACAAATGAGTAAACACATGACAGTCAAGACAAGAGGAGTAAATCCCGAACCTCAAATCCATACACCGAAAAGCATCCAGCCTCGAGTTGGTAGCAATCCTGATTCGTGTTGGTAACGACCGATGTTGCTTGCTGTGTTACCCCTCCCAGGTAAGTGTTCTGAACCGAGATGGAGGGGTCTTGGATAACCAAGTTGTCCGAACTGTTATCCCAGATGTATCCTTTGTTAAAGGGCTATCATGGGGGAGACAATGTGAACACATCGGCGCAAACAGCAAGCCCGGCCATAACGTACCGCCCACTGCCCAGACTGGGAAACCTGACCCGACAAGGGATCTCCGGTAATCTATGTCGAATGGGTTCATCAATATATTAATATTTGAAGCTTGAACGTGGCAGCTGAGAATAACCTGGCCTTCGAAAATATCAATCTCAGGTGCCGAACGTCCTACAAACGTGCCATCGGAGTGCATGGGCCCTGGATGGCTCTCCCCCGAACATGTACATCGTGACAGCCGCTGACCAGGTAGATAAGACAACTCGAACCCTGCGTCTTCAAGGCCGCTTGTCAATGCGGCCTCCGGCTGCCCATCAATTGTTTGGTTAGGAGCTGTACCGACATCACAGGCGTCGTAGCTGTATGGCCACTGGAAGATGTTTAGCATCGGATGCGACCAAGACCTGTACCAGCGTACGTACCATTCCCTCGAGACTTGCTCCATAGCCAGCACGCCCCAGGTTCCCCATCGTCCATACGGCCGGCCACAGACCAACGACGTTGTTGGCGCCAGGAAGCTGAACAGAGGCTTCGATGTATCCACCCGTAAAGCAAAATTTGTTCCTACAAAGCGACATGTTTCAGCTAGCATCATTATTTGTGGGCCCAATTTTCGCACCAGGATGAGACCAGTCCTACGATAAGAGTGCATGTCAAGTGTACATCAGATCGAAATCGTCAGATTCAACCCACCTCCTTGATAGTCCAGATCGTGCGTTTGTTGTTGGGACAGCGTGATAACCAAATGGCCACCGGCCGTCGTCACTGCAGCAGGATCGTACCACTCCATGTTATTCGTGGCCTACCATAACATGAGCCATAGACCAAAGAGAAATACGGACGGCGGACCAACCCAGTAGTGAAGATCCACCGCCTCCCAATAGGGATCATCTCCAGGGTAGAAAGTACGGTTATCTGTATTGAACTCATCTGAGAAGACGAGGCGCCACTCCGATTGATCTTTCCATGACGTTTGCGTGTGCGCCGTCGCTGGGGTTTCTACGTCGATGAGACCCCGGTTCCCTGGCATTACAGGTACCTTTTGAGAGATGTCGGGAAAGGCCCAAATCAGTTGAGTCGCGCTGTGACGCACCTGACCCGAACCATTGACACCTAGTGCGTCAATCGCACTGAGTCTTGTTGTCATCCGATCCCGATAACTTATAACAGGAAAACCAATACTTCGATGAAACCATCAGTCGAAGTCCTGGATATGATTCTTCGTGGGAGACGCTTACAATAGCGCGAGAATTCCCAAGCAAAGAATGGATAGGCAGCCGAGGTTGGCCAGGCCTCGATAAGAGAAAGACAGCTCGGTATCGTCAACGATTCTACCGCCTTTTACTGTGGGGTTATGCAAGAAGTCATCCGGTTCGGTGACGTGTGGATTCAGATTGCTCCCCCATGAGTGCGGATCCGGCCCCAACGAGTACTACAGGTGCGCAAGTTCTTCATCAGTCTCCCGAGCACTGACGACACTCATATACCTTGCTCGATATTGACGACGACTGCGAATGAAGACTGGCAGCGGCGTACGGCGTGTCTGCCTCTTTTCGTGTCTGACCAAAAAAAAACCGTTATGAAGATCGCTTCGAAGAGAATCTTTGTTGGCGCGTACTTTTGCGAAATTCGGTGGTGCACTAGCGGGAACCAGAGTCGCAGTCGATAAATATGCAGGGTTGTCCATGAAGAAAGTAAGTAGAGACCGTGGGGTTGGTGTGGTTGTTGGGTGAGTCGTGAGGGCAGTGTAGAGCAACCAATGCTCGCGCACTATGGGAAACAATCAACCATCATCCCCCCTCGACATTGAATTGATACCCAACCGGTGATCTCGGCAGAGCGTCATTGTTCGCCACGGAATTATATACTGAAGAGATACAGATTTAGCTCCGCTGCTCGGATCAGGACATGAGTGGTTTGTGTTCTGGCGTGAGTCCAGGGAACTTCGTCCTAGGATCTGTTCGACATTAGAAAGGCTGGGGTGCAATGGGGCTGGAGTGCAATGCCTCCCAGCCTAAACATAAGAGGATGCTCATGTTGCCTTGGGAACTCACTGGTAAGATGTCCAGCACAGGTTTCTATTGTCGGATGTGACTTAATAATAGACCCATACCCTGGATCGGATATGATGAGGCCCAAAATACTTACAAAGCTACTGACCTAGGGAACACTTTAACACGGAGAATATCGTCCTGTTCTGTCGAAGGTGATGCCGATGTTAGGTAATGGCTAATCTGTCCCGTGCTTCTCATCATTGCCGATAGATAAACAAAACATCCAGTCATAGTATCCTAGTTACATATCAGCGTCGTTTCACTTTCCAAAGGAGAACTTGCCTCACCTACAAATCCGACGCTACTACCAGCCCCCGCCAGGAGGACTTCCCGGCGTGGGACTAGGTATAGGCTGCGGCAAAGTCTTGGGCCCAGTGTCCGTTTCCTTCCTCCACTCCACCTTCTCGACACGCACATCTCCATCGATAAGCTGATACACATAGGTAACGACAACGGGACCTTGAATATCCATCAAGGCAAATGAAGGTATGGGATCGCTGAACAAAGGATGAACCCGCTATCGACTGATATCACGTCGAAACGCACCCGTTGAAGAGCCCTGTCCAAGCACCGGTAGCCGAACCTGGATTCACGAAGAATCTATTGTCGTATTCCACCGCTTGTATCCTGCGTGTCCGTTCGCCTCAATTATTGAGGACATTGTCCACAAAACAGCAACGTACGAGTGCGTGTGCCCGCTGACCAACACATCTACATCCATTTGCCTAGCAATCGCGCTAAGCGCATCCAAGTCGCCAGTTGGCACGCTTTGGTGCCCATGAATGACACCAATCTTTATAGGGTTGTGCACGACAGTTACAGAAAGCGGAAACGTTGAGATCTAATGCCACCCATACATCAGCTACGCAAAGAGGAGAAAAAAGTATATTTATGCGAACCTCGTCATAGTCCCCTCGTACCACATTCACGTCAGGTGAAACTGTCCTCAGATACTCGTACGTTTCCTTGTCGCAAACATTTCCCGTGCAGAGAATTTGCTGGATTTTTCCTGGCACAAGGAGTTTTTTGAACTTGACGGGCAGGTCGTGAATACGGTGAGGGATATGCAGGTCACCGATTATCAAGACCAGGACCATCGTCGAGAGAGTTGAGCTGCTTAGAACATCAGAACCTCAGTGACGTCAGGCACGAGTCTGGTTGTCGGAGTTCAATTTCCGGCAGTGCTCTGAACTCACAGTGCCGTATCCAGAAATAGCAAAGTATTCCCACGAAGCCAGGGCAACGCTGAGCGGTATGACCCGACGCTCATTCCTTCCATCCTCCGCTGTCATCATCACCGTGTAGTGCGTAGTCCTTGCCTTCGTTTACCAAACGGTTACTGACGAAATACCCAGATAATGGCATTCCTAGGTCTTCGTAAATGGCCCACTCCTGCAAGTAACTAAGAGTTGGACGTTGGATATGTTTTGACAGGAGTGACAGGTCTTCAAGCCCTTGTGGCCATTCATCACCGCTGGACTGGTCACTATCTATGGCGTATCCCAAATCCAGGATTCGGCGGTTAGATGTGCGTGCTCTACTCGTCCTTGCTTTACTGTGGACTAAAAGCCGCTCTCTGTAGCGCCGGCATATGCTGAGGACCCCAAAAACCCGTATGCGGCCAGGATAGCAAAGGAGAAGGCGATTGCTCACCACTAGTAGAAGGCAGTTTGCGGACAATAAAGCTTACTTTCGGTTGATCTGTTATCCGTCATTTTCCAGCAAAGTATGGTGTTCTGCAATACAATCGATGTCGTCGTTCTAGTAGGTGTGCTAAGACTGAGACTGTTCGGTGTGGCCTCATTCGCAAGTGAACGATTGACGAGCAGTATCTTCATCCTCGCTTTTGCATACATAAGCTCCGTGGAAGAAGCAACTATCGTGTCCTGACTTGCAAAGATAGGTTTTATACATTGGCTATTTTCTAACACCAGGTGTTTCGCGTTCACAACATGTTATACCGTGGAATAATGCCTGACATGTTATGGCCATGAAGACAGTGCATTAGGTTAGTACCATTATGGATTCTACAATACAATAGCCAAAGCGCTGATGAACAAAATCAATAGACGATAGTGATAGTTTTATCCGCAAAATCATTCCACCGATTGGAAACAGCATCCACCACAAAATGAGCGACATCCTTCCTCGAAACGGTATATCCACCCTGAATTTCCTTATCACTCACTCGATACGCAGGCTTGTCTGAACCGTCGGCTCGGCACGCTCCATCGGTGAGCAGAGCAGGTCGCACCACCATGATGTTCTTCACCGACCCAGCTGCAGGTAAACCTTCCCTCTCCCTCCAGGCGGAACCCATGATTTTTTCGCTAGGTTCTCCATCGTCCTTAGTGTTCCAATCCCAACCAGCGCAATAAGCAATCACTCGCTCCATCCCCATTTTGTCTTTGTGAGGAACAGCAAGTAGATACCCGTATAAGGGTTTCAAAAGGAGAGGCAGGCTGGCGTGAGATTCGTGCGTAAGGCCCGTGGAAGATATTGCGACAATCTTGGGGGTTGCGGTATGAGGTACGATGCAGATGAGGTTCAGGAAGCATTGCGTTACGAGGTTTTCGGGGGTGATCACGAAGCCTTTAAGTGGGTGGAATTTGGGAGTACCGCCTAGGTCGATAAGGGTGAGAAATGGCATATGCTTGAGTATTAACTAACTCGGGCTTACCGACTGTGAACAGGACTACATCGACGCTCCCATGCTTCGACGCTTCATCCCAGACACTTTGCACGTCAGATTGTTTCAGCGCATCGCCCTGAACAAGAAAAGCCTTTCCAGACTTGACGTATTCTTGCACTTTGGCGTCGCCGTCGAAAACACTGGGGGAGCGCAGAAGGAAAGTCACTGTCGATCCGGCGGCTATGCATCGACAGGTCAGATTCAAGTGCAAGCTAGAGGTAGAATTTATACGTACCCAATAACCGCAAAGCAGAGTAATATCCGATGTTACGGGAACCTCCAATGACAAGCACGTTGGACATTGTTATAGTATAAAGTGTGGAAGAAGGTAATTGGATGAGCTTTAGGCGGAGTGTCTCATTTTATACGGAGCCAAACCCTATCAGGAGGGCTGTACACCCTTGACGTGAGACGCCTTGCCGGATCTGTACTACTCCAAGGCACCCGTCGAACCGACATAGTATGACAACGCCGGTAATACATCAGCGCTAACGACCCGGTACTCATACACAGTGTTCAGGGTCTTTTGATTGTACACCTTAACTACCAATGCTAGCCGAACACTTGCGGAACGGAATATCTTGACGATTCAGGTCTAGCCGGAAGATTTTGGGCAGAGTACAAGCGAAGCATACGCCCAACTACCACAAAAAAGAAACCTCATATGAAAATCATTCTTATCAACGAGCTACCAAGGTAGATTAGTTTACACCTGTTTGTTTACCTGAGCTGTATTAGCAGAGGTGGCCAATTCAGTCGTACAAGGCAGTAGGCCAGACGAACACGAAGGATGACCTTTTTGACTTTGGGCATTTCAAAAACCTGGGTTACTGCCCAAGAACTGATGCCTCGACCATGCTAACGCTCTTCAATTTGAATCATCTTGGATGTACACGATGGGACTGCCAGTGCTGTACGATTTTTTTCGCATCTTCGGCCGCACAGAGGCAACCTATAGTAACCTCTACGTTGACGTGACCCCTTGAGGTAAAGACATCCATAACAAAATTGGAGAGCTCCTGTAAAACTATTTAGGGGGAGATGTCCGTGACAATGCCTCGAAGAGAAGGCGGCATACATCCGACACGCTGTCCATCTGGTCAAAAAGCTCATATATCTCGGAACTTTCTTCGCGTTAATAAGTAAATAGACAAATAACATGGCAAAGTTGTTCGTCTGTGTCCTTTTTTTTGGAACACCGTAAAACCATTGCCGTTGGCGAAACAGAGCATCATTTTTAGCATCATCGAAACGAGGACGTCTGAGCTTCAAGTCCGGGCCGCCTCTTACCTCTGACCATGGCCACTCAGCGGTACATCAACATGAGGAATATCCGCATCCTGGTCAGCTGAAATTTGGCGGGAACGATGCGCAGGATCTTTTGGGAGACAGAAGAAGCAGGTATTGGCGAGACGCCTGAATCCAATCTGTATCCACATGAGCACATGCTATACGGGAAAGAGAGACGCTAGACCTACTGAACGGTAAGACTGGCTGATACGTTCACGCTTTGCCTCATAAAGATCCATGTCCTCTCCACGAAAGGATTGGTCGTCATGGGTTCTAGACGGTTCAGAACTGCAGGCCAGGTGAACGGATAAGATAAGCCAATGGTTTTGACTTTCTGAGGTTCGAATAGTTGTGGCACCGCCCATGATCCAACGCCTCGGCCGCGCCAACAACGAGCTCCTGAATGTACACAGTGGCCGCATTGTCAGTTTCCTGAGCACATCTACAGCGTCCCAGTCCGCCTGCTACGACTCGTTGTTTCCAAAAGCCGCACGAGTCAAAGACTTCCAACGCGCGAAATTTGAAAACTCCTACGTCGATAGTCAAATTACATATGTAAGTCAGTAAGATATTCAAACTCAAAAAGATACGTGAGAATAGTCGTCCAATTGCTCGAAAAAAATCATTTTTCGTCTTGTTGAGCTTGAGTGTGGATGAAGTGAACATCGATATGCCCAATTTCTTCTTTGGTAACCTTCAGCCGAATACTGAATCTACAGTTCTAGGACAGACATATTCAGCCCATGAGAGAGGGGGATTGAATTAAAGGTATGCCCCCCACTTCCAGCCAAGGGCCATTCCCGGTACAATCGGAGTGAAAATCGGGAGAATCTAAAGATGTCATCATAGCAGGGACGAGCTGGAGGTCGTTGGCAGGTTGCAAAGGCAGTCATCGTGGGAGGGGCGACCCGTAACGAAAGCAACAGAATCCCAGATTTTATAATAAGGCCCAACGAGCGGAGCTCCAAATAGTATTGATCTGCGTGCGCTCTTCTCTTCTGAGTTTCTGGCATGCCGGTCTGGATGCTCTCAGGTCCGGCCGGGCAAGGCTGCCTCCGGTTCTCCAGTACAACAGATTCAGAGTAAAAAGTTTCTATCGAGTCGGACTCACAAATCCCCAGTAGTCCGACTGCACCGCACTGCATATAGATCATGCACCCTGATTTGGCAGAAAAGACTCACGCCGGAAAAAGATCCGGAAGAATTACAAATACGTCGGAACTTGTTCGGCTGGAAAAGGAAAGTCGTCCAGTGTTCATTAACACTTCGGGCCCGGGAAAGGTCAATCAAACTATTCTTTTCTTCCTTCTGTCGTAATTTAATAATGGGATATGTAGACGCATCAATGGAATTGAATAGGTGCACTCACTTGAGGATGGAAATAAATCTGGTACGATCGTATGTTATCAGTAGCGGTCTGGCCTTCATATATTCGGAATGTACTAGCGGCGCTTAGGGTGATGAGGCAATAAAAAGCAAGCATCAGATGATGATGGACGTTGATGTTGGTACATGTGGTCGACAAAATTTGAAGATGACCCAGCCAAAGGAGGATTTAGGTACGCATTTGGTTGAAACAGACTTTAAATTGTAAGAACTCGTAGCGTTGGTAGAATGGGTGTAATGGATAAACGAGAGGTTTAATTATTCTGGACGAAGCCAGCTCCCTTGTATCCCTTCGACGTGATACCTGAGGTCGAAGTGCATCAGCAAACCATCTATCAACAGAGTTGTCACGAAGCAACGGCTCACCTGTGATAGGATTCATCTTCTGCTCGATCGCGCGTTCGTTTGAGGCCTCTTGCCACTCCTTGGTGATCGTCTTAGGGGGAGCAGGCGCTAACAGACGAATGGCCTCAGATATCACCCCCAGTACCGCGACGCAAAAATTACTCACCCATTGCCTTCACGCCGAGCATGAGAAGATACGACACCCCCAAAAGACCCGCGACGGAAGCAGCAATCTTCAGGTTGTCCCCGGGTTTACTGGCGGGTGCACGGTGTCCATGAGGACCGAAGGACACAAAGTACGCTGCAGCGTGCATGAACACCCGGGAACAACCGCACGCCCCGCGCTGCGTTGAGATGGAAATAATACTACTCACCGGCCTTTTTCTCGTCGATAGAGAGTTGCTTCCAGTCCTTCTTCTGGATTTCCGCAAGCTGTGAGCGGAGGGCAGCTTTCTCTTCGACGGAGATCGTGTCCCACAACGCTTCGACCCGGCCCAGGGGGATCGCAGTAGGCGCCGACGAGGTCGACGCCGAGATGTCAACTGCGCTAGCCGTCGTCACTACACATCGAACGGCTGAATATCGGAGGGGACGAAGAGAGCGGGGCCCAAGTCGCAGAACCTGCATGTCAACAAAACGAGACGGTGATATAGAATAAAGGAAATTATATGTCGGATTCCGCACATTGGTCCCTGCACCATAATGATTGGACGGAATGTGGAACGGGCCTATCAATGGTTCTGGGATTGTGCTCCATTTTGGCCGGATGGTCTAGACTTGAGCCCAGAATCCTTGTCACACATGAGGCGGTGCAAGCGGATCACTGTAAAAGCCGGTTTCATTACAAGAAAATGACGCAGTTGGGAGAGATAAAGCAGACGAGATACGGATGCTACAGAAAGGAGGGGTAGCTACAATTACAAACGCAGACGATCAGGCGGCGCTGTTCGTGGGACAATCTCTAGAGATATGTCTGCAAAGAGAGCGCATCAGTGATGATAAGATAGGGTAGCGAACAAACCCACCCTTCAGATCCACACGCGTAGCAGGCTCTTTTCTGCGGCTGAGTGCAGTCCCTGCTAATGTGGCCCTGAGGTTGCAGACAGTAAGAAAAAAAAAGCCAAATCGGAGGTAGGTGGGCACGTACTACGCCGTTGCAGTTGTAACACTTGGAACCTTGAATACAGTCCCGCGACATATGGCCGACGCCACCACAAGTGTAGCTGTAACGGATCAACGTCGTGAGGTAACGGAGAAGAATGTGATTTAATCACCAAGTCTTTCCGCCGCCACCGAAGGCACCTCCTCCATAGCCTGAAGATCCTCCGGCGTCCGGGCAAGCGCGAGCAATATGACCAGTCTTGCCGCAACGATAACACTCGGTTCCAGTGGCGCCGGAGCCAGATCCGGCGTGGCTACTGGCGCTGGTGATAGATGGGCAGTCACGAGACTATGGTAGATTGAATAGATAGACGCGCACGACAGCAACGAGACACGCACGATATGGCCCTCTAAACCGCATTTGTAGCAGCTCTTCACCTTGGTTTCCCCTGTACAGTCCCTCGAAACGTGACCTTCCAGCCCGCCTGTCGATGACGCCGTGAGCAGCGAGTAAGAAAAAGGAAAAATATTAACTGACAATTGTAGCTGGGCACGATCGGAAAGAGAAAGAAGAGGTAAATAGCGGCCACCCGCGACACAAAAAGGGTAGGTTACCAGGTAGGGGTGCCTGCCTTCGGGCAAGACGCCGCTTGATGTCCGACTGTGAATTTGGGTACGGGTGCATTGACGAAGGAGATAGTATATTGCAATGTATTGAGTGATATGCCAAGTCAAAAGTCAGTACAGTGCAAAGGGAAAAAAAACGGATTTTGAGGTAAGAAAAAGTAGCTAATCGCTGCATGGAGAACCTCCCCAAGTACACGAGCGCAAAACGAAGAGAAAAATTATCAACAGCACCACGCACATCCACCGCAATTAAAGCAACCTCGAGCACCAGACATATTTGAGACTGTTTGATTATCGGATTTTGAGCTGTTCAGACGAGATACTGTCAGAGCAGGAACAGAAAGAGGGTAGAAAGACTCTGCGGCAGTACAACGTACCGAAGATGGTGGTTTAAAAGAGAAATGAGGCAGTTCGCTTTTTTTTCGGAAGCGACCAAAAAAAAAAGCTGTGATGAGTCAGATGGTACTTCCAGTTTTGGATATAAGCATTCTTCTCTGCACCATGCCGTTCGGCTATATAATATTTATTTTCCCATCATCAGTTTCTTTTTTGGCCAGATTCTGTACCAGAACTGAGCCTAGAGCCGTGACCGATACGCCCCAAAACAACACAGATTACCACAGAAATTTTAAAATTCTGAGTGAATATTGCCAGTTGTTTCTTGAAAGCAATCTGACTCGCGATTAGCTTAGCCATGAGGCATCCGTTCTCTCACGTTCATCCAAAAACGCCAACTGAACAACAAAAGTGAACGGAAAATGAATACATTTACAGCCCCTTTTGATCCCCGTCAGTTTTGCTCGTCTCCTTAGCCTTTACGTCCTCCTTCTCGTCCTTCTCGCCCTTCTTGCCATCCCCTTTTGTCAGTTTCTTCTCATCAGGAGCGCCCTCTTCGAACTCTGTTCGGCCAATAGTCGACTTATTGTCCACCAGCGCATGCAGCGCAATCACCGCCCGAAGCAGACTGCTCATGTATACCACGAGCAGCTCGTCATTCGTGCTCGAAGCGAAGCTTTGTGTAGTCGTCGGATCTGCGAGATTGGGTAGAAGATTCAGAGCGTCTTGGAGATGATATATTATCTGATGGTTCACGGGCATCTTCCCGGCAGCAACCTCGACAAGATATTTTTGGACGTCACTCATTCGCGACTGCAGACCCCGTAAGGACGCCAGCTGCTCTGTCACCCGCGTTGCTAGTGTCGTCGTTGTCGAATCCTTAATGTCGCGTAGTAGATGCTCGACACCGATCTCTTCCGCCTCTTCAGCCTCAATTGCCGATGGAACGTGTTGAAACGTTTTCCGTGTCTCCGTACCATCCTGTCTACTGATCAACGCTAATTCATTAAGAAATAAATGGGAATGAGCGCACATCTTTAATCTCTTCAACTGCAAAGTAAGCATCCGTAGGTATCCCCACGGTCGTCGGCCGCACATCTACAATAACCATGACAGGACGAGCAATGAACTTCTTGAACAAGTCGTTTATCTCCTGGTCTGATGCCCTTAGCTTGGGACCTGAGTGATACCAGCCAATCAACCGCTCCTTTGCTGCAAAGAAGCCCCATTTCAGTAATGTTGAATCCTGAAAGCACCTATACAATGCGCACCGTTAACTTTCTTGAACATCTCATACATCCCTTGTATATAGTTATGATCCAGAAACCATGTCTTGCTGTCCTTTTCGTCCTCTTCGAATGGTATACCGAATGAGTTGGCGACGTTGATGGTCTTGCCGTTGTCCTGTCCTAATAGGACGCCGACGACGCGCTTGTGAGAGTTTCGTGAGACAGCCCGAGCATGGTGGTCCGCGACAGAGAGGAGAACGAGAGGGTGGACGACTGCGAACCCAAACGTCCGTCAGCTTCTTCCATTACAGTGGTGCATGACCCAACGTACTGACGGTAGTATTGGCTAGAGCAGACAGCTATAGAAAATCGTTAGTACACTTTGAAATTCAACTTGAAGAGATAAGTACCTGCTCTGATGTACTGGCAACCATGACGAAAAACGGTATAAAGAGTGCTAACGAGGATCCTGACGCGCACGACGCGCGTACTTCTCCAGTTTATAGTTGTTGTCCAAATGCCTTGGCGGGCCGGTGCGATAATTCTACGAATTTTTTTTTTTTGGGATTTTTTCCACAGATGGATTATGTGAAATTTTACTATGTAAATCTCAGACTCTGTTCTTCCGAATCTTGTATAGACCTTATCGACGCTGTTGACGCTGTAGCAGAACGGTCGCTTGTGGATGTTTTTGACCGCTGGCCAAAAGGTCGGCTTCCGCGGTTTTTGCAACGACTTCTCGATTCCTCATAAGTTCATGTTGAAGCAACCCAAGGTCTCCGACTCTCCGCCTACAAGGCTTACTTGAACTTGCCAGTCGCTGCACTTCACTCGTCTATTTGTCTTATACTTTGGGGAATCGGGATCGAGGTACTCCGACGGAAGGACGTCACGCGGCGCTAATAATACTCTCATTTATCGACGGCCTCATTTTACACAAGATGTTACTGCTCTCATCCCCGAGATTAATGATCTCTGGTTCTCTCCAGGCTCTCCCTGCCCGAACAGCTTTGAATTCTAGTACTTTACTTCAGGTTGTGCATAGCACCAAAGTTAGGACAGATAGTCCTGTAGTAATACAGGAGTAGCATACACATATCTGTAACAAGCCCCTACAAAGTCATCCAACTCCGTGAGATGCGCTTGGTCCGGACAACCAATGCGATGTTTACAGCGGCATGGTTTCTTCTTGGTCTGTGGTGTTGCCTTGTTTGCCAAGAACGGCGCAGAAAGCATCCGACCGTTCGACCACTACTACACTACTTGTACCGGGGACAGTCTCCACAAAAAGGTCACAGCCTCTCACAGGTCTACGAAAAAGGGCTTGTTCGCTCTTCGAACAAGCCGTGTTTCATGGTTGAAAGGCGCTTATATAATAGGTCATCCGGTTAGCAAGTCCCCTTAAAAAGTTAAAATATTCTGCTAAGCATTTATACTAGTACTGGATCGGACGTAGCCAGGAAAAGAAATGCCAATTCATGCTCTTCAAAATAGATACGCGCTTGTGATCTCTTCCAAAACGCCAATTGTCGGCCAGATTCGCGATTCACAACTTTGGCACAATTTTCTATAGTTTCCGGATTGTACGCTCTAGCCCTAGATTCTTACAATTAGACGGAGCCCTGCGGCTTTGGTAAGATGACCAATGGCTTATCTAGTACGTATCACGGAAATATGAGGAGAAGTCACAGATGGTCGCGCCATCTTTCGTTGGTAACGCGCGAGTCAGCAACATGCGCAGGGGATATATATATCAACTCGAGGTTGTACCCAAACCTTCACCAACGATGCGCTTTCTCGTACCGATTCTATCAGCGTCTTTGGCCGCGGCACAATTTGTCTCACAAACGCCGCTTTCGTCAGACATCTTCCATGACGATCCCGTGCGGGATGATTTTTACGAGTTCAAATGGCCCATTCGCAAGATCGCAATTATCGGAGCTGGGCCTGGGTATTTGTTTTCCCCTGCCATTGATTGGCTACTCACTTCTGTACAGAGGTCTCATAAGCTATCGAGAGTTTGTCCAAGCGGGATTCGAGGTTCGCTTATTCGAGCGGGACGATATACCCGGAGGCAACTGGCACTACAGCGAGGAAGTCCCACTCGATGCCCCTGTTCCTAATGCAGACCCCTCTGTGGGGGACTTTGTCCCGTCGTTGCCGCCAAAGGGAGCGAATCTTCCCTATACGGAGGAATATGTCGATGAGGATGCTACCATTCTTCTTGATAGACGACGGAACCACAGGGAACCCAAGCCTGTTTGGGCATCCTTGAAGTCGAATGCACCCTCTGTGAGTCCAACCTTATCTTTTCGAAGACTGTCGTGTACTCACGAGACCGAAGCCTCATCAACAGATAAGGGAAACCCCATGGCCTGAAGGCACTCCTTGGTGTTCGTCTCTATCATATCACAAAATATAAAGTCTGAAAAAATGACTCGCAAATTCTGTAGCCTTGCCCCACCAAACCCTGCAGAGATACGTCCGGGCTTTTGCATCGTGGCACGGAGTCAACACCAACGATAATAATCCTAACGTTTCGTACTCCACAAGAGTCGAGCTGATCGACAAACAATTCCGAGATGGCCAGCACGTGGGCTGGACGCTTACTTTGAAAAGATTTGTTCAGACAGGAGACCGGACATCGAAGGCAACTTGGTGGACCGAGGTATGCCTCTGTTTTTGTGTATCTTCGCGAAAGCTCATCTTTTCGACAGGATTTTGATGCCGTTGTCGTAGCTACTGGGCGGTACAATGCACCAAACATTCCCAACATCGACGGGCTGGCAGCTTGGGCCGCGCAGTTTCCTGGAAGCATCCAACACTCGCGCCAGTACAGGCGCCCGGAGCCGTTCTTGAACAAGACAGTTTTGGTCGTTGGCGCTGGGGTAAGGATTTTTGATGCCTCAGTTTGAGTGTCTGACCATCGTTTTTGGATAGACGAGCGGTGGAGAAATAGCGAGAGATCTCAATTTTCATGCTCGGAAAGTTTATTTGTCCACTAGGGTGCGTCAACGCGTCAACAATCATCTTCTGTCTCGGTTTCTTATTTGGTTTCTTTTTCCTGGCTAGCCTGATAACAGTGCGTTTGTCATATTCCAGGACCTTTGATATCACTTTAAACTGCATCCAAGGTACTGTGCCTCATTTTCCCCGAGAGGCTCAGCTTGGACGGGTACCCGAAAACACCACCTTCATCGGCGAGATTAAGCGCTTCCACCCGACATCGGATATATCTACCGGCAAGGTGGAATTATCCAACGGAACAGTAAGATGTCCAGTCTCATTTACTGTGATCTTGTCGCCGACTGCTGGTTATACAGATCATCACTGGAATAGATCACATAGTATTCTCCACGGGATTCAAGTATTCTTTCCCCTTCTTGCGTCAATATCACGATTCATCACTGGGTCCGAATGACCGGGCGCCGCCTGGTATTCCCCAGCCTATCGTGACGGATGGTACTCACCTTCGCTCTCTTCATCTGGATGTGTTCTATATTGAAGAGCCCACCATTGGATTTATCAATAGTAGGACTCTCGTTATCAGAACACCTTTTTGGCCTTACTGACGACACTGTTTCAGTCAATGTTGGCATGCAGTCGTTTTCGTATGCGGAATTTACTTCGCTGGCGCTCGCAAAGGTGTGGTCGAACAAGGCAAAGATTCCGAATACGTTGACGTTGTGGCGCCTGCATGAAGAACGGACTCGGGAACAAGGAGGGTATGGCAGGCATTTCCAATTTTTGGGTGCGAAGAGGAACAGAGGTATGGATTGAATTCTACTGTTTAGCTTGTGTTGAATTCTGGGTGTCTAGAGAAAATTAGGTTCTTTGTTGCCTGGTTGAATGACGCCGCACTTAGGTATGGAGGTAGACAGGTATGTACTTTTCTTGTGATCCATTTGCATAGTCGCTAACATGATTTACTAAAACAGATAGACGCTGCGCCTGCGTAAGTGACCTCCTTTCATATCCCCTTCCCACTTACCTGACTGCCAATCAGCAACGACGAAATATTGGCGATTTGGGCAGCTGCGAGGTATGGGGATGCTCATATATCTGAGCTGTCAGATTCCTCTTTCGCGCTACTGACCGCAGAAGAGAAGGCAGACAGAATTATAGATATTATCTTCAGCGATGACTGGTAAATACATCTCTGTAGATAAAAATTGGTTTCGCTATGTACCGCTATGGGTCCAACTACCGGAAGATAAATTAAGTCCAGTGGCAGTGCTACAATAATCACAAGTGCACCATTTGAAACTTGTACTGCGCAATGCACCACCACTTGCACTTGCACCACCGCATCCACTGGAATTTTGTTGGCCTATTTGTGCTGTGGCGCCCACCTTATTGTTTTCCGGAAGGGTGATTATCGGAGGATGACGTATTCGGAGCCAGCAACAATCACACAGCACATGACAGGAATGGGGACAATACGGCATGGCAATGCGTAAACTACAAGCAACACTATTCTGCTTCTCTTTTTCTTGTTTTCTCCTTGGCCTACGTTATGTCTGTTACTGCAGAGCAGGCAAGCAGCAAAAACACTACCAAGACGTTTATCACGGCGCTGGTCGTCAATGGCGGCCTTCTTGCGGCTGAAGTTGGATCTTTTCTTATCTTGAAACAGAAATTGGGAAGGATATATAGTCCTCGGACGTACCTTCCACCTCCAGAGTGCGCCGTGCAATCCTTCGCTCGTTTCCGCTTTTCTGACGTTGTGGATACAGTAAACGAGCACAGGAGCTACCGAAAGGCTTATGGCGATGGGTCCCTGCCCTTATTATGTCGCCACCCGAGGATATCGTGAGCCGTAGCGTCTCTTTGCAACGTCCTTGACGCTCATTTCGTTCCCAGATCCACAAGAATGGATTGGACTCGTACGTGCACTGTTGAACGTAGCTATGTATATGCCTCATATTCCTGCAGATATATGTTTCTTCGCTTCGTCAGGATGCTAATATGGATATTCGCCGTTTTCACATTCGTAACTATGGTCACCATCGTTCCGGTCAACGTCGTTGGCGTGCAGTCGTCCAATACGGGCCTAGAGCGCATTAGTTGGTCGAAGTGCGTTGACTCTGCCTGTGATCATGGTATATGCTTATCCTCCTTCTCAGTATCAGCAGCGAACAGGACCAAAAGCGCTTTGCCGCGCACATAGTCGTCGTCTATCTTCTGACTTGTAAGAATGGTCGGTAAACTTCTTGCCACATGTCCGATTGACGGCGTCCTGCTCTAGTCTTTGTCTTTTACCTCATCCGGCGCGAAATGCTCCATTTTATACACATGCGACACCAATTTCTTATCAGCAAGTCTCATTCTCGCCTTGCACAGGCACGTACGGTCCTCATCACTTCCGTCCCAAACGAATTGGCAAACGAGCACGACATGCGTGAATTCGCGAGTTTCATCCCCGGGGGAGTGGATAGAGTGTGGTTCTATCGCGATAAAAAGATTTTGAACGAGCTCTTCGAGGAACGCCAAGAGCTATGTCATAAGCTTGAATCTGCGGAGGCTGATGTCCTGAAGCAAGCGATGAAAGCGTGGCGTGCCAAGCAAGTTGCGCATAAAAAGGCTTTCAAGAGGAAACCGAAAGACGAGGAAAGTAAAGAGGATGAGGAGCTAGTATCGTGCCCGCCTTCGCATGAGCTATTGGACGATCTCGTCCCTTTAACGAAACGGCCGACTCACAGGACTGGTTTCCTGGGGCTTTTTGGTCATAAAGTCGATACGTTGGATTGGTGCAGAGTTTGTCCTTCCAGATTCATGTCTACGCCTGTAGGTTTTGACTTTGATTCCAGGACGAGATTTCACGGTTAAACTCTGCCATCGAGGAAGAACGGGAAAAAGGCGAAGGAAAATTTCTCGGAAGCGCATTTGTGCGATGTAACTTGCAGATTGGGGCTCATGTGCTTGCACAGTGCGTCAGCTACCACGAAGTAAGCTGGCTTTTTTGTTCTCAAAACAAATGATTCTTATGGGAAACATAGCCTCTAACTATGATCGACAAATGGATGGAGGCGCATCCCAAAGATGTCGTGTGGCGCAATCTTGATGATGGCGCCCTTGAGATGCGCGGTCGATATCTCACCTCTTGGCTTGCTACTATCGGGCTCATCATCGGCTGGGCGTTTCCTGTGACTTTCATCGGAACGTTGAGTAACATAGATGATCTTTGTGTCAAAGTGCGGTAAGTGTCCTCAGCAAGTTTGACGACATTCTGTTGAAAAGTTTATCATACTCAGCTGGTTGAGATGGGTGTGCACAGGTACGACTTCCCTGAAAAACTGGTACGTCAGCAATCCATCTAATATAGCACTATAGCCCCGGATCCCGTACCCGCTCTCATCCAAGGTGTCCTTCCTCCGGCCCTTCTAGCTGGGCTCTTCGCATTGCTTCCTTTCATTCTACGTGGTGCGTCGTCCAACTCTGTTGATTCACATCACCTAACGCCTGACATCCAGCCCTGGCTTGGTATGAATGTATACCTCGGTATTCGCTCATATCTGTCAGTGTTTATCGTCGATTTTTCTTATTCCTCTTGATGTAAGCGAACGAGTGTCTCGTTAAGTCAGTGCTTATGAGGCTTACTCTCTTAGCCACGGTTTCCTCATTGTAACTCTGAGTTCTGGAATCACAAGTGGTTCGTGATTTTCGTCGACGGTGCCTCACATACTAATATCGTGTCCGTCTCGTAGCTATCCAAGATGTGAATCAGCGCCTGTCGTCTTGTATACATGACCAGACTGATTTATAATGGCAGATCATCGAGCAGCCTACACAGACAGTACAGCAGCTTGCTCAACAACTTCCCGGCGCCTCCATATTCTTCTTGACTTATATGCGTTCGTTCCATCTTCTATCTTTTTATTTATGTACTTGCTGAGGTGCTCTATGATATTCAGTTGCGCAAGGATTTGCTGGCGCGGGAGGTGCGTTGGCACAGTTGATGCCTCTTGTCATGCACTACATCAGGAAGTGGTTTTTGGGGCGCACACCAAGACAAGCATTTTCAGTGCGTAGCGTGGTTCCATTTTATCCTTGTGATGCTAGCTTTTGTCTGTTCTTAGGTTACCTTTATGATGCCCTCGGTTCGGTGCTCTCTCATATGAATGTGTAATTCGTGAACTAATCGTCGACGCAGGTTGATTTCGGTGTTATCCTTCCGAGGCTATCTCTATTAGCGACGATTGCGTTCGCTTATAGCGTCTTGAACCCGCTTATTAACGTGATGGCGTTGATCAGTTCGTCCAAGACCTCGCTTTATATTTGTATATGACTGACAACCTATTCAGGTTATATCATGTTCTATCTTGCGTTCAAATTCCGTAAGTGAGCCCGTTTGTTATGATGTCGTACAACTATTGATGTTTTTTCAGTCTGTACACAGGTCTTTGACCAGCCTGATCAATTGGAAACGGGCGGACTGTATTTCCCTATGGCAGTATCGAATCTTTGTGAGCTACTTTTTCTATATGATCACGGTGCTGTTGCCGATGAAGTATAAATCTATCAATAGTCGTCGGCTTATATATCCAGCAAATCTGTCTAGCATGTCTATTCTTTTTGAAGGTCTCGGTTACTAGAACATCTTCTATCATCGAGGGTGTCCTCATGCTGATCCTCGTGGCGATTACCATTTGTGTTCAAATATACATACATCACAGCTTTGATCGTAAGTTGCGCGAGTTGTTAAAATTATGCAGCAGTCTAATTCTGCAAAGCTATCACCACGTATCTTCCCATGTCTTTGGCGACGAAGAAAATGGTCAAGCGGTATGAAAAAAAGCGGCAAGAGAAGGCTGGTATGTCTTCTACGGATATAGAACTAGATTTGTTCAGCCGACAGGGTGAGCCTTTTTGTTGTGTGGCTTCCTGTACCATTGTCTCATTATTTCATAGATATGAAAAAGATCAGGAAACGGATGAAGCTGCTACCGAAGACGAAGAACAAGTTCGATACCTTGAAACCCAAGGTCGCGTTCGAGGATGAGATGACACCGAAGAGTTCAAAGGAATGGAATTCGAATGAAGACAAAGAAGAAGAAGACGTCCAAATTCACGAGGTAGTTGACATGGCAGAGGCTAGCGGTGTTGGCCGTCGCGTTTCTCCTGAGCTGGCTCGGCAAGGCTCCAATGTATCCAGGGAGTCGACCACATCCCAGCAATCCAGTAGCAGTGGAAAAACGAGTGGTTCTGAAAAGTCAGCTCGAACGAAGTCTACGGACAGCCGCCGTCCTATATTAGAGCCTCCGGAGGCTGCTGAAGATGAAGAAAGCGATGACGAAGCTGACCAGGATGAACATGCGTTCGATCATCCTTCGACGTACGTGGAGCAGCCATGGATATGGATTCCGCACGATGTGCTGGGGTTGAGCAAGGTGCTGGTGGATGATCTGAAGAAAGCGGGCGTGGAGGCGAGTGATGCAGGTGCTATGATGGACCGGAAGGGGGTGGTTGAGGTTACTAGAAATCCTCCTGATGAAGATTGGGCGGGCGGTCATGACCGATAGTAGTAGATGAGATGCCTTATTCCCAAGTGTCGATACTATACTGATATGGAATAATCTTACTGTATTATGTACGGATCAATGTTCTGAGCGACGAGGAGATGCGCACGCTACGGCGATGCAATATTTCGATGAAAACATCGGTGTTTTTCACCACGAGGCCGGTCATTCGAGGACTATGTCACTCAATCGCTCTCTGATCCTCACCCTGGACCGCTATTTTCCCCTCGCATTGCAACTTTGGACGATATCTGTAGAGAATATGAAATATGAGGCTCAACTGGTACCAGCACTGCATCGATGTAGCTCTAACCGTGGACACGTTGCGGATCATGTCGAACGAGATGGTTTGGAGTCATCCGTCAAGCAAATGGGCCCCGGGGTGCAGTTTGTCCACCCAGACAATTGGTCCGGGCAAGCGAGAATGAAAAGGAAACACCATATGCACTTTGCAGCAGGAATCAGGATTAAGCTCCCAGAGTCTTCTTGAGGTCATGGATACAATTGAAGATGCAAAGGCACAGCGATGCAACAGCGCACAGTAGTACTAGTAGATAAATAACTGGTCAACGCCGGGCACAGAATACGCCAGACTACAATCCTTCATCTCGCTGTGACATCCTCAGAGGCAAACAAAGACCGTCTCATGGATTTGAAGGAAATGCAGAGACAAATGAATACATAAGATCCTCAGTTACAACTGTGCTACTGAACGTAACGTCAAGCGCAATGCTTGCGGCCTCATCATATGTCTGGGACCTCATCATCATCTATCTCCTGACATTCTTTATTCTTGGAATTTGTTGAAGAGCCTTGAGTAGGGTTTGTCTGCCCGCCTGAACTTGACCCCCCAGTACCAGCGTTCCCGCCTCCATCTTTTGTAGAGCCGGAGTTAGCGTTCGATTGTTTGCTTCGAGAGATGAGTCCTTCGAATTGGCGTGACGTCAACCGACTGGACGGCGTGGATGAATGGGATTCTGCTATTTCCATAGCTTCATCCAATGGTCTTGTACACAAAGTGAAAACATGATTCCCTTCTTGAAAGAAGGAACACTAACCGACATTCACCCAGCAAGAAATAGAGGGTGCAGATGATAAAGAACGAGCTGGCAGAAGAAAGGCGCATGGTGGATGGTAGCAGTTGTGGTAGGTTAAGCACCGGGCTTATGAAGGTTAGGTAGTAGTGTGTGTAGAGAACCAGCTCTGAGGGTGAGGTAGTCGCATCGGACAAGTTTATATAGGGAAGCGAATGCAAGCCAATGCCATTAAATCAACGCGGCAGATGATCATTTAGTGTCCGCGTATGGTCCAACGCCGCCTAGTAGTTATGTGGAACGACCGCCGAGACGCTGCCAAGAGGACGATGGACCCCGACAAGGCAGAGATAGCCGACGATTAATTACGGTCTTAACGAAAGGGATGGTCGAACAGCAGCAAGAGCAACCAAGATGGAAACGATGGAATTAGGAAGTTTCTTATTGCCATCAGAGATCCCTACAGCTTGCTTGCCGCTGGGCAAACTGCTATTGCTGCGCGCATGCCCAGTGATGTACTGGATGTTTTTATTGGACTTATTGGACATTATCGAAGCACAGAAAACACCTAGCTTACGAAGTACTGACTAACAGACAGTCACAGTACTATTCAACGCTCAGATCCAGAAAACGGACGGAGCGAGGACCCTCGAGCTCATCTATCAGATCGGCCAAGCACAGGTTAGACTCGAGCTCGTCCTGATCGGCGTCTTCGGTCAAGATGGCCTGATCTATGTCCGTAATCTTGTGAAGCAGACGGTGAAAAAGAACACTGTGGAATGCCAGCGCGCTTAGTATGGCTAGCTAGAGACCATTAGGCCGGCCACTTGTGAGCGAAAAACCCTATAACAACTGTAGACCACTGTGCCTCGGGGATGACGGTGAAATAAATGTATCTTCCGAGTTGTAGGGTGATGATCATGGCCAAGAACAGGCATCTATATTGGACTACTTGCATTATACATCCAGAAAATCTGCTTCCTCTTCAACTAAAAGGTCCAAGAGCGGGAAGAAAGATGCAGCTGGAAATCCGACGACATTGTTATAATTGCCTTCAATTTTCCGTATTAAGAGGCCGCTGAGTCCCTGAAGAAGGTTATGGGTCGAGCAGTGATAGAGAAGTGCTGAACGATGGACTTGAATCGCAAATCCGGCTCTGCCTACGCCGTCGCCGTTATCGGCCCAGGCTTCCACGAGATGTTTTGGATTGTCGGCGAAATACACCGGCGAGCGCTCGTCAATGGATCTGTCTCCGTTCAATCAGTTATTGGCCATCTCCCGCTGACATGTACACACTTGATGGAATATCCCGGTACTGAGAGGACCGGATGCACATAATAAGGTATCTGTGAGCCCAAGAAGGAGCAAGTTTTACTCAAACATGCCGAGACCAACGCCGGTCACCACTTCGCATACACCCCCATTGAGTTCCAGCAGCGTTCGTAGGTTGTCTTCCTTTAAGGAAGGCTGTTCCAAAAGTTCTGCATTTGGTTTCAGGTAGCACGAAATACGACACGTCTGAGGTCGAAGGTTGGGCATGGGTCAAAACCACGGTATCCGTGATCTTGGTGGGATCAGAGGAGCGCGATAGGCTAGAGGCGACCTTTCGCGCCAGCAATCACTATGTCCGGAGCGTCGTCTGGGTCTTGCTCCTAACAAGAACTTCGAGTCGAGGCACGTAGAAATAAGAAGGGCACTCACCAGTTAGAAACCGCTATTGGTAGGATTTCACTTCCATTGCCTTCACTTTCGCTGACATTGTTTTATAGCTATCGGACACAGTACCAACCTAATCGATCGAGAGTTCAATATCATCGTTATTAGGGGCGGAGATAATCGTTCAAGGCCAGTTTATCTGCAAATAGTTCACGCGGTAGAGGAGTTTTTTCCCGAAAGTAGCATTTCTTGATGAAGGCGAAGCTTTTGTTGGCATATATCTCTTCTAGGAACGATAATGCATTGCGGAGGGTCGAAACTGGAATATCTTCGATTGTAGGAGCAAAGAATGGCGGACTCGTTCTAGTCATTGATGGTGCAGCAATGGACTATGCAAGTACCATCGCTGTTTTTATTTGTGCAAAAATCGTTGGCCGTCAGACTAGTCAAGGATGGCCTCGATGATATGACTGGCGCTATTGGAGATGAGCAAAGGATGTTAGCGTATCCATCTCGAAATGTAATTTCAGTCTTGACAATCAAAATCATTTGAGGGTTCGCGTTTAAGGACTGGGCAGAGAGATGAAAGCGAAAGTTCAATTTTTGTCAAATTTGCTACGTCTAGCTCCTACCCGAGCTTACTTCGTCTCAGGTTCAGGATTCAAGAGCACCTATACGCCCCAATCAGCCTATATCCACACCGGAAGAGCAAGACACATACCTGCTGACCACCCTGGCCATTCTCCCACTTCTGGTATTTCAAGGATGTAAGCCCCCGTTTTTCGGCGAGCACACGTTGGTCTTCCTTCAAGGAAGCGCGGAGGGCGCGAGCAGCTATTTCGCTGTACTTGTTGAATCTAAGGTGTAAATATCATTAGGGAAAGCAAGGAAGAATTCCGTTGCGAGACTCACGAAAAGACGCTACGCCAGGCGTTGCTCATCGTGAACGGTGTTGGGGAAGGAGGAACTCGGCAATAACCGGAATGTATTCTTTGAGAAGGCGACACGTGACTGATATGACGAAAGCCGGACTTTGCCGCTGTAGCCAAGCTGCATCATACGGTTACCTTCCTTCCACGATCTGCCCAGCCATGGCGGGAATATCATGGCATTATGTTCTCAAGTTCATTATTACTGGCGAGCTCCATTTATCCCACTCCTCCTCATCAGTCTGACGCATACCGAGACAGGCGACGCCGCAGTGGGCAAATCTTCGCTGCTCATCCGGCTCACTGACCAGCGATTTTTGGCAAATCCGGATCCAACGGTACGATGCATGTATCTTGTACTTGTCCTGCACTCATCAACATGTTTGCCTTTGATTTTAATCTTAGCTAGGAGTCGAATTCGGGTCAAAGCTCATTACATTACCAGAAGAGAACAAAGTGATCAAACTTCAATGTTGGTGGACTCTTATTCGAAGATCTACACTACCGCTTATGATTTTGCGGCGTAACCAGGCTGGGACACCGCTGGAACGGAGTCATTTCGGTCTATCACGCGTTCGTATTATCGTGGCGCCGCTGGATGTCTCTTGGTTTATGACGTGACATCTCGGAAAAGTGTGTTGCTTTGTTTCGCTTCCTTTGTTCTTGGCTCACGACCGCTCTGGAGGCTTCAAAAATGCACGATCATGGCTCGCCGATGTTCGCGAACATGCAGATCCTCATCTAACATGCATACTCGTCGGCAATAAAGTAGACCTTTGTGAGGCGGATGGACCATCAAGCGATAGATCTTCATCTGCTTCTCCTCGACGACAAGTACCGACGGCCGAAGCTGAACAGTGGGCAAAGGAGGAGGGCTTACTCTTCGTTGAGGCTAGCGCCAAGTCGGGGCAGAATGTGGAACTCGCTTTCGAGCAGGCAGCAAAAGATATTCTAGACAAAATCAAGAAAGGTGTCTTCGATGACGACCGGGTGAGCCGAAATACGCCTCGTTGTTTCCCCCCCAGGGGTCTCACATCCCTGTCTGCGCAGTCACCGGGTGTCAAACTATCGAAACCCAACAACAGTCTCACCCTAGAGCAAGGGACGGGTAGATCAACCACTTGCTGCTCATGATACCCACGACTCTGTATGGTTATATGTATCGTTTTGCTTGTGCTGTATGTAGTATGTATTGTATGTTTTTGTCTCTTCTTTCCGTGAAAAGTTCTTACCTTTTGGCCTTTTTTCAGAGCTTCGAGCACTTTCTTTCTGTACAATCACAGCCTAATAATAAACTGGATCGACACATAATGCATCTTCCTGGATTTGGTCTTGGGCTTTTAGTAACAGACGCTAGGTACTCGACGGGTTTGAACCTGTTTTTTCTGCGCTCATCGAGAACTTCTATTCACAAGAGGGTTCCCAATAAGCGGATCTTGGTTCATATCTTCACTGTACTTGAATGATTTTCCCGCCGTCCAGGACTTGGAAACGGATATGAACGGGTAGGGTGGCTTCTTGACTTAGACCAATTCACTGCAGAGGCTGGTGCATTTTTGATAGCTTCAAATGGGACCTTGAAAGGTTTTAATTTCAGCATCAGTTTTTACGTCCTTGTTTTAAGCGCCGTGAAATGAAAAGTACATCAATTCTATTGTTCCATAGGGGGAAAAGTTTTTCATACCGTTTTACTGATGGCCTTTTCAGAACCAAGAAAGGCTTTGCTAAACCAAAACCTTTTAAGGTTTTGTTTTTTACCATCTAAAATGCACTAGCCTCTGCTGTGCTTCCTCCCTGATGGCGTCGATATATTTAATCAAGCATATTATAGAAGCATTATGTGGAGTGTTATTGCGAAAGCCAGTAAGGGAATGTGAGTTCACTTTTGTGCGTTTCCGTGCCGCATACTAACGATCCCCTTCGTGTGTGCGTAGCGACACCAACTTAACCGATCTTTAGTCTCGGTATGGGTCGGCAGATGTGTTTTCCGGCTTCGTCTGCAGTTATAATGGATGTTGACACTGTGTGTTGGATGATCTCATATTTATCTAACATAGTACGGGCACAAGCAGAGGTGTCTTCTCGGTAAGCGTTCGTCACCTCTGCTTGATGACACTCTTGATATGGGTGACTACTGGGCATTGGCCCAGAATTGTCACGGTCACTGTTGTGTCTTGCGCTGTGATGTTATATATTGACTTGGGTTTAGCTTCATTATTTTGTTCTTACGATGCGCTATAGATGATAGCTACATCGACATATCTGGCTTTTACCGCTGGTCCTCCTACCAACCGTATCCCAGCTCGACTTCATTGATGTCCTGAAGAGTGACCACCATGAGCAGGTTTTTAAATTCTTCCGTGGCCATCCTCGCACCACCTCACCGTTGGTTAATTTGTGAATAGACTTATTTTTACTTGGCTATTCTCACGAATGCCTCTTAGTCCTGACTTCAATATTGAAAACGCTACCATCTAATACCTCTTCCCGCCAGCCACTATGACGGGAGTCTCCAATTTCACCATTCTCAGTGGCACTTTTGTTGGGCGACGATTAGTAGCAACGATTGCGGCGTCGAACGCTCATATCTATTACTTGATGCAGGTTCCTCCTCGCCATGACATTCCCGTCCGAGCGCTCACAGAACTCGTTGACAATTGCATACTATTCTATCTTGTTGAGAACAACGAAGTCCTTTCTTGGAGGCCTGTCCTCCCATGCAATGCATAATAAATGGAAAAGATCGCCGCAACTTGCGAGAAACTCGAATAAGGATGTGTAGGTCGAATCTCGATATATTATCGTAAAAATATAATACTGTAAACTGGTATCACTAGTCGAACATGATGCTGAGCCTCTTGACTTCTAATCTATCTATCTAAGGCCCCTGGCCAATGTCCAAATGAAAGATAGAAATAACACAGCCTCAGCTCCCTTTTGATAAATTAAATCTGCTTCTCCCTAGGCTTTAGGAACAATCCGTATATCATACGTCCGCCTGGGTTTATCATGGTGAAACCTATGGATTAATAACATCAACCATACACCAATATAACCTCCCTCCTCCACCTCCTAATTTGCCTTCTTCCCCTCGTCTGTACACTGACCATCTCATCTCAACTCGCATTATATCGTCCACCCTCCACTCGCCTCCACTGCCTCACCAATGGTCTTCCCTCCCTGCCGATCTCTCTATCGCTGGTTTCTTCACCTCCTACAACACTCACCTCTTCCTCATCACCCTCCCACCATCACTTACACTCCGGCACACACTGACTCCTCCTCCATACCTCAGCTCAACGCACTTGCAGACCGTCTCACCTCCGGCTCCCAATATTTACAAATGTGACCACCTCCCGCTCCCTTACCTACTTCTTTATGGACTCTTTTATGCTTTATTCCTCAAATGACGGCTATATTGAAACAACTATCCCCTCATACATGCTATCCGTAACAACTTCTGCTACCTATTCTCACCCTGACTTCTGTCCCTCCTCAACGATGCTTCAGCATACTCCTCCTGACCACCCTTACTTGCGAGCCTCATCCGCGTTTTCGGCCTTGATACAACTCTATGCGAGGTCTGATCAGTTAGACCCTGCGTACACCCGATTCCGACGGTTTGGAAATGTGTCCCCCATTTGTCAAAGAGGGTGCGACGCCTTGGAAACCGTTCATCATGTTTTTGTTTCCTGCCCGTATCACTCCTTCTGGCAGCACGCCATCAAATCACTTATCAAAGAGACTTCTTGTATCCTAGACTCCACAGATGTCCCTCTGCGCCTCTGGGGATCCTTTCTACAACTTATCCGACGTTTTTTTGACGGCCCCGGGGCACTTGGCCCCAATCCGTGTCTCACTTTTACCTCGGCCTCACACCATCCTTGCCCGCATTAACAGGATTGTCTGGACCTCTCACCAATCGCGTCTTAACTCGTATCTCTCATACATGGCACAGCGCGTGCACCCGTTTAGCTGGGAGGATATGGGCAGAGTACAAGCGGAGCGTACGTCCGGCTCACACCAAAACAAAAGCCAACTTGAAATCCATCTCCTTGCCGTCTTTCTTATCTCACATAACACCCTCTTGACTTATGTGTACTGATACGATACTGACGAGCTTCATCACTACCTTTACTTTTCGATTAACGAGCTACCGAGGTAGATTAGTTTATACTTATTTACCTGAGCTGTACTAGCAGAGGTGGCCAATTTACTGTTTCAATGTTTCTCCACTCGACAGGTTTCTCTCTGAATTACTGCATGATTGAACGGCGCCTGTAGCTGAATTTTTTTCGTGTCCTGCTTCTGATTACTGCTTCATGAACTTCCTAAAGAGACAAAAGCCGCCCAAGTATATTCCGACAGCTTGCACGAACTGTCTAGCATAGGGCTTTTGGACGTGAAGCATGCTACATCGAACAAGGAGATGTTTAAGGTCACACAGGTGGGTTCTCGGATGTAACGCCTGCCCGGCTTCGATGAAACCATCGTCTGTATAGGAAGACACCAAAGATCTCCCCATACAAGGCTCGATGGGTCGCCACGGAAGACAAGAAAATCTGGTCGAGCTCAGGTATCATCGCCGGTAAGGATCGGCCAAAATCAAAGCGGTACTGCGGGCGACATCAGACCGGCGTACGCATTTCTGGAGTCTATTACTGGTGTGTCCGCCTGACACCAGAGACCGAAGATCTTACTATTGACGAGAAGCCTCAGAACTTGCGTCTCGATCCGAGAATCCCAGAGCATCTCTGTCCCCGCTATGCACGGGAATGTAGACTTCTAGTCAAGTCCTTTCTGCAAGACGTCGATTAGGCTGTTGGTCAGCAGACAAGTATCATGACCATTCGCGCTGCAACCAACGGTGCATATATAGTCGAAGATCCAAATATCCTCTCCTGCCAACGATGCAGCCTCCAACTCTTCTTTTCAGTTTCGTCCAGCTCGCCGCAATCTCCCTGCTTTGCGTCGCACAGTCCTCTCCTGTGATTGACCTTGGATATGCTAAATATCGAGGAGTATTCGATCCCAGCATATCCAACAACACTCAGTTTCTTGGGGTGCGATTCGCGGCGCCTCCCACTGGTGCGTGATTTAAAGGCACTTCCTATATAGCTCTGTTCCCAAGGTACCTTTGTTCAGGTTCCTTGAGGTGGCAAGCACCCCGAACACCGGGCTTTGTGGATGGCATACAGGACGCTACGTCAGAACCGGACGAATGTTTGCATGCAGGAACAGGCGCCGATGCCACAAATCCTTTTCCTGCAAACAAAAGGGCCCCCTCTGTTGCAGAATCTGAAGACTGTCTCTTCTTGAAGTGGGTCGCGAACATGTTTCGGCGTCTATTGTAGCTGTCATTTATCTATTCTCAGTGTGTATCTGCCTGGGCAGCTCGATTCTCGAACTTCTAGCAAAAATTTACCTGTCGTCGTATGGATTCATGGAGGAGGGTATGATGCTTTACTATTTATCGAGGAGTCTTATCTGAATGTGACTACAGTTATGTTTCTGGTGGCGCCGACCCTTACGATGGGAACGACCTAGTCCTTGAATCTGGCGACAGAGTCGTTGCCGTGGTTATCCAATATCGTTTGGGATTGTTTGGATTCCTGGCTGGAGAGTCAGTTAAAGCAAATGGCGTATTGAATGCTGGCCTTCGTAGGTTTTGTGTGTCTGCGGTTGGGTACGCGCTGATATTTCTGAGACAGTGGATCAACAATTTGCGCTTCAGTGGGTCCAGGAACACGTGGGCTTTTCCTTTTTCCTGCATCTGCTTTGCCGTCATATTTACCGATCCGCCGAAGATCACCAAGTTCGGTGGAGATCCAAGCCGAGTCACTATCTGGGGCGAATCTGCTGGTGGGAATTGCGTGTATTCAATAACCCATCATCTGATGTAGTCGTATTCTAGGTGCTGGTTCTGTTCTTCAGCAAGTCATTGCCAATGGTGGACAGACGTTTCCGCCTTTGTTCAGAGGTGCAATAACAAGCTCCAGTTTCCTGCCTTCACAATATGCGTATAACGATGTGGTTCCGGAGGTTCAGTATCTCCGTGCGAGTTAGAATTATACGAGGTGCTGACATGTATGTTCTAGTTCCTGTACAACACCGTGGTATCAAGGACGAAGTAGGTACTCGCAATTTTAGGCTGTTGCATTGGTCTCTAAAATCGTAGGCAAGCTGTACCTCGGCGGCCTCTTCGTTGACATGCCTGAGGAATGCTGACGCAGGGGTTCTCGAAGAGATCAATGTTGACCTTTGTATCAGCGGGTTTTTCGGCACCTACGTATTTGTGCCAGTTGTTGATGGAGATTTCATAAGGCAACGGCCGACGGTAGCTTTAGGGGAAGGAAAAGTCAATGGCGTAAGCTAGCAGCCACCGATTTTCTCGACTGGTGTCTAATCATCCTTCAAGGAGGTTGTCATGTCCGTTACAAACTCAGATGAGGGGCTCAGCTTCGTCGACTTGAGTACTGCAAACACTGTCCAGGTTCCTGACTATCTGACACAACTATTTCCGACCCTGAGCACTCAGCAACGCGACGTTGCTGTTGCAAAATATGCTAGTCTTGGAACTCCAATCGAGCAGGTCACCGCCATAATGGGAGAATGTAGGTGCAATGCCTCAGAACCTGCGATGGCGGATACTAATGCCTGACCTTTGTTGCGGCAGCTATATTCGTTTGCCCCACTTATTTCTTGCTTCGTGCTTTCAAAGGAAAGGCATTCAAGGCATGTTCAACCACTCTATGAATGAATGCAGTGATGTTCAATGTCGGATACTCAGGGTCAATTCGCAATCCCACCGGGCACCCACGGAAGCGATGTTGTTTATTACTTTCCCTCGTACGTGCATTGCTATAACATCTTTACTCGTGTTCTCATTCCTTCCATTATGAGTGCGAATGATGTTCCCGCCTACAACAATACGGACTTCGACAAAGCGTTCGCCGAGTCTTTCCTAGCCTTTGTCGTGTCTCTGGATCCAAACGAGACATTCGAGCCGACAATCACACCGACATGGGAGCCTTTTTCGTTCCAACCAGGTCACGAGGTAGAAATGCGTTTCAATGAAACCGAAAGCGGCGCTCCTGCAGTGATGCCCTTTACCACTGCACCAGATCTTCTTGACCGATGCTCGTGAGTGCACCCGCCGCGTTTCTTAATCTTTCTCACCTGTTTTTTTTTAGTTTTTGGGAAAGTGTTGGGCCAGAAATAGGTCAATGAAACGTGTTCGTCAAAGATATAATTAGTTATGTGTGATTTACTGTCCAAATCAATCTTAAACACACATAGATCTCTCTCCGCACTCCGTGATCCGTCACTTCCTCCTCTATCTCAATCTCTGCGGCAGATACGTACAGTGGATATGGATATGGGTTCCTATCATGACCACCTTTGACCCAAAATACCGCCGTATTTATATAGCTGAAATACGACCATCGAGGGAGTGGCCGGAGATAATCTAATATCATCTAGGCAAGTACATATTAATATAGTCTTAGTAAAACGATCATGAACGTTGAGGCATTCGCAAGCTCATGCCTGACTAAGCTCAGAAGATCTGTCCGTCGTCGTATCGTCGTTGTCGTCTCACTATTTCTCGTCTGTTCTACGACCGGAAAATTTTTCTTGCCCCTCCCTCCCATCCCTTTGAGTCCTGATTGCCAAGGAGGAGTCCTCTGGAATCTCACTTATGAGAAGTGTGCATTAGTGACTTTCTCACCCTTTTAATTGTATTTGTACCAATATTATCATTCTCATTCTCATCAGAACTGGTGAGCTTAAGCAGTACACTCACATATTGACCCTATTTTTTTTTCCTTGGTGGTGCTGTGGCAAAAGCCTATTAACAAAGTTAAGTCACTTTTAGAGATAGCAAAGACAGCAGGGATTCTCACCCCACATCATGAGAAAAGGACCACCTGGGAAAATGCTCTAGAGCACATCCTTTTCAGAACAGTGTGGGGTTCAGCCTTATGTCTGTTCTGCATGTTGTGGTGAGCTAGTATCCACTAAAACTCTGGTCATCTAGATCTAGTCATTTGGCAGTTTCTCTCTATCCTTTTGGAAGACTAAACTTTTCCAGATATCAAGAATGGTGTGCCACACCACAGTTTTGTGGGTGTCAAATTTTGGCTTTCCCAGCTCTAGATCTGCCACAGTGCCAAAACAACTGAGCAGCAAGTACCCCACTCTCAAAACACAACAGATGGATGTCTGCTGTCCATCTCCTTAGGCTTATTGTGCTATAACATTTTAGCATTGCACCTGTGCTCAGAGGCAGATGCTTATCAGTCAGAGGTGTGTACACAGACAGATGTTTCACCCTGCTAGAGGTGGATTGATCAGTGGCAGCAGATAGCCTTATAAAGCTATTCAAGAAGGCACCAGATATAGAAGGTGTAGCTAATTCAATCAAGGAAAGCAGACTCACAGGGTGAATTAGTGGTATTATGCTGCTATAGGTTGGATAGAGTTGTTATGATTTTTCTTTTTTCTTTCATTATTAACCCCTATTTATGCTTAGTCAGAGCACCCAGATCAGTGCTTAAGACTGAGGGAAAGGCTTAGTCAGCACAACAGGCTGATCCATCATTATCCTCTGATGTAGTGACAGCCCTCAACAACACATAATGACCTTTTTATAGACAGTAGCAACACTCAAGGACAATGGGCACCAGGATTTGGAAATGCACAATAGGCAGTAGTATATTTATCTTAATTTTGTACAGTATATAAGTAGGCTTGCTCTTGCTGGTTAAACCTCAGCTTTGAGCTAAAGTTTATCTTCTACTATTCTACCTTGAGCCAACTTGTATTGGCCTTGAGACATAGCACCACACAAATACATATAGTGAACTTAGACATGACTGTACAAAGATAATACAGTGCCTATTTATCATATGTTTAGATCATGTGTCACTTGGGCTTAACAATTAGCTTGAAGCTGATGCTTCCTTTTCTTTACACACAACAGTGCGAGAGAAACTGAATGCCACCATCAAACAGCTCTATCCCTGATCTCACTGATGATTTCTTTAAGCTATTAGCTTCCATCATAAGAATGCTTCTAGGCTTATTAGCCATCATTCAACTTTGCCATGGATGACAATCAGTTGCAGCTTAGATAGTCAGGCACTATCAGGTTTTTTAACAAGT